TATGAGTGCCCCGCAGCCCTTGTACTCATGAAATAGAAATAACCCTTGTGGTTTCATAGTGTTCTCTGTCGTTGCTGTTGCTGCTGTTTTCCCAAAGAGCTTTCACATTAACTATGGTATCTTCATCTCTTAGCTGTCAGCCTCCAGGAGAAGACTGGGTAGGTATTATTAGAGGAAATTAAGGCCCCTGAGAGCCTTAGTCACCTGACCCAGGGTCACATGCTGGCCTTTGGAGCTAAGACCTGGATTTCAGGTCCCTCCGTCACTTGACATCTAGCTCAATTAGAAAAGTTCTAGTGGTTCCTGTACTTAACCAAGCACACTGGTTAACAGCAAAGGCTCTGCGGGTGGTGCCTGTCGGTTCAACTTACTAGCTGAGTGACCTTGGGCAGCTTGTAATCTCTCTGAGCCAGTTTCTCGTTTATGCAAAAGGGTCAGTAATAAGCAAGTTACTGTATTGAATGAGGTAATGCAGAAGAAATACTTAGCATAGTTCCTGGTGCATGAAGTAAACAAATTTTAACTGCAATTATTATAGCTATTGTAATTACTATGGGATAGGAGGTCTTACTCTCTTTTTGTGGGTGGAGGAGGGATGTTTATCATCGCACCTTTCATATGGTAGGTTTCAAACAGATGTGAGCAGTACATTTTGTGGTGTCCACGACCACCTTTCCTGGCTCAGTCAGTGGAAAGGATGGGATTTGGAGTTGAATGAAGCTGAGTTCTAATTTGACTTCCCAACTAAGTTTCACCTTTCTTTGGCATAAAACAGTAGCCTGGACGGAGGTGTGGGGTAGTCACTGTGGCGGGGCCTGCTGTAGTCCGTGCTCAGTAAGCTGCGGCCATAATCACAGCTGTGGCGGAGAACCGGAGGTTGACTTGGCAGCCAGTCTCAAGGTTTTGTGAAAGTCTCCCAGTTTGGTGAGACCTGACACAAGGTGACAGGCCTGTTTAATCGTTGCTATAATTTTGAAGATTCTTACACCAGTACTTTTTTTTTTTTTAAGATTTATTTTGTTTATACAAGCACTGGGTACAGTCAGAAGCATGGGAGGGCGAGGGAATTCACCAGAGCCAGAGCGGGGAGCAGAACAGGCAGACTGATGAAATACACTGCTGAGGGGAGCAGCAGGTGAGACAGGAGAGGTCTGTGCGCCATGTGGGACCCTCGCCCAGCTGCCAGAGATCAAACCAGCACTGTGGTGGCTGCGGGCAGCTTCGCAACCCAGCGCTCAACCGCTGCGCCACCGGAGAGGCCCAACACCAGTACTTTTAAAGGGTATTGACTTTTACTGTACTCCCCTGGTGCTTGTTATTGCCAGCCCCTGGGGATGTAGACTCAGTGCCACCATTGATTTCGGAGTGTTGCTGGGAGCCTCTGCCACCAGGTCAGGCTCGCCCTGCAGCAGCTCAAGGTGGGCAACCTGGTGCTTCCATTGTTGTCATCCTGGTCTTCTTGTTCACTGAGCTTTTTATCATGGAGCATCTGGCATGCAGTATCTCACTTAGTCTCCGTCATTCCCCTGGGAGGTCAGTGCCACCCTTACCTCGGTGTTACAGCTGGGGAGGCTGCAGCTTACAAAGGTGAAGTTACTTGACCAAAGAAACCAGACCTGGAATTGGAGCCTCGATCCCTCCCACTTTAGCATGTCCACAAGACACGTTCTGTTGTTACTCCTGTGCTGTGACTGTACTCTCCAGGCCGCTTCCCGGAACCCTGAGTTCACCTTCCATGGGAATGGCTTGCTGAGCTCTGTGACATGTCCCTCTCTCCTCCAGAATCTGCCTCCTCACCCTCACTCCACACCTGTGGAAAAGCCGCTGGGAAAACCTTTAATTTCGTGCGAGGGAATATGTGTGTTTATATAATCTTCCTAGCGAATTGTCAGTGTTAGATTAGAATGAAGTGTGCAGAAAATACTGAAAACGTGAGACATGTCCCTGTGCTATTTGATGTTTAATGCATCTCTCTGTGTTAGAACTAACCGTGCACCTCGGGGTGCTTTTTGGGCACAAGCCACATGGCACATGCCTGGCACCATTCTGGCACCGTCCATTTAATTCTCATCATTTTTACCTTGAACAGGATTATTATTATTGTCCAAAAATACAGATCACAAATTGTTTTATTTCAAAATGTGTATCTACTCTAGGAAGTCTCTCATATGTGTCTGCAGTACAGAGATGTGTGCATACAAACACACACAGACTTGGATAGATAGCACCATTAGTCAGTTATCGAATTAGCAAAACACGTGGATAGGACCTGTTACCCAGCCTGTACTTACATATCAAGTCTGTCTTCTGCCTCTCCCAGCACATCTTATGTTTCCTCTGCTGGATAAGCGTAATGCTTCCCTTGCAGAGTTCTTGCAAGGGTTAAATATGCTATTGTTAAATATAAAAGCATTCAGGTCAGAGAAGACACCAGTGCTCCTTTCCTGTGGCCTGTCTCTGCCTTTGCCACATCATCCTTGGGGTTTTTTTTTTTTTTTTTTTTTTTTTTTGTTTTTTTTTTAAAGATTTATTTATCTATACAAGCACTGGGTACACTCAGAAGCGCGGGAGGGTGAGAGAATTCACCAGAGCCAGAGCGGGGAGCAGAGCAGGCAGACTGACGAAGGACACTGCTGAGGGGAGCAGCGGGCGGCAGGAGAGGGACCCTCGCCAGTGGCCAGGGATCAAACCAGCACTGCGGAGGCTGCGGGCAGCTTTGCAACCCAGCGCTCAACCTCTGCGCCACCTGGGAGGCCCCATCCTTGCTTTTTGATGAGTCCATGGTCCCCGATAGGCTGAGAGCTTTGCCTACTTGTTTCCATTCTCTGCGTGACATTCCCCACCAGAGTAATGACCGTGTCGGGGAGGAAGGGAGGACATTGAGATTGGGTTGAGGGACAGGGTAGAGGAGCAGAAGTGTTCCGGAATAATTTAATTTTTGAGCACATGGATATTCTTTTAATTTAATGATTCTGATATACTTCATTTGAATTATTTTATACTTCAAGAGAACAAAAAGCCTATGTACTTTGTTTCACCATTGAGAGCCCCTTGAAAACAGCTGAAATGGACAGGCAGTTGAATTTCTCTTTGCCGGCGTCCAGCAGCAGAATGGATGTCAGGTGAGGTGGGATGCTCAACAGTGCGAGGAGACTCGGGGCAGACAGAGAAGGATGCAGAGGTGGCGTCTGCCTCCGAGAGACAGCAAACATGTGCATCCTGGCCTCTGAGCTGATGTGGCCTTTCCTTTGTGTTTTTCTGAGCCGCTTCTCTGAGTGAACTTGGATAGTAACCAGAGCTGCATTTTATCTTTTTTATATCTCAGCCTGAAATGCTGACATCTGCTGTAGGCATTATGAATTTTTAATGGGGTGATGATTAGTGACTACTCGACCCTCACTTTACTCACTGGACTGCGATGACATTTATGCCCTTCCTTGTACTCAGGCCTCCTTCCTGAGTCTGTTGCTGCTGCATGCAGTGTTGGAGAGTGAAATATTTTAAAATTTCATCTCAGATTTTGACCAGTCTAGATTGAAGAAGGAAGTGCATCTTCAATTCCTGAAAAGGAAATCAATTAGTCCAAGTCAACAAATACTTACAGAGCCCCAGCTTCCTCAGCCCTCATCACTGTGTTCGTTGGAGGGATGCAGACGTGAGCCAGAGGAGCCGCTCGTGGTCTGGCAGCCAGGAAAGGCCTGTATTTCCACAAATATGATGTGATGTGGTGGAAAATATTGCAATAGAGATACAAAGAAGGGCAAGGAAGGATCCTTGCTAATAAGGGAGGACTTAACAAGAAGAAAAGGGGTGGTATTTGAATGAAGCCTTTAAAGGTACACTTTAAAGTACCTTTGATGTGCGTATTTGTTCCTTTATTCATTAAAAGCATGCATCTGTTGTGAGCCTGCTTAAAAGTTCTTGCTTCCTGAACTCCATGCAGAGGAAGGAAGAGGAAGAGAGTTGAGCACAAGCATCTGAAACGCTTCCATGTGAAAGTGGCACACGCCTTCTCCACTCACATTTCTCTGGGCTGTGCAGGTCGCACTCCATGCCTCACTCAAGAGTGTGGGTGTGGTGGTTTGCCACAGCAGTCTGAGGAGTGGGAACGTGGCATCTGTGAGGAGCGGTGATGTCTGCCCCAAGAGTCACGAGATCTGCTACACAACCTAGCAGGGTCGCACTGGGTGCTATACTGATAACAGACTGCAGGGGATGAGGCCCTTCAACAGAGAGACTGTTGCAGAACCTTTTGCAGTAATTAGGCAAGAGGCGATGTTCTCTGGGGTTCATGGCTGTGAGATGTCTGCTTTTCAATGTCCTTTAAAGGTAGACGCCAAAGGCTTTGCCACTGGATTGCATCCGGGGTATGAGACAGTGAAAAGTCCAGTATGACTTGGTGGATTTCAACCTAAACCACTACAAGAATGTGTTTTGCCATTGACTGAGATAGGGGACTGCAGAGGGAAAAGGGCTGGAGGTAGAACATCAGGGTTTATTTCATATGTTAACATGGAGTGTAGTTATTGGACCTCTGACACTAAATAGGCAACTAAGATCTAAGTTTTTTTCAAGGGTAGGGTCTTGTCTGGGGATGTCAGTTTGGGAGTTGTCAGCTGATAGAAAATTATTTAAAAATCTTAAGATGGAGATCCAAAGAGAATGAGCCCAGGTTTAGGCCAGAGACTAAGGCCAGGGCCCCCAAACATGCTAAGGTCAAGGAGATGACGATTCAGCAAAGACGATGGCGGAGAGCAGCGTGAGCTGGGAGGACGGTCAGAAGGGGATGATACCCTGGAAGCCAAATAAAGGGAGGACTGCAAGGAGGTGGGAGCTGTTACCACGAGGGGACTTTCACTCTTGAGAGATTTGAATACTTAACAAGAAGTCTAAACTTGTCAGCTCCTCAGCACCACACTTTTTGTAGGATAGACTATTAGTCTTGTTTAAATAGATCAGAAAATCAAAGCTTGGCAAGAGAAAGTTTACTCACATTTTATTAGTATCTCTTACGTGCTGGCTAGGACAGAAGCTGTGGTAGCTAAAAAAAACTGCTAAGGTGGGTGGCAGGACCAAACTTCAAACCAGCATCTTTCTGATCCACACCTGCCCATTTTGCACCAACAGCTGTATATGGAAAAGCATTTTACACACTGCTCCTCACACCTGGGGCTTAAACAGAATGAAAGAGAATTAAGATTAGTTGCAGAGGAAGAAAAAATGTTTGAATTACTGGATTTTTCTTTTGCATGACATGATTGATTTGCTAAGGAGAATTTTTTCCTTTTTTCCCCAATAATCATACTTTCTTAATTGTTCGAAAGTGTGATCACTTGACTCCTCAGACAGAGGAACGGGGGCCGCTGTGGATTGACTGGAATGTAAGTGAGCTACATGCTGTGATAGAAAAGGGGGGGCTCCTTTAATAGAATGAGGACATTCAGTGTCCTGCTGACCCCTGCCTGGACATGCGCAATAAATATACTGACATAGTTTCTCTTTGCTTTTTCTAGTCATCAGTCAATGTGCAAAATAACTTGTCATTGTGGCAAATAATAACTCAGACTCCTCCTCCTCCTTTCTTTTTTAGATCATGTGCAGAATGAAGAAAACTATGCACAAGTGCTTGATAAATTCGGAAGTAATTTTTTAAGTCGAGACAACCCAGATCTTGGGACCGCTTTTGTGAAGTTCTCTACTCTTACCAAGGAACTGTCCACACTGCTGAAAAATCTGGTAAGCCATTTTTCATACAGCTTTTTTTTTTTTTAAATTATAGCCTAATTAAAGCATAAGAAAATTGTAATGAGAAAAGTAATCTTTACTCAACCTTTCAGTCCTATGGATTAAGGAAAAATTAAAATTAAAAAAAATTTTTTCAGTTCTTGGTATGGAGGCACATTTAAAGAAAATACCAATGCGAAATCCCTAGAATTTATGCCTTTGACTCTACTGGTATTAGGGTTGATATATTGAATCCAAGGAGATTGTTGAACTAAATTTAAATTCTCTTCCTCTGCTGCTGTTTTGCTTTTGTTTCAGATAACTTTTAGCTACTTTTACTCTTTAAGGTGTGGCGTGATGATGATTTCTGTCAAATATACATTGGAGATCCACGTTACAAGTGATACATCTCATTTGTGTGAAGACGTTCATGTATTTTGATCATAATTCATGCCTTCAAATCCACACGCCCTTTTCACCCATGCCAAAAAAAAAGATTTTGAGATTTAGGGAATCTGTGGTTCCAGAAGTAGATGACAAGAAGGATCTCTAAAACCCTGGAACCTCAGGGAACTGACCTTCGGAGGTGGACACAGCATGGGGGCTGGGCATCTGTGAGCCAGGCAGCCTTGTCTGGGCTTCCCTGCCCTCCCCACCCTCACTGTGTAGATGTTTAATAACTCTCTTATCTTCTAAGTCCCAAGAGATGGGGTACAAGAAAGTGGAAAGCTGCCCAAGGAAAGCTGTGTGTACTATCCTTTCCTCAGCCCTACCCTGGAAAAGAGCTGCTGCTTCCTTCCCTCCCGCTGACTGCCCCAGTCTGTGTTGTACCTTTGCCTCCTTAAAGCATCAAGGTCAAGATGTCTTGAGTCAGTTACGTAGGTATCAGCTACTTAATGGCCTGTGTGAGAAGCTTGTCACAAATCTACTTGATACAACAGCTACTGTACAGAGGAATACATTCTACTGGGAAAATGAGAACTACCTACCCCATGAAGTATGTTGACCTGATTATTTGGCCAGTCAGAATATTCTTTTCTTTCTCTCATACTAGAGAAACATATTTGTGTATGTGTCTGACAATTTAATTCTAATTAACTTGAATGGTTGTTTATGCCGTTGAGCTAGTCTTACACAGTGACAACTAATCCTAAAGAAAATAAATGTTGGAAATAGAAATATGACTTATTTTCAGAAACTTGAGAAAGGATGATTTTGAACTTACCACCCACATGTTCCCACACTCCAGGGTTTATTTGACAAATCCCTGATATTTCCATAAAGATTATATATATCTTTTTCAGATGGGGGCCCTCTAACTTTTCCTCCTGCCAGGTCATGCCTGCCTCCGCAGGCGGCACCACAGGCGGGGTGGTGTGGTGGGAAATGAGGAAGTGAAACGAGGCTCCGACAGCTCACTTGGGTAATAGCTGGTGGAGACTCGCTCCAGGAGGAAGTTCTATTTTCCCCATGGTGGGCGTTTTCATAGGAGTAGCTTGCTAACCTCTAGTGTCCATGTATTTGGCTTAAGTCAAGAGTCATCATGTCCATGTTTCCTAGCGTCACATCGACACTTCCTGCATAGCCAGTCCCCTCCCTCTGTGGAGACATGCCATCCTTACAAATCTTTGTGCTCAGGCACTGCTTAGCTTCCCCTAAACACACCCCAAACTCCAGACCTCCTCCTTCCATGTCTACTCCCCTTTAAGAAGTAGAAGTCTAAGAAAATTCTAGAAGAAGTTGCTGAACAGCCCAATTCATTTAATTGAAAAAATAAAAACAAACATTTTCCTTTGAAGATAGTGTGGATTCCTGCCAAGGGAGCAGGTAAAAGAATCAGCCTGTACTACAGTTGGTTTCTGAGGACCACTATTCTCAGGGAATAAAAAGACCGTCCCAGGCATACAGGCAGCCTGACAGCAAGTCAGCAGCTTGCTGCCTCCCTTTTCATGTTTTGCCAGGGAAGGGAAGCAGAGGGGGCAGAGGAAGCCCAGCCCTCAGGGAGGGGCGGGATTTCTGGGTCAGCTTGCAAGCACCACAGTCCCCTCATGAGGAGTGTGGGGAGCACTCCCAGCTTGTAGATGCTCTGGAACACCCTCCTGGGAACCAGGGTTTCTCAGGAGATTCCCCAAAGTGCTGTTCTCTGAGGCTCATGAAGACTGCGGGGCTGAGGCTGGATTTATAGCCAGGTTCTCACTTAAAGCTGACCTGCCTCTGAGGACTTCGTTGTCGCTGGTGAACTCCCAGCTCCTGAGAGTCCACGTACCAAGCCACGACTTAAGTAACTGACTCTCCCTCTCCCTCCCCTCCACATCCAAGAACAAGATTTTAGGTAAAAAGTTGTTTCCCTCTTAAAACAGGGTGAAAAGGGCTGTGAAGTGTCGGTGGTGGGAGGAATATGCATTTTGGTCTCAATCAGACATGGAATCCCATCTCCACCTTCCTAGCTTTTGAGGCTCGGCACATCACGTAACTCCTTTAATGCTGTTTTCCTTCAGTGTGCACAGAAATAATAGTATCGGTTTCTTGGAAGCGATGGGAGTGCATAGAAATCATGGAAGTAGATCACCAAGCACTGCGCCTGACACATGGAACTTGCTTAAAAGCTAGCTTTGAATATTTCCATCTTTTTTGTGTGGTCTCTACAGCAGTTGCTGTGTAAAGGCGGGTGTGGGGGTTCCTGTTCCATTTTACAGATAAGTGCGCCAAACCTCAAAAAAAGAATAGGCCTGGGGAGTGGAATTAGCGCCTGAGCTCAAGTTCTCTAAGGACCATGCACAGTTTCAGTGGTGCTGCTCCCCACCAGGTACACGGCCACCACGTTGCCTTTGTGGGCTCTGTGGACGCCAGGGACCCACCCATGTGCCACTGGAACCTGTCCGTGGTCGTCAGACTCCTGTTGTGTTCGCTGCAGCCTGCTTTCTTGCCAGCTTTTCCCTCTTAGTTTCCCTCATTATAAGTTCTAGTAGATTGAAGAGGGAGAGGTTCGCCAGTAGTAGTTCTCAAACTTTTTGATCTTAGGACACCAATCTTAAAAATGACTGAGGACACCAAAGGGCTTTTGTTTATGGGGACTGTTTCTATCCATCTTTGCTGTTTGTGCATTTAAAGCTAAGAAATTTTAAAATCCCTTCATTCATTTTGTTGCAATATGTGGTTTTGGGTGAAGAAGGCAAAAGTGGGCCCTCATCCGTGAGCCTGTCAAAACCTGACAAGTGTTGGTTCTTAAAAGTTACTAGAATTGTGGGCCTCCCCGGGGGCGCAGCGGTTGAGCGCTGGGTTGCGAAGCTGCCCGCAGCCTCTGCAGCGCCGGTTCGATCCCCGGCTGCTCCCCGGCCACCGGAGGAGGGTCCTACATGGCACGCAGACCTCTCCTGCCGCCCGCTGCTCCCCTCAGCAGTGTCCTTCGGTCCTTCTGCCTGCTCTGCTCCCCGCTCTGGCTCTGGTGAATTCTCTCACCCTCCTGCGCTTCTGACTGTACCCAGTGCTTGTATAAACAAAAACAAAACAAACAAATAAAATAAATAAATAAAACATGCCTCTAAAAAAAAAAAAAAAAGTTACTAGAATTGTGAATTTGAAACCATGCAAATGAACTTTAAGTATCCGGAAGCTGTCAAGCTCATGGTAACAGAAGTTTTCCAGAATTTTAACTTTCCCTGAAAACTCCAATTTTATCATTAGCAACAAATACTATCACTTGTTTATCTTGCAGTGACAGGCTCTTTCATTTTTGAGAAAATGTTTGCCAAATACTCAAGTCTCCGTTCCACAGTTTGTCAGTCATTCTTTTGAAGGAAAACAGTGGTGTTTCTCTAAAAAAACAAAAACCTAACCTAACAAATAAAACCAGCTAATTCAGCTTGTACCTCAAGATATCCGTGTGTCTTGGTGTGATGCCCTTGAAAGTACTTTATGCAACTCCCCGGGGTAACATAAAGGCATCAGAAGTTTCCCTTCGGTTACTTTTGCATTGTCTGTGCAAATGTCAAAAGTAGAAAAGTCACATAAATCCTCTCAGTTATTATAAAAAAATTATAAAAAATACTTTTGACCTTGGGGACCTCTAGGGACCTATGGACCATGGTTTGAGAGTCACTGGCATCCGAAATCAAGGGCTTTGGTGTGACTCCAACCCTGCCCCCAAGTAGGTTGATGTTGCCTAACTTTTGAGCATGAGTTTCCTCACTGGGAGGGTGAGGAAAGGTACCCTTACTACCTACCTCTTTGTTTGCATGAATTTCAAATCATACCACCCACCTGAGAAACTTGGTAAACTGCAAAGTCCTTGAGTCACACAGAGTGGATTGTTAACATATTAATAGACTGCATTAATATTCAAACAACATGGTATTAATAGCCACTGCAAGGGACTTAATGTGTTTCTTTCTACTATAAAAAGAACATATGCCTAGTGGGGAAAATTTAAAATACAAGGATAAAATTGTGCTTTCTCTTTCATAGTCCCCCTACCCAGAGATAACCATCACTGATATTTGGGGCTTATCTTTCTAGTCCTCTTTTCTGCAGCTTCTTTTACGCCCAGATAGATGAAATTCCATGTTCTAAGCAATTTGTATTTCACTAGATTTTCCTTGGTGCTGGCCTTAGAGCATACACACTTTCCCTGCGGGGACTAGTTACAGATTCTGAAGCTTGTGAGACTGGCACTTTCCAAAGAACCCCCTGTAAAGATTCCTCATCCCTGGCACGTCAGCCCTCCCAGTTGTGAGGTCAGCAGTGGGGCACCTGCCTGATGGGAAGCCAGGGACCAGAGTGCGTAGGCTCAGATACTTGCCTGTCCTCTGGGGCCACCCAAGTACATGTAGAAATCTCTTTTGTCTTTTAGTTCCATGTTCTTTCTATCACTCAGTGTTCTTGTCACCGGAAAGTGAATTCCAGGAAGTTCCTGATTTCGAACAAGATGACCTGCCATTTATGCTTTTTTCTGATTAAAGTCTAAATCATTCAGAATTGAAGAGATGGAGAACTGTGGTGGTGAGCAGGGTGACAGGAGGGTGCTCAAAGGAATCCTTGTGTTGGTGCTTCATCTTGATTATGGTGCAGGTTCCACGAACCTGTACGGGTGGTGAAAGGTGTGTTTTGTCATGGAACTGTCAATGTACCAAGACACACCAGACTGCATCCACCAACTGGTGAAACTCGAGTCAGCTCTGTACCCAGTGGTCATCTTGTGCCATCGTTAATCCAGGTTCTGATGGCGTACTGTACAGCACACGTCAGATGTTACCCCTGGGAGGAGAAGCTGGCGGATGGGAGCAGGGGGACCTGTCTGTGTTATTTTTGCGAGTAGACAAATTTTTCAAAATAAAAAGTTTGAAGAAAAGTGCAAGTCAGCAAATTCTCGTCAGGGAGGGAAAGTGTTTAGTCATAGCTATGCAAGGGAAACAAAAGCCATTGGAATTATGTCAAGTTAAAAAGTTTTTATACGGTGGGAAAAGATGGTGTATAAAATCTTTTATACAAAAAGATTAAAAAGACACTCTTTTGAATGGGAGAAAATATTCACACAATATATAGCTGATAAGGGGTTAATTGATATCCAAGATGTATTAAAAAAAAAAAAACCTCACAATGCAGCAGTTAAAAAAACAACCCGATTAATAAGTGGTCAGCAGTTCTGAGCAGACGGTTCACCCAAGCGGAGATCCGGAAGGCCAACAGACACGTGGAAAAAAAGGTTCATTATTACTTCCAGTAAGAGTTGCAGGTTAAAATCACAGTGAGATACCATCCAGCAGCAAGTGTCGAAGAGGGTTCAGCAAAAGGGGAGCCCCGTGATACCATTGGTGTCACGGTGGGGCATGTGACCTGGTGCAGCCACTATGGAAAGCCATCTGGATTTACCTTAAAAAACTAAAAGTGGAAATGCCGTGTGACCCAGCAATCTCACTCTTGGGCATCTGTCCAAAGAATGCAACCGTCAGCACAAAGACCCACATCCTCCGCAGTGTTTGTAGCAACACTATTTACCATAGCCAGGACGTGATGGCCGCCTTAATGCCCATCAGTAAACAGATCAAGAAGATGTGGTCTGTCCACACTAGGGAATATTACTCAGCCATAGAAAGATGAAATGCAGCCATGTCCACCAAAATGGAGGGAGTTTGAGAGAATTATGTAAAGCAAATAAGAACAGTGAAAATCAAACTCTGGACATTTACATAGCAGATGATTTGATAAAGCAATTTGTGTAACCTGGTGGACATCGGTCAACACCACGAAGCTCTGAGTTCGGGAGGATCTGGTGGACATGGACGTAAAAGGGAGGTGGTGGGGACAATATGCCTAAAAAAAACCTTCTGGGGAGGGATGTCAGGCAAATCTGAAACTTGAAGAGTTGGAAATAAACCAGTGGAGGAGAGTCAGGTTAGGTAAATGAAAACAGTTTATACAGCTCTCTTTGAAGCTGAATATGTGGATGAAGAGATCAGTAAAATAACTAGTACATCATATTTTTCCCCTTGAAGAATGAATTGTGAATAAATGAATGAACAAACGAAAGATCACTGTGCCGTGAGACCTCAGTTGGAGACGAGGGCCAGGCCTGGCACCAACTTCCCCCGCTGATTTGTACATCTATCTTTAGACCAAAAAACCAACTCAGGGCTTAGACCTCAAGGAGGACTTCACCAGCAGCATCCGTGCTGAGGAAGCGCGGTGGTAGACACCACCCCCGCCACCATCACGACCTAGAGATCTGTAGCAAGGAACCCTACAGCCAGGACACAGCTAAGTCTGCTGCGGAAACTGCGTGGATTGAGCCAAGTCCACCTTCACCCACTTGTGCTGAAGAGGCTGTTCCTAAGTCCAGCACCCGTCACCTCCATGCGTCTCCCAAACCATCAGGAAGATGAAGGCCCTAGCCAGGGGCACAGTGGCCAAGGATGTGGGACCCTAATGGAGGGAGGAGGAGAGAAAACACTGCAGGGCTGCTGTCATCTGCTCAAGACCAGGCAAGAGCCTCACCCTTAGCCAGCAGGCCCTGGACTCTGTGAGGTCACAGCCATCCTGTTTTCTAGTCTTTGCAAGGCCAGGGGAGTACAGCACCCCAGCCAAGCCCAGGACCCTGCCCAGCCATACCAAGCCACCCCTGCACTCCCAAGCCCACAACTCTGATCCTGCCTCGTTAAGAAGATTTTGGATGCAGATTGTGGATGCACCCCCACCTGCCAAGTGCAGTGTAAAACGGAGCAAAATCAAACTCTCCTCTGATATTTCTTTAGACCATTGATCTATAACCAACTTTTCACTCTTTTTTTTTTTTTTTTAAGATTTATTTATTTATACAAGAACCAGGTTACAGGCCAGATGCACGGGAGAATGAGAGGATTCACCAGAGACAGAGCGGGGAATAGAATAGGCAGACTGACTGAAATACACTGCTGAGGGGAGCAGCAGGTGAGACAGGAGAGGTCTGCTCGCCATGTGGGACCTCGCCGGCCGGCCAGCATTGAACCAGCACTGCAGGGGATGCGGACAGCTTCACAGCACAGGGCTCAACCGCCTGCACAACCAGGGGAGGCCCCCAACTTTTCACTGTTACAGATTTTTTTAAACCAGTTTGTCTTGAATTTCTCCCTCCAGTTAAGAGTCCTTAAGGTAGTCATTAATTGGAAGCTAGCATTTCCTCCCAGAAGTGACTCTAGTTGTCAGGTTTGAATATGTCTAGGAAATGCTGCCTCCTAGTGGTGAGAAGCCAGAGACTTGTGGACATGATCTGTTTTCTTGGTGTTTTTAATGTTTGTGGCAAGGTGGTTAAGAGCTTGGGGTTTTTATGTGAAATGCTTAACATAGCATTTGGTTCATAGTATATGTTTAGTAAATAATGGCCTTTTCAAATTACTAGAAATATTTCTTTGGTTGACTTGCCAGTCTCTGAATTCATCCTTCCTTTACATAAAAATGCCTTCGTGAGAGCAAAGAATATAAAATGGAGCAAAGAAAGTTTGTTCAATAAATGGTGCTGGGAAAACTGGGTCGCTACATGCAAAAGAATGAAGCTTGACTACTGCCTCACACCATGCACAAAAACTAACTCAAAATGGATTAAAGAACTAGACATAAGACCCGAAATCATGAAATATATAGAAGGAAATATAGGCGAAACACTGCATGACGTAAACCTCAGAAACATCTTTAAAAACTCATCACCCAAAGCAGTGATAGCGAAGGCAAAGATAAACAGCTGGGACTGTATCAAATTAAAGAGCTTCTGCACAGCAAAAGAGATAGTGACCAAAGCAGACGCCCCACCGACTGGGAGAAAATTTTTGCGCTCAACACTAATGATAAAGGACTGATCACAAAAATCTACAAAGAGTGAAGAGTCTCAACAAAAACAAAGTAAATAATCCAGTCAAAAAATGGGCAGAAGGTCTAAAAAGGAACTTTTCCAAAGAGGAAATGTGAAAGGCCAACAGGCATAAGAAAAAATGTTCAGCATCACTTGTCATCAGGGAAATGCAAATCAAAAGTAAAAATGAGGTACCATCTAACACCAGTGAGAACAGCACATACTAAAAAAACTAGCAACAACAAATGTTGGCGAGGATGTGGAGAAAAAGGAACTCTCCTGCACTGCTGGTGGGAGTGCAAACTGGTCCAACCACTATGGAGAGCTGTGTGGAGATTCCTCGACCTGCTAAAGATGGAGCTTCCATAGGATCCAGCAATTCCACTCCTAGGTATTTACCCAAAGGACACAGAATCATTAATTCAAAAGGGCACCTGCACCCCTATGTTTATAGCGGCACTATTTACAATAGCTAGGCTATGGAAACAACACAAATGCCCCAAAATAGATGACTGGATCAAGAAGAGGTGGTCCATATACACAATGGAATATTACTCGGCCATCAAGAAAGATAAACTCATGCCATTTGCAGCAACATGGATGGCGCTGGAAGGGATCATGCTCAGCGAAATAAGCCAGAAAGAAAAAGAAAAATACCAGATGGTCTCACTCATAGCAGGAATTTAGAAAACTTAAATAAGGGACCAGAAAAAAGACTAATTATAATAAAGTAAAAATCAAAATCAATTAGCAACTATAAACCAGAAACACACTACGGGGTGGGGGGTGGGGAGGAGTAGGAGGGATTACGGTCAAAATAAGAGGGGTGGGAATCGTATGGGGACCATAACCAAGATGAAAATGCATATATTGTGCAAAAATGATGTAAAAAATATATATAATTAAAAAAATGCCTTCGTGATCAAAGCCAGCTCCAGACATAGCAAATTGTTTGTTCTTCCTGAATTATAGGAATTATAGAAATCTTCTATGCCTTTATGCACTTTTGTCCCTTCTGCTTTGAATGACCTCTAATAGTTAAGCTGTTAATGATTGAGGATTTCTTTACAATGCAGCTTTCTTGTTAGGAAAAAAGAAAGCAGGATGATCTTGACTTTTTACTGTTTCTAGTATTTCTTGTCATTTGTTTGATTAAATAGACAGTGCTGAAATTAAGTTCAACTTTTTAACCATCGCAAGGACACTCACTGCTTCTAAAACGGTTTGGGGTCCCTCTTATGCCCCTTATCGGACCCTCTTTGCCTGTGATCCTGTGGAACAAGCTAAGGAGTTAACAGAGAACTGCATCCATTTAATTACCAAACCACAAATGGGACCAGAAAACAGTAGCTGGTGGACTGAAATAGATTCTCAGTGGACGGAGAAAAACCATCTCACCCATATCCCAGAAGGCCCAGCACAGCGGGAGTTCTAGAAAAGAACAGGTGCTTGGTGGTGGGAGAACTAGAGGGGCTACCCCTGAGGGGAGAAATCAAATATGGTACAAAAATTAATAACCATGTAAGAAAATAAATAAGCTCAACAAAGCAATTTTAAGAAAAAAGGAAATGTATGTGAAGACCTCTTTTTAAATAGTAGGGGGTTCCCAGGAGGATCCTTGTCCCGTCAGAGCTCTGTGCCTCTGATTCCTCCTCGTCCCGAGCCTGTGGAGAGGCTGCAGCTTGCACAAGGGCCTGCGTCTCCTTTACAGTTAGAGGCGGCTGTTGCTTCAGAGCTGTGGGAGCAGAGGGAAGATTTCCCCAGCTGCAGCGCATTTCCTGTTTGCAGTCTCCAACTGCAGCGGGCATGGTGGTTTGGGTTAGGGATTGTTTTTACTTTCTTGGCTTTTCTTCTTTTCTTTCTCCCTCAAATGAGAATCGCTGGGCATGTGCAGGTTGGATCCTCAGTTATAGGAAGCAAGTTATTTCTTAAGTTCTTTGAAATCCTGCAGTGGTATGGCTAGCAGTTGACTGGTAGCCTCTGGGTTATGTTTCAAACCTCATCTTTATGCAAAATGATAATCCGTGATAGGAAGGTTTTGGCATTTAATCTGCCAGATACTGCCTCATGTCCTGATAGGCTTCCCCGCCAATTAATATTATGGGACATCTCGTGAAGTGAGAGCTGTCCGTGTGGGTGGGAGGATGGGTAAGAGGGAGATTTTCTTTTCCCCTTCTGTTATAAAAGTCAGATGTGTTCACATAAAATTCCAAAGTATGAAAAAAATTAAGAAAATAATCATTATATAATTCTAACTAAATACGATACAAGATGTCCTTCAAAACAGTTTCAGAGATTTAATCACAGAGATGTGATAATTTAGATGCAAAGAGTGTGTGTGTGTGTGTGTGTGTGTGTACACACATACAAATATATGTCTCTATCTAAGTCCTCAATCTCTTATTCAGAACAAAACTCTTGGCATTAGTGTTTCAAAATTGTACAGATTTCAGAAAGGTACCAAGTTGCATAAACTGTGTATTATATAACACCTCCCCCCTCTCCAGTGACTTCTCACACTAGTCCTCATAATTAAACATACATTTATCTCTGCGGTGAAGCGGGGATATTTACATGAAGTGAGGTAAGTAAAAGACTCTGGGGTCCTGCCTTAGTTCAGTTCCGCACTTACCACTAAGTGAATTCAGGTCAGGTCAGACATTACTGCCAAATGAGTTTGTTATTGTACATGTTTTGCAAACTTTTTTTAAAGCTTGCCAGCTCTCCATGACCATATCCAAAAAACTGCAAAATCACTTTTAACAGGCTACCTCATGTTTCACTGTATAACTAAGATGCAACTGATTTCCTATAAAGGATTTGATTTTCACCTTCACTAATCCAGGCGTACCTTACCTTAAATACAGGAAAGTTTACCAAAGGTGTATTTCCTCCTTGTGTCCACGTCCACTGAGGGGCAGTGCTCCATACAGTGACAGTAATTCAGGGACCCAGGCACACAGAATCGTCTGGGTCTCAGCAGAGTCTGCCAGGGAGGACAGAGAGAGCAACCAGCCATGTGCAGACTTGTCACCGCTTTCCCTGACGCAGTGACTGTGCTCTTGGCCCCTTGCAGGAAGTAGAATGGAGCTAATGGGATTTTTGGTGAGAGCTACTATTTCTACTTCATCTGTAAATCACTCATTTCTCCTCACCTCTCCCAAGTACTGACTGTAATTGCCCTTATTTAAAGCAGAGAAAATTGAGTCAGAGATCACTCCCTAGACATCCAAGCCAGGATTCAAACCCAGGTGGTCTACACCAGTGTCCACGCAGATATCACTGCCACCATCCAGATAAGCTCTTCAAATTCTAAAATTTTCAATGAGGATCAAGTGAAGTAAGTCTTTATAGCATAACGATGCGGCCCAAGTAGACAAAATAGGGAAGTCCAGCAAAGGAGCAGCAGGTGTCTCTGCTTTCTTATCAGTTAAATGAAGACAGTACTATTATGTCTGGTACTAGACATGCTAACTCATATCAATACTAAAACAATAACACTGGGGTATTGCATGTCTTCCTAGCACATGGTGAGCCCTGTGTGTTTTAGTGTATTTTATTGGATTTTTAAATTGAGTTAAGAGGGTGCTTTCTAAGTAAAAGTGTGTCCTTATAAAACATAATATGCATGAAGATGTTCACTAAAGACAAGAAAATTTGATTTGATATCACCGTATGGTTTTGTTCTAGTTGAAACAGCAAATTATAGATGACATGCATGGAAATGAAATAAAAGTTGATCATGAACTGACTGATCCATCATTTCAAGCATGATAACGAAGTTGTGAGGGCCAGAGTGTCTTCCAGGGCCTAGCAGCTATTTAGGTATTTGTTCCTTTTGCTTTCCCATTTTGATCTTGATCTTAAAAATCTTAGCTACTCCCCTTTCCTTAGACTTCTCAGATGAAGTCAGGTGCTGTGCATAATGCAAAGGAAACTAGTGCTTTCCTTTTTGCTCGATGCAGAGATGATGTTAAATCTAACCCATCATTTCCTGAAATTGAATTTGACAAAATATAATTGCGTTATTTTAAACTAAGGGATGCTCAACCTCTGATACTCCTACACCGACGAGTCTTCCCTGTGAAACTACTTTCCACATAAGTTCATTCTTGTTGGTTCCTGTTGCCGTCTGCGTAACGGTGTCATCCGTTTCCCACTGCCCCTTAGGCCCTCCCCAGGTCTCGGGCAAGCCATTTCTACCTTCTGACTCTAGAGCTTCCCTCCCCCATTGGGAGTTTGGAAAGCATTAGTCTAAGGCAGTGGTTCTCAAACTTGACCTTGCACCCGTCTCACCTGGAGAATTTGGTGAAACATAGATTCTTAACTTATGTGAAAATCTGATCAGTTAGATTCTATTTCTGGCAAATTTCTAGGTAATGCTGACACTTTTAGTCCACACTGAGAATCACTAGGAAGGATCCAGACAGAGATACAGAATTCCTTACTGTTCCAGAGAAACTATAGCTTTTTCCTCCAAATTCACTACCTGATTATATTTACATGTATACATGTCAGCTGACTTGTATTAATAAATAAGTTGAAGGAGAAATAGACTACTGGTTGGTTATCTGTCGCCCTCTTGTGTTTGTGTCATATTTCTTTTTAATAACTTTCTCAATATGAAAACAATACCAGTTCGTTGTTGAAAACTTATAAAATATGGGGGGAAGACAGGAAAGGACTGAAATCATAATCACCGAGAACCATATAACCCACTGAACACTTAAGATACATCTATATATCTTTTAACCTCTTTTCTCTATCTTTTTTCTTTCTTTTTTTTAAAGATTTATTTAGTTATTTATTTATTTATACAAGAACCAGGGTACAGGCCAGATGTGCAGGAGGCTTGAGAGGATTCACCGGAGAGAGAGCAGGGAACAGAACAGGCAGACTGACTGAAATACACTGCTGAGGGGAGCAGCAGGCAAGACAGGAAAGGTGTGCCATGCCATGTGGCTTGCTCCCTGGCCGGCCGGGATCGAACCCACACTGCGGAGGCTGCGGACAGCTTCGCAGCACTGCGCTCAACCACCTGCGCCACCAGGGAGGCCCTCTTATCTTTTTTCTTATGAGTAATCTTCATGGACACACATAATTTATATTTATACACATACATGCATGTATAATTTTTGACAACATTGGGTTCATATTGTAGTGCTATCTTATAACCCAGTTTTCACTCACATATTTTGAAAACGTTCTCCTGTTCCATATAACACGGTAGCCTAGCAACCTTCACTTAATTGGAAGCTTACAGCCTCCAAAGGCAGAGCTGCTTCGTTACCTAGAGCTGACCTCTCACCCCAAGGAGGCTGTAGGCCCCAGACACATGTCCCTCTGACGTAGTTTCTAGCAGTGGTCTGGAGTGCTCACCATGTGCACCGTAATCTCTTAGTCTAATCTCCTATTTTGAATATTTCTGTGGTTTCTTTTTTTCAGTTTAGAATGATAATTGAGAGCCTCTTCTGAACCCTCTGCCTGTGCTGAGTGTATGTCATTTAGATGCTGGCCTTTGTGACTGATTGAATTCACCTTGCCATATTTTTTTTCCCCTTCTTTCAACGTTGTTTGAATTGATGAGCAAGCAGGGAGAAATTGCTTGTACCCTGAGGCCCTGGTCATCCTATCCGTCCTTGTACTGATTCAATCATGAAGCTTGTTTTCTAAGTATTTCAGACTTTTTTGGAAGGTTATATTTATATTGTGCCATAGTTTTATAACAGACATTGTGGAGTATAATAAAAATGTAGGATTTTGAAAGGAATTAAGAAATGACCTTTCTTACTTTTCCGCTTGCTGTTTAGTTACTGTGGTTTCCTGGGGTGTCAGAGCCAGGGCCACCCTCCTGCTGTGAGACAGTGGGGCAGCACCCTGGAGCTGTTTCACCCAGTTGGTCTGAATTTTTTTCTACAATGTTCAACTTTTTCTCAGTAGCTCATTTTCAGCTTGGAGGGTATTATAACTGGAAGCATCTTTAGACACCTTATAGCTCTTTCAGTTTATCGATGACAGAAATGAGGCGTGACTCACCTAACCCTGAGGCAGGTTCTTGTCTAGGACACTCTTTGCCTCAGTGTCAGACAAGTCCTGACAGCTACAGGATGGAGGTTACCCTTGGTCTGTTCGCTAACCAATCCTGGGAGCAGCTCCAGCCCTCCGATCCCTCTTCTGCTCCGCCCCCGCTCCTCCACCTTCTGCTCTGGTGCTGAGCTCTCTAGGAAAACAAACCCAGCTCAGAACAGCTTTCCTGGTTATCAGGGGAATTCATGTGTTCATCCAGTTCACAGCATTTATTTAGACTATGAGACACAACTGCACTGTACTGCGGTTGATGTAACACTGGAGGGCGGGACAGGGGAGCTGCTGCCTTTAAGAGGCTGCCCTAGACAGTGAGCGCCGGTAAGATGCAGCACTCTCCCAGAGTGAGCCTTTTCTGCCTGCTTAAGAATAATGGAAGAGGGTGAAGGGGCTTGTTTCGAAGAGTCAGGATCTCTGAGGAGGTGACACAGAGATGAGAGGACTCTGCTAGTAGCCAAAGGAGCAGTTCCAGACAATTGTAAGCATGTGCTAAGGCGGAGAATGTTCCTGGGTCAAGAAGCTGGTAAAAGGCTGCATGACTGAAAGGAAGTGGAAATGAGGAGAGGGGCGTAAGGCTATTTATTGCCAGGGCCAGTCTAAACTGGGAGACTGGATTTGAATCCAGTTCTCTCGGAAGCCTTGATGGATTTTAAGCTGATGAAAAGATCGCTCTAACTGCATGACTCCGGGAATGAGAATGAGTCAGTAAAAACTTCAGTGAATAGCATGACCATGTGCCCTTCTCACTGTTTAACCTAGGGCAAGTTACTTAACCTCTCTGAGCCTATTTCCTTACTGATTGGATGAGAGTCAGACCCATCTTACGGCGTTGTTATGAGCCATAACTTTAGATAACAGGTCAGCAGTGCCATCTGTCATTTTAATCTATCAAACTCAGGCTGCTCTACCTTGAAGAGGGCATGGCATAACAGAATGTATCATCTTACAGATCCTAGAACCTGCCTTGCAGCAAGAGGCAAAACTTATCCAAAAGGGGAACGTGGAGCACTTTGAAGGACATTTGGGATTCCCACTGCCCACTACCCCAGCCTCAGAAGATCTGTTCCAGTATCTGAAATGTTATTTTATTTTTTCCTCACTACTGCAGAGCTCTTCAAGTCTAAAGAATTCTAAGAAGATCAGTCTCGTTACATTTTAGTAAGGGTCTGCGTGGTGCCGGCCTTTTGCAAGCAAGGCGGCCATGTCTGTACCTCCTGCAAGTCCCCTTAAGAGCATGGCAGGCGGCCCTGTCATCCTACTTTATAAGCAAGACGTGGAAGTCTCTAGAAGGTCACACGACCTTCTAGAGACCTAGATACCTAGAAGGTATCGCCCAAGCAGATACCTAGCTGAGTATCACCACCCACAAATCTTTGAGCAGAGGGTAATGTGTCTCAGTGACTCTCACCTGTGTTGGATTTGTAAGTGCCTTCCACACATTATCTTTTCTATCCCTTAATGCATATGTGCAACCAAATAAAATAGTTTAATAGGTCAGTACTGTTGCATTTTCTTTGCTAGAGTATCGTTTTCATTGCAGTGCTTCTGGTATCTCCAAGAAGATAGTGCTGCAGACAGTTCATTGATCTGGAGCTAGACCAGGTTCATGGCCTGCCCCTCCACCTAGCTAGCGGCTGCATTTGAACATGCAGTCATGTTCCTTGTGAAGGCGTCAGGGGTAGTCAGTGAAGTAGCGCTTGTAAATGCCACAGCCCTGGGCTTGCTGCAAAGTGGGGGCGTTTCTGAGTTGGTTTCTCCCTCATGCCTTCAGTGTGGGCGCTTGCAAAAACTTGCCGCAGGGTGTCTCTTTTACCCAGGAGCCAAGTCTGTAAGGTTGAAAAGTTAGCCCAGAGTCCCCAGGTTCACATGCCTCTGGGCTCTTGGGCCCTGCTGAGAACTCTTTCCTCTGTCATAATATCCTGGAAACCATCCTCATCACAAGGCCCCAACTTTAAATAGCTTCAAGGTGATAACTCTAGGGCATGAAGGAGTTAACACATGGGACAGAACACCTAATTTATACCAGGGAACCGTGGGCTTAACTGCTGGGAGCTGGCTCATTATTTTAATTGGATTTTCCAATGTGTTGCACAAGTCAGCAGATCAGCATTAGCTTACTTGCAGAGAAACTGTTGCTGTCTGTAGAAGGGCAGTGCAGAGAGACCACAGAGCAAGCCAATAGTGTTCTTTTAGTTGATTCAGGGGTTTGTGCATGGAGCTGTGGTGGCCCGCTGGGAGAGGTGTGGCTCCCCAGGGAGGAAACCACCTCTCCCCATGGTCTAGGTCCAGCCCCCAACCCCAAAGCAGGCAGGCCGGAAGTGCCATATGTTGTGAGGCCATCCAGCTATTCCTGATTCCTGCTCGGGGATCAGGTCGGTTGATCACCAAAACAGATGGGGATGCCTCCCCTTCAGAAGCACACCTTTTAGAGAGGAAAGACGTGTGATAGATTAGTAAATGAGTCAATAAGATTATTTCATTTTGTGGTAAAATTATACAGTGGCTGAAAATAACCAGGGCAGAAGACTGGTGTTTCATATATGTGGAGAAAGTTCGTGAAGGTCTCCTGATGACTCGGGTTATGTGGGCTGCTTGTAGAGGGTCTGGTAGTGTGTAAAAAATTGAAAGGAGTAAGTGATTGTTTTTATCAAAGCCAATATTAATTACCGTTTGTTTGCTTAAACCAGTCAGTTTTGCAGAATGAAAGCATAGACTTCTGAGTTATTCCAGATTTCTGGTCGGACACAGTGTATATGCTAGCAAGGTAACTGGGCCTTTCGTGAGGGAGGAACTAAATAGCAATTTGTTGGGAAATCATTCTTGAAATCATTTTTAATGTGTTCCTTGCTTAATAAGATAGAAGAAGATGTGTGTTTTAAACATACTCTTGAACCCCTTGTAATCCTGAATCATGTAAAGAGCTCGTGGGGTCATCAGACTTTACCATCAAAGGAAGGAAATGGATCGGAAGTTCAGTAAGTGGAAATGGAGCAATCAATAGAGTCTTAGTAAAATAAAAGGGAAATCATGATATAGTAGACTTGAAAGGCTTTTTTATAAAGCCACTGACGATAATGAAGGTGCCACAGGAAGACCGCTGACCCCGTTATCATTGTCTTATGTTGGCAAGATTGTGATCGTCCACGTGTGTGTTTCTGCTCATTCGTTTGCAGCTCTTTCTCGGGCCATGAAAAGATTCCTGGTAGAACTAGGAAATAAAAGTCTAGGAAAATTATGTAAAGTTGTGTATTCCAACTCTGTCGCAAAGAAAGACCTTAAAATAGCTGAGAAAATAGGTTTTGTCTTCCTGGAGGTCACCATGGGAGGAAATTTTGGTTTGCCCATCGATAAATAGCTCCAAAAAAGTGTCCTTAAGATGGACATGGGCACCTGTGGCAGCTCACCATCTTGAGGGCTTGGCGTGGCCTCAGCCTCTGAGAAGACCCTGCCTTCACCGGATTCCTGCGGAGGCTCTCCTGAGCGCAATACCTGAAAGGCCGGGTCTCTCCATCCTCCGCAGTGGGGGTGGCTGCTCACCCCCTGGGGAGCTGCGTCAAAGCTCACCACTGTTACAACATACTCAGCCCCAGCCTCCGTGGCAAAATAAAACTGAAAAAAGACGTGCGCCTGCTTTCTCTTTGACGTGTCTCTGTGTCTTTATAATGACAGGGAGTTATTATTCTTAAACAATGATACTTAAAACATATCTCCTTTGCCAGTTTTTATGAATTAATGTATTTATTCCTGGGAAGTACGTTAGGAAGAGTCTCCATTTAAATTTTTTTCTACAGCCTTTCCATTCACTGTGCACTGGGAAGATTCTGAAATCATGATACACGATATTTTTGCTGCCGTGGTTTCTTATCAGCCTCCAAGGTTGTGTGTGGATAACCACAAAGAAATTCTGAATTCTTGGGGCTTTCCATCCGTGCGGCTCCAGCCCACCACCGCCTGCCCCATGCCTGACCACAGTGATGGCATTGCAATGTCACGACCTGTGTTTATTGTGTGGTGAATCCGTGACTTCTGAAGACTTTTCCTTCCAAACAGCCCCCACTATTCAGTACTAACCACAGAGTTTCCTACTTCTTTTATTTTGTAACAGCCTTCAGATCACTGTATTTGTTTGTTTTCTGCTTTATTTCACAAAGGATTTGAGGCATTGGTTAAAAAAAAAAAGTTAAAAATGACTTAGGACTGAAAGTTAAAAATGGTTCCTAATGTCTGTTTTTTCTTTTTTTTTGCTTTAGAATTTTTACTTTTTTTGAATAACAATAAGGTACTTGTTACCAAAAGCAAATTTTTTTAATGCCAAAAAGTAAACAGTAAAATCCTCTCCTCTCCCTTCACACCCATGTCCTTCCCTGCGGAGAGCAGCAGCAGCAGGTCACTCTGTCCTTCCAGAAGGGATTTCCACGTAGACAGAGTTTGTCCTCTTTTTGTACAAATCTGTGTACTCTGTGAATATTTTTTTTCACCTAACATTTGTGTCGGAGACATTTCCAAAGTTGGACATAAAGAACTTTCCCATTTTTGTGGCTGTTTAGACCTTCCAGAATTTATTTCATCAGTCCACTATTGATAAGCACTGAACCTTTCATCGGCATAAACAGTCCCGTGGGAAAGAACTGTGTACACATGATTCTCTGTTTCCTTCTTTCTACAAATACTCATGAAGCAGCTACTCTGACAGGCAGTGTTCTAGCTTCTGGAAATAGAGCAGTGAGCATACAAACGCCCTCTTAGGTAGACACCTTGAACCATCATAAAACCCAGGTGATCCAGACCTCTGCTTCAGAACACTGAAAAAACCTGTGCCTGAGCTGTCGCCTGCCCTTCCGGAATATATTGTCTTCAGTGGGTTCAAAGTGTGGAGGACACAGCCATGAGCAGGACCCTGCACCGCCCTGGTGTGGAGAACGCTCAGCCCACATTGGCTGGTTTTACTGTTCTGTTACCACCTGCCTTTTAATCGTCTCCCATCTGTGTTTTGCTTTTCAGCTCCAGGGTCTGAGCCACAATGTGATCTTCACCTTGGATTCCTTGTTGAAAGGAGACCTAAAAGGAGTCAAAGGAGTAAGTGTTCAGGAATTTGATTTTCACTTTAAAGGAATGATTTTTTTTCTCTCAAGATCAGAGCGGTATGCTGTTTGAAAGGCTGTAGGGTAAAAGTATCAGGCTTTTCTGCCCTCCCGCCATCAGAATAGATGACGGAACCCTGTGGTCCTGAATGCATGCCTGATGGCGGCACCTGGAGTAGGGTGTGGGCGTAGGTAGATGGGATTCACCTGGGCTGAGACTGGGCTTTTAGGGGCAGCGTCGCGGGTACCCCAGCAGAAGCCAGGAACGAACAGGAGCAGAGAAGCCAAGAGAGAAGCAGAGTCATAAGAAGAGCAGAGAGAACGTGAGAGAAGGCCAGAGAGCCCAGAGTGAAGACTTGCTGGGGGCTGGGAGGCCTGCCAGCCTCCCGACCCCCAGCACCCCTGCCTGCTGTGTACCTGGTAACCCCAATAAAAGGCTGCAAAAGCCACTGAGGACTCTGACTCCTCCTTTACTCCGTCTGCTGGATATAGAAAACCTGCACTGTGCCATTCCTGTCCTTACAAAGGCACTCTGAACATTTCCGGCATGGAAAATGATCATTGGCAAAGGAGCAAGATGAGACGCTTTTGGGAAGCTGGAAGGACCTTAGTGGCCCGGAGAGGGGGTTGCCCTGTACCTTGGCTAAATCACTGGGTCCCGCTGCAGCAGCCAGCTTTCCATGGGATGCCATGTGTGAAAGTGTCTTGGGTAAAGCTCCATGTGTCCTAGAGGAAGGCATCCCTGCTAAGATGTTTCATAACCAAATGCCCAAAAATGGATGACTGTATCAAGAAGATGTGGTACATATACACCATGGAATATTACTCAGCAATCAGAAAAGATAAATTCATGCCATTTGCAGCAACATGAATGGAGCTGGAAGGGATCATGCTCAGTGAAATAAGCCAGAAAGAAAAAGAAAATTAGCAATGGTCTCACTCACAGCAGGAATTTAGAAAACCTAAATAAGGGACCAGGAAAAAAACCTAATTATAAAAAAAGTAAAAATCAAAATCAACAAGCAACTATAAATCAGAGACACACAAACCAAGGGGGGGTTGGGAATTATATGGGAACTATAACCAAGATGAAAATGCATACATTGTGCAAAAATGAAAACTGATGTGAAAAAATATATAAAAGAAAAAAAAGATGTTTCAGAATTCTTTATTCACCTTTAAGCAAAATGTACACTCAGTTTCTATTTCGTTTTCTCTTTTCTAAGGATCTCAAGAAGCCATTTGACAAAGCTTGGAAAGATTATGAGACAAAGTTGTAAGTGATGTTTTATTTGATTTTTTTTAAGCCCTTTTTAAAATTTTTGTGAGTTTCCATTTTAAAAAGACAAAAGAGTAACTGGAAGAAGAACACAGCCCTCAACTAATACCTTCTAGATAAAAATTGTTTACCCGTCCTTGTAAGGTCTAAGAGGTAGGTGAAAGTAGCTACATCTCCAGTGCTAGTTTTCTGGAGTGACATGTTCTTTCGCAGTCAAGTGGCCTTTGTGACTGAGAGTGACTGTCAACCATGGATCTGAGAGCTGCAACTTGTTCTGCTCCCCGTTGCCTCTAGTTTACTTACCGCCACCCACACCTCTGCCTTTTGCTCCTGTGAGCTCTTGTTTTCATTCTGGAACCTTTTCTCAAGCATTATCTTGCATCCTTTTCTGCCCGTTCACATTTCAGAGCAGGGCACCCAGAGACTGATCAGAAGCTCATGTACATCAACAGGGCTTGTCAGGAAAGCAGTGGCTGGCCTTTTGGGGTTTTAAGTTTTAGGATGTCGAGATAGCTTTTTTATCACTTGTGTTCTAAATGTCACTGTCTAGAAGTCTGTCTTCTGGGGCCACTCAGATCCCTCAGTCCCCATCCGTGATTGTATACAGCGACATTTTGGAAGCTCCACGGGCAGGGAGTCAGGGAGCCCTACTGTTTGCGGTGCAGACTTTCTCTTAGTCTTTCTCTTCTTAGACTTATTCTTCCAAATATTTGTTACTCTCTCCTCCTTTTTGGTTCCCAGTTCTTGTCTTTGGGAGATTATGCCTTTATTTATTTATCTTTAAATGACCTTGCTATTAGTTCAGTGGGATTGGAAGGAAGAAGAAATGATACATGTGCTCGAGTTGGCTGATTGACCCAGAAGTCTGTCATCACCACTGGGCGATGCCCTTCATGTTGCTTCTCAAGTGACTTTGACTTCCTGCTGCTTTTCCTGTCCTCCCCAGTGGAGAGAGAGTTGAGGTGCATTTTCTCCTGGTCCGATCCTTGCTTCACCCTGTATGACTGCCATGGTGGCATGAGGAAGGGGTTGCGTAGATACAACGTGAGGGGAGTACAGTGAAACCCAACCAGGTCTGTCGTTGATTTCCCATTGGGAGGGTGGATTAATTTTCCACTGTGTGTACGTGGGCAAAGATGTCAGCTTTCTTTGGTGTTTGATTTCCCACCACCACAATTTAAAAGATTTGAAGGCTAAATCAGTTAGTCTTTGCATTCACAACTGGAAATTATAGGCTGTTTCCGAAATTAGAGTCTGTTTCAAGTGAAACGAATTTTCAGAAAGAGGCTTGTGACCACGGATGTCCTTACCGGGGTGTCGTCTGTCAGAGCCAAGCGTGGCCTCAGGTCCTGGGCCCTCCTTTTCCTGGCTCCCCTGCGACCTCCCCACTGAGGAACATTTTCATAGGATTCCAAATTAGAGACTGGGATTTCTCACAGTCCTTATTTTGTACAATCCAGTGCCACGTGGTTGAGTGATAAACTGTGTTACTGGAATACAGAAACAGCCCGAGTTGAGAGGAGTTTTGGAAATTACCCTTGAGTGATTTTTGTGCCTACCCACAAAGCTTCATTATGGACTTTGTCTTGAAGTCGTTCTAAGTTTCATAATCTGTTGATAATCAATATACACTGTACCTCAGACCTCCAACTTTCTGATCTCCAACTATTCATCTTAGAGTGATTTACCCAAGAAAAAGTAAACTCAGGATTTCTTCAAACCAACCAAAATGGGAAGGGATTTATATTAATCCATGTGTTAGAAGTTTCCCTAGGTGGAAAGCCATATACAAAGTATTTATTCTCTTTGAACTTAGATTTTTTACTTTTGATAAATTCTAGTAAGAATTCCTGCCTCCTAACTTTAGTAATTAAGACGTAATCAAGGCACTCAACTTAAAGGGAAATGTGAATGTGGCACATTACTTTTTTTTTTTTTTTTTTAATGATGACATCTGTTTAAATTTCAGTACAAAAATTGAGAAGGAGAAAAGAGAGCATGCAAAACAGCACGGGATGATTCGCACCGAGATCACCGGGGCTGAGATCGCAGAAGAAATGGAGAAGGAGCGACGCCTCTTTCAGCTCCAAATGTGCGAAGTAAGAACGCACTCTTCAGCCATTTGCCCAGAATTGTATTAACTGTCATCTTTCCTGCTTTTAGCAGTATTTATGCTTAAATGCAGGCTGTGATTATTCGCAGAGGGAAGTTTCTTAAGGATTCTAATCTCCATTTTTCTCCAAGCCTTTTGGGATCCACCATTTCACTGTTGTCTCTTGTTTTGAGCCTCGGTCCTATGGGGCTCTTTAAGCCTAAACGGGATTCTCTGGTGAGAACTTTAATGTTGCTTGTGATTGAGTGTGGAAAAAAATTTGGGTGAGGGTAACACGGGTGAATAGTACATTTTACTGGTGCAGGGTTAGAGCATGTTTCTTTTTTTAAGCATGTGTCTAGTTTGATTGAAAGCTTAAGTGAAGTAGTCATTAAGAAATCTGAGTTAACAGGGGAAAAATGCAGTGGAAAGCATGCGGCCTTAAACTTAGAGCAGTGGGTCTCAAAATGCTAACATGGATAGAATTTTCTCAATTTTTAAGTTTCCCTCCTCAATTTTTCTCTTGTTTCTTCCCCTCCACCCCAGTCATGAACTTAACTCCTTCGTGAACTTGTTACTCGTCAATACTTTCACATCACAAATCCAGTAAACAATATAAACAAAAGATCTTGACCAATTATGAAAGTTAGAATTACTAATGAATAGTCACTTGCACCTGCACAAACTTGCATTGTCATTTTTATTCTTTGATTCCATAGTAGCAAAGATTCTTTCTAATTCACTTCCTTGGTCTGAAAGTCTCACTATCATGCAGCATGTCCCTTGAAGAGAATGCCACTGGACTGGTTTTCTACAAAGAACAAGAAGGTTTTGGTGATGTGAGCCAGAAGTTTGAGATCCACTGCACCAAGGGGAAATAATCAATTATTCAGAATGTTTTGTTGGGTTTGATTTCTGCTTGTCTAGTCAACTAACCTTAAGTATTTAAGATGCTAACCCCCTAATCAGTTTTGTCCACCTGTGACTGCCAGATCAGCGTTCCCTAAGTCAGACTCGCACTGTCTTCAGACAGCCGAGGTGCAGTATGCGTGATCGCTTTTCTGACACTCCAGCCTGTGACTGAAGAGGCCTGTCTGAAGTGACCCGCATAAAATTCTGTTTTATTTCCACAGTATCTCATTAAAGTTAATGAAATCAAGACCAAAAAGGGTGTGGATCTGCTGCAAAATCTTATCAAGTATTACCACGCACAGTGCAAGTAAGTGGACGTTACCATCATATTAGCAAGTAAGGCCCTGTCACTTTTCCGGTTTCCTTACTCATTCCCTCTTTTGGGTCTTCATTTGGTCACTATACTCGTGATGTAAGGACCTTCCGTGGCCAAATGATGAGAAATAGCATGGTGTTTCTATAAATCAGTAACTCAAGTTCGTGTACCTCTTGCTGGAACCTGCTTGCACAAGCTGATGTTCTTGACAGCCTGAAGAGCCTTCCTTACCATCGGTGATGGTTCGAGAGAGAGAGCGATTGTCCAGTTCTAGGGTTGTTTCCTTGCAGAGGTGCCTTTTTATTATGTTTGAAAATCTGTGGCAGCACATTTGCTTTTTCATTTCTTGTTTACTTACTGGGTTAGCTTCATGAATTTTCTGGAAGATTTTTGTGGGGGGGAAAAAATGCCCATTACTGTTAAAGTCTGTGTTGCGTCCGTGGGCCAGCATGGTGCAGACAGCGCTCATAATTATAGGCAGACGCCGTCTTGTAGCCAGAGAAGCCCCTGCTTTCACCCTCACTCTCCCTTCAGGGGGGCTGCCTTTCCCTGACGTTTGAGGGCCCTGCCAGGGCAAGGGAGAGGGAAGGAAGTACCACAGTGCTAACTAACTTTTTCCATTTTTAATAAAACACCAAAAATATCCAACCCACTTTAAAAAATTATAAAGATCGTTAGTTCTAGATAAAATACTACTCTCTGAAAAGTTAAAATTTATAGTTTCCTTTGATAGTCTCTCTTATTTCTTTTAATATTGTTATATCTTTGGAAGATCTTTGTCTTCCATCAAAACATCCAGGAAGTCAGCACTGACTCTGGAGAAGGGGCAGGACTTAAGTCAGAGAGATAAGGTCAAATTCTGCCACTGGGTACCCGTGAGATCTCCATGAGGAGTGTCTCTGAACCACAGTATCCTCATCTGTGACATGAGATTAAGGTTCTAAAACCCACCTTGGAATTTTCAAAGATGCGAGAGTTTAGTGAGATGACGCAGAGGGTGTGGTCCACCCGGGCCTGCTACCACTGCGCGTGTTTGCTGCTGTGATGATTCTCAGTGGATGTAGATCAGGTCCATCAATAGTCGTAAGGGATGTAGGAAGTGACTGATAACTCAAGGCACTGCGAGGAGAGATTTGGAGGGTTCCTTGAGGGAGGTGGTGGCACTCGGGATTGAACTTGGAGGATGACCAGCCTATGACCATTGGGATCTGGTAGGGGAGTCTCCCTTCAAGGCAGAGAGAGATCAGCAGAAGGGAGCCCGACCCAGTAATAACTTCCTGTGGACAGAAGGTCAAAAGTATCAACTAACAGAACTGGGAAATAATAGAGTTCAGCCCTCATTGCCCCAACATTGAACCACAGATTCTATCACAGCAAGAAGCCAGAGTCGTTTTCTCTCGAGGACTACTTCTACCTTTCCTATGTTAGTCCAGCCCTTCAAACCCTTTACAGACACACAACAGACCTATAAAGCCTTGTTTATTTAGATTTTTTAAAAAGAGCAATTTCATATTGCAAGTACTTATTCCAGTTCCCAAAATGATTTTCAATGTCAAATCAAGTGGTACTTAAGTTTTGCCCTGGTGGCACCTTGCATAGTTGTAGTACCATGGTGGCTGCAGAGGCTGGAGGAAGCAGAAGAGAAAAGCTTTTGACTTTTGTTACCCATTTCAGCTCACCCACACTCATTGTTCCTCCCTTTCAAACATGAACATTATCAGTAGCACACTGTTTTCCAAACAAACATATTATCCTACTACTCATCCACTCCTTTTACCACCCAATAGGTGTCATTAGGATCTGCAGAATCAAACACATTTACAAATATTACTTTATTATCCTTCATCGTAGAGATAATAAACACTAACATTGATCAAGAGTGGCCAGGAAGTGGTTGCTCAGAGAAGATCTTAACTTGCCCAGAGCCACATTCGTTCATTTCATAGATGCTTCATGAATATGTGTCGAAACAAAGAAAGCACAAGGAACCAAAGGAAAAATAGATAAATTAGACTTCAAAATTTGAAACTTTTGTAAGTGAACGGACACTATTAAGAAATTGAAAAGATAACCTACAGAATGGGAGAAAATATTTGCAAATCATTTCTCTGAAAAAGATGTAATATCCTGAATATATAAAGAACTCTGACAAGAACAAAAAGATAAACAACTCAACTTAAAAATGGTTAGAAGTTTTTCCAAAAAAACCCAATGTACAAATTGCCAAAAAGCTCATGGAAAAAGACAGCATCATTCATCATTAGAGAAATGCAAATCGAAACAACAATGTTCAAACAACCACCACAAAACAGAAAATAAATTTTGGTGATATCGTGGAAAATGAGAACCCTTAATACACAGCTGCTAGAAGTATAAATTGAGGTAACTGTTTTAGATAACAATTTGGCAAGTCCTCAGAAAGTTTAACATGGAGTTAAACTTTAGGCATTAGCAGTGGGTCTACCAGTCCCATTTCTAGTTATAGACCCAAAAGAACTGGAAAAAGGTATTAATTAACATCCAAATAGCCATTAAATGATGAATAGATAAATAAAACATGCTAAAACCATATACTCCAGTGTTATTCAGCCATAAAGGAGAATGAATTGTTGCTTCATGCTACAACATGAATGAACATTTAAAACACTTTTCTAGGCAAAAGAAACCAGATACAAAAGGCCACCTATTACATAATTCCATGTATATGAAATGTCCAGAGAAGACCAGTCTGCTGAAACAGAAAGCAGATTATTACTTGCTGAGGACTAGGGGAAAGGGAGTTTGGGAATCACTACTAACAGGTACAGTGTTTCTTTTGGGGATGATGGAAATGTTCTGAAATTAGAGGTGATGGTAATGCAACATCATTAATGTTCTAAAAACTACTGAGTTCTACACTTTCGGATGGTGAGTTTTATGTTCCATGACTTTTATCTCATTTTTATTTTTTTAATGCAAAACGCAGGGACAAAGATCCATGCCCTCATGGTCCCTATAGTTAAAAAGTGACAAACAGGTCCTGAACACAGGTCTCTAACTCCAGGGTGTGTGCGTCAAATACAGGAGAAGTTTTGAATCAATAAACTTGGCATTGGGACGGGACAGCGGTATACTTAAGGATGTCCGTCTGAAGTCTGACATACCAGTCTTTATTATCCCTTTGAACTGTGGAGACATGCTTTTTGTTAGTTAACCCCTGTGTACACTCAGGTATCTCAAATACCACAGGACATACTTTGGAATGTATCTGGGAGAAAAGGTCACTCAGTTCCCTAGATAACTGGAAAGCAGACTTTCTGAAGGGGTTGATGGTTGATTTGTTAAGAGATCACTTTATTTTTTTGTGCTCTCCAGTGTACTCCAAGATGCTCTGACTTCTTTTGAAAACAATCTTATGCTCTATGAGCCTTTAAATCTTTGACCAAGTCACACCTTTTTTCCAAACCAAGCAGAATATATAGTAAGAGTTACCAGGAAGACATTCTCGTCTTTTTAATTAAAAAGGGGGAAAAAACAACATGTACTGAACACATCTTCCCTGCCCAGCATGTTGCTGAGTGTCTTCACACACACGTGTTATCTGTATCACTTGGCCCACTTAGTAGGGACAACGTGTGCAGAAATTCAGTGACTTGCCAAAGTCCCATACCTGGTTGGTACATCTGAGAACCCAGATCTGAGGCCATGATCCTCTGATCCCGGTGCCCTTTATCTAAAACAATCCTGACAGCATCTTACATTGCCCTGTTTTAGTTTCCAAACCTGTCTCCAGAAATTATTTAAGTGCCATATCGAAGCTCAGTATTGGTTTGTCTGTGATTAACTTTATCACCATACTTCTGCCTTCTTGGCAGATGCCCTGTCCCAGATGCTGGTCCAGGTTAAGGCTTACAGGTGTCCTGTGCTGTGCAAGCCACTGCGGGACTGACTCAGGCCTGAGTACAAGCAGGTGCTCCAAGGGGCCAGCTCCTTGACTGGCAAGAGTGTGTTTGGCAGGCAAGTAGAGTGGGGAAGGGCATTTCAGGTAGAGAGAAAAGCACATGCAAAGCCTGGAGGGGCAACCGAAATAATATAACATGGCTGAAACCCAGAGTTCTTAAGGGAAAATGGTAGAAGATCAAATCAGAAAGATATTCAGGAGCCAGAATGTAAAAGCTAATTCTGTACCAAGAAATTTAACTTCCTAACCTGAATGTTAGGTGATGACAATTTAAATGTAGCTTTTGAGTGATGTTTAGTTAACCAAAAGCTTTCTTTTCTCCTGTACCTGTTGCAGAAAGACATTCTAAATAGTAGTTTGTGTTTCTCTTCCTTATTTCAATAAGGCTTCTCTGCTAAAGATGTCAACCTTACAGAATGTTGAAACTTGAAGAATTCTGTTATCCTCGGAAGGCCAGTTCTGATAGCACATACCATTGACTGTGTATATTAAGTTGAAAACATGTGGGTCCCCAGATGTGCCTAAAAATTCTTGATAACACTTCATTGTTAGCTGCTTACTGAGCATCTGCTTGGTGCTGAGCCCTCTGTGATAGGAGAAGAGACACAGCGCTGATCCTTTTGTGGGGAGACAGCGACACAGACAAAGTGTATTGAGAAATCATCCACTACTGAGGCTTGGCCAAAGGAGCTCTGGAAACAGGCAGGTTTCCTGAGTGAAGTGTTCACACCAGAACCTCTTCGCGCGCTGGGTAATAGCAGGATATCAGTTCAGAGCCTGCGCCTGAACCATGGTTCTGCCACCTACTAGTTTTGTGAGCAGTTTGAGCCAGTTATTTACATACTTTGTGCCTCAGTTTACCCTTTAAAATGGAGATGACATCGAAGTGTTTATTAACTCATTAGGGTTGTTGTGAGGCATAAACTCATATAAAGCGCTGGACATATGATAAATGCTCAACATATTGGCGCTCGTTATTATTCCAAATGAAATAATGCAGCCTCTTATCTTTCTGGATCCATCCAGGCCATTCATTCAACAGCCTGTCTCCAGCATGTGCTGGAACACGGGGCCTTATGGGGAACTGAGTGCATGCTGACTTTCCTCCCACCCTTGTTTCTAGTTCAGTCACATCTCTCCTTAGAGTGTTCAATGCGACTTTATGATAGTAGTCCGCTGGTTAATGTGTCTTTCTCTTGAATTCAAAGATAGCCCAAGCCGGAGGGACTGGTCTGTGAATAGACGATGTACATGTTATGAACCTCAGTGTGTTGGGATGGTGACTCGCTGTGTCTGGTATCTACTAGCACATGGGGAATGGTGCCCATAATTTGTTTGTTGGTACACCATTATAAAATACTGAAATGAGTTTTCTAAGTATTCTTGAGATATGGAGGGGTTCGGAGAAAAAGAGAAAATTTCAGATTTTGCAGGTAATTATGGTTCATTTTTTTACACTGCTGGTAAATCTGATATTTTCCATTTCAGTTTCTTTCAAGATGGCTTGAAAACAGCTGATAAACTGAAACAGTACATTGAAAAACTAGCTGCTGATTTATATAATGTAAGTTCTTTATAAAATGTATGCTTTTTAACTTGGTTTTATAGATAAAAGTCAGTGAATTTGGCATCTGGATCTGAAGAGTGTTAGAGACGAGAAGGCAGGTTCAGTGATGTGTCAGTCCAGTCTAACCCGGGAGCAACGAGCCTTCAGGTTCACTTAGGGAATCACCAGTGGGCAGCCATTCCAGAGCACAGAGATGAAGCTATTTGGAGGACAGGGCAGTGAGTGAGTGAGTGATCGTTGATTCTAGATCGTCTCACTCAGGGCCCTTGACATTGCCCTTCAGTCAGCAATTGCAGAATGTTTGATCCAAAAAGCATAAAAATTGGCTGTCCTGGGTAGGCAGGTTTATGAATTTTTATTTTGCTATTTTATATTTCCCTCCCTAATACTTGAGTTTTGCTTTCATAATAGGAAAATCAAAAGGGAAACTTGTGGGAAAAAAAAAAAACTCAGTGCATCTGTAGAAATGTCAGGCTTTTCCTCGTAAACCACTTGGCATAAATAGTATTAACAGCATATGTTTTATGAGTGTAACCACGTATGTTCAAATGAGGTTTTGGAATTAAAGATAATACTGCATATTCTGATACATAGCTTTTAAATATACCACTGAGTATTTTTTTTGTAATTTTTTAAAAATAGTTAACAAGGTCCAGGATACAATTAATTCCAAGTGATTTTTCTATAAAGCAGCAACAATCCCTTGCCCTCATTTAGCACTCGGTGGTAAAGCTTTATATGTGCATCAGCCCATTGGATTCTGGCCATCCTGAGGATTCTCTTCTGGCCCATTTAATCAAATTGTGGATTCCCATCACCACCCTTTGAAAAACCAGAAGCAAATGACTCACTGTTATTTATTAACTGTGTTTCAAAGAGTACATTTGCTCAAAAAAAAAAAATTGCTCTTTTGGACACTGGTGGTTATTTGGGACTGTATACAAAGCTGGTTATCTACACAGTCTTAAAGAAAAATAAATTCAAATATTTAACCCTTTCAATAATAACAAAACAATCAAAGTTCAAGATAAATACTTACGGAATTATATGCTTGTACTTTACAATTTTGGATGGAATCATGGTAAAGGCAGAAACCACAGAAGCAAAGGTTAATTGATTTTCTTCAGTAAAGATGAGCAAATTCTGTATTATTAAAACACAAATATGATTGCAAGAGACAAAAGCTTAACTGGAAAAAACAACCTTTGTATGTCCTTAATACCAAATTTTTATGTCAAGAAAAAATTCAAGTCTAATAAATCAAAATAAGTAACGATGACATACAAAATATATAAATAATGTTCGAACTTGTGAAACAATTTAACTTCAGTTTTAAAAAGGGCACTTCAGCATTAATTTTCTAACCTAGATGTTGTAATAAGAAAGTATTTGCATTATTTGTTAATTTCAAAACTCACCGGTGCTTTCATAAGATGAGAAAATTACCTTTCACATATAAAAATGAGACTGTAAAATACACGAGGAAATCAGCTCTATGATTGTTATATTTGATGAATTAAACTCTGCTTATAAAACTAAGTAATAGAAATCTTTTTTTCCCCTCATAGATAAAACAGACCCAGGATGAAGAAAAGAAACAGCTTACTGCTCTCCGAGATTTAATAAAATCCTCTCTTCAACTTGACCAGAAAGAAGTAGGTGATCTCGGTGTTTCCAGCAGGGCTAAGAGTGTAAGCGTGGCTACTCTATTAATCTTTTTGTGTCCGTCTGTTCTGCCAAAGAGGCCCTTTGACAGCTTCCTGCCAGGGAGGTTGTGGGAACAGATGAGAGAGAGGCAGGTGTGTGCCTGTCACACCGCCAGTGTGGGAGGGAGTCCCTCACCCCTACCCACCATTCAAGACTCAGGAGTGTGTCTTCATGCTGTTGAGGGAGAGTCAGTGGTGTGTACACCCCACATCCTCTTTAGATTATCTCTGTCTCCTGGGCAGCCAAAGGAGGCCTGTGTAGTTTTGCTAAGGAAAGGGAAATTTTTTTTTTTTTTTTTTTTGTAGGACCCTTGCTGGCGGCCGGGGAACGAACCGGCACTGCAGAGGCTGCGGGCAGCCTCGCAGCCCAGCGCTCAACCGCTGCGCCACCAGGGGAGGCCCTGGAAAGGGAAATGTTTTGAGTTAAGAGTCCTGTAGAACTTTTGTCCCACAGTTAGAAAAATTCAGGCATGCTAGTCCTTGGGTATTGATGGATGGTCCTTGCATGGTAGAAAACAATGCGACTGTTGCATTCTTTCTGTGTACACAGAGACTGGTGTATTCTGCTCATGCTAGCTCAAGGCCAGAGTTGCAAGAAGACCTCCTTCAGTGCATGAAGAAATGCATGATTTGATTTATTTTACCTGCACCCCAAATTGATAAATGTTGAGTTTTCATTAGCACCATATCCAGAGTATTTATAAGTGCAAATTGATCTCTCTCAGCATGCCTTTCCATTTTCATGCTATTTATCATCTCTTATTGCAAAACATATTTAGAAAGTAATGATTTTTAATAACTTAAATATGAAAGACTAACCACTAGAGAGTTCTTACCTAGTGCTGCTATTTGAGAAAAGTGTAAAGTAACCTAAAAATGACCTGAAAAAATAATAAAATTTTTAAAACTAATGACCAGAAAAAATAAAAGCACCCAACAAATCATTTTGCCTCCTCAACCCCACCAGATTCTAGCTTGACTTCATTAAAGAAAGCTCCAAGTTTTTGAGCTATAAATAAGATTCCTAGATAGTTGATGGACTCATTTCCCTTTAAAATAATATTATTGACTAATATGATTGTGATATTAATTATCTTAAGCTTTTATAATAACCTCCCAAAAGATCTATTTGCTACATAACTCTTCTTGGGTGATATCCATACCAACTATTTCCCCTTTTTGTTTGAGTCTCCTTCTATCAGAATTGGTTTGCAAGTTGTTGGACCAAGCCTGCAATTTGCTCATTTCTCCCTTCTCCGTGTGTGGCACGTTGCCCAGCCTGCAAGAGCCACCAATAAATATTTAGTAAGATGAAACAGAAGGAATCCTTTGTCCTCTCCATTCATACATTACATTAGAACTTTGAAAGGTTTGGTTTTAAATTCAATGCCAGCAACATGTCTAACCCCCATTAAATCAATGAGAGGGTGTAATTGCTTGCAGTTAAAAAAGATTACTCCTTTAATATAATGCATTTTCTATGTTAATAAGGTTTTCCAATAAGAAAGTAAGGTAATTTATCTGTACCGATAATAGAGAATAGGAAATTGAGCTAAAAATAATACCATTATTTCATTCTATAGTTTACATTTCTTGGCTCACATCATGGAATTTCCCCAAGGTTTTATTTAAAACCCATTATTTAAGTTGAGTTTTTATATTTTTTTGCCTGAATGGGTTTCTCATTTGCATTTCTGTTTCCTGAATACATACAGATTTCTTTTATGCTATCAAAGAATTCAGGGTCTATTTTATTCCTTCTATTGTGATTTGTTTTGTTTTTTAGATGATTATTAGTGTTCATAATTTGCCTAAGGTTTACTTTCTCACAAAAGAAAAGCCTCTATCGTTTAGCTGGAGCTCTTGCTAAGCAAGCTGAATGGCCATCATTTCTCAAAGTGTAGAAATAATAGTTTATGTGACTTTCTTAAGCCATAAAACTCATTAGCGGTTAATGCAAGACATAAAATGTAGTATCTCCTTCCCGCTCAGTGCAGTAGAACAGACTTCTGAGGCCAACGTCTAGACCTTAGCCCCTTTATTCACCTTTAAGAGCATATTTGTCTGAGGCGAGGCCTGTTCAATCTGTTTGTCTTCAGAATTTCAGTTTTATTTAGACTAGTAATATATGTAAAGAATGTTTTACTGATAAGTTCATAGAATATAATAGTTTTCATAAGTTATCAGCATCCAAATCCTTGTTAATAAGTGCTTTTCTTTTTACAACTTACGCATATATTTTAAAGGTTAGCAAACTGGTTAAGATTCAAAATGCATAGCTTTAAAATATTCACAGACTAGGAGTTATGTGGACAGATGATGTGAAGTTTAATTCCATGCAAAGAGTTCCAGGGAAGTAAACTATTCTTTTAGTAAGAATTGATATCCAAGGAAATTCTAGATCTTGTTTTTAATATTTTGGTGAGATATAGATATGGCACAGATTCCCTGACTCCAGATCCGTGGAGTCAGGGAATTAATTTTTTAATTAATTAATTTTCATGTGATTTCCTTAGGTTAAAGCAGAAAGCTGCGTAGTTTTCTTTTCTTTTTTTTTTTTTTTTTTCCATGCCTCAGTTCCTTCCTTACCACCCAAACTTATTTTCCATCCTAATTGTTCTGTGCTAGTGATATGGACGCATTGCTGCCAGCTTCAGAAATACCTCCTGTTACTGCGATAGTTGTTAGGGGCTGGCGCTGGCACTGGTAGAGGAGGCTGCTCTCTGCCTGCCTGACACACAGGGCAGCCTCAGTCTTACCTCCATCCAGAAGGCGTGGAGGGATCCATCAGGGCAGACAAAGGGAGCCAAAGTGCTGTGGAGCTCATGGTGGTCAGCTCTGATCAAAAGTAAACGCGTAGAGGAATTCTTTAAGAGAGGCCTACGCCCTCCTCCCTTGGTGATTAAAACTGTCCAATTAGGGGCCTCCCTGGTGGCACAAGGGGTTAAGCACCACACTATGAAGCAATTCGAAGCTTCTGCAGCACGAGTTCGATCTCCGGCCAGCCAATCTACTCACATGGCGCAGCAGACCTCTCCTGATTCACCTGCTGCTCCCCTCAGCAGTGTATTTCAGTCAATCCGCCTGTTTTGTTCCCCACTCTGACTCTGGTGAATCCTCTCACCTCCCACACCTTTGGCCTGTACCTCAGTTCTTGTATGCATAAATAAATAAATCTTTTTAAAAAATTTCCCAATTAGATGTTTTTAGCCTATTAAAGACCAAAAAAATGCTCATTTAATTAAGACAGTGGCTAGCTGTCCTGCGGTGAGTCAGTTTGCCTGGTGAGTACACAGGCAAATCTCTGTCACCTACACAAAGAGCAAGACAGGTGGTCAGAGTGGAGCACCCACCTGAAAGACAGGAATTGTGTCCCATTCAGTGTCCTCCATGCCTATCACCGTGCCTGGCTCTTAGGAGGTATGCGGGGCATGCTTTTCAACACAGATTGTCCTAGAGAGTTTTCCTTCAGCTCTTATGTTAACTTACATTCACTGAGCACATACTAGCACATACTTATTGATTCGAAAGGATCCTAATGCCAGGGAGAGGCCACCGGTCATCGTAAATGACCAGAGGCTGATACAGCATCCTGACATGTCATTGACACATTTCAGGTGGCTTGTGAACTGGTTCTTTATTAATAAAGTTCTTTGGAGGAAATGTCATCCTACAGTTTGCAGCTCATTTTCTACATTTTCTAAGTAGTTCACTTTGGGCATCACTGAGCTTTTAATTCCCTGTGCACACACCTTGAGGTTTGTCAGCCATTTTATCTTGCTGAAATTTGTACCTCATGTTTTCCCATCAGGCTTCTTAGCATTCCAGTGACTTGAAGTAAAATTTGATAAAGTCTCTAATGATGCTGAAGGAGATGTGTTTATCTGTGTATGTTCGGTATTATCTTTCCCTCATGTTTTCTCTATGGATTATAAAAAGTGTTTAAATTATGAGCAAACACGACTGTCAATGAAATTAACTGTATTTTCAAATATTCTGCCTTTTTTTCCTCTATTGCTTTTGCCCTTCCTGATCGAAGTCTAGGAGAGTAAGTCAACTTTTTGTGAGAATATGTTGTCCTACTTCTGTGTCTGTAGCCCCATGTTCTCATTCCACAGTTTATTTTGGTCTGTCGCTTCCATTTTCACCGTTAACAGCTATGTCTGGCCACGCCATCTCTAGAAGGTGCCGTGCTGATGCTGAGTGAGGCCTGTTTCATCTGTGCTGTTCACTTGGCCTTGTCACCATTCTCACCCTGTCGTGGGCTCACCCTGCCTTGGGCTGTGCACCACCATAGAATCATCGAAGTTAAAAACATATTTATAGACAAACTTACAGAGCGCTAGTTAGTTGCAAAACAAGAACTTTATAATTCTCAATCCCTCACTCAGGTTACTTTTTATTGTGGCTCTTTTAGCAGAATATGTGAAGGGAGAAAGGGCATAGCTAAGAGAAGAACACACCCAGCTTGCATGAACTTTGTTTTGTGGCCCAGTGGGGTGTTATCCAGCCCATTCTGTGCTTGCCTCTGCTGCCAGTGTCAACTGGTTTGAGTCAGGGTGTCTGCCACTGTGGTGTGTTTGTCTGAGGCAGAGCTGGGTGTTAAACTAGAACCAGGAGACCTGGGCTCCAGGCCCCAGCTCTGCCTTGGACTTGCTTCTGACTCTGGCAGATGTTTACATGCCCAGCTTCCGCGTCTAAAAAGCAAGGACCTGGCAGCTCTAGAAGTCCCCCAGTTCTCTCAGGGGGACTTTGCCCAAGCAGTGGGCAAAGGCTCCATGGCAGTAGGATTGAGGATTGTCTCCAGTGTTTGTTTAGTCCCTGGCTTCTCTTTTCTAGGATTCCCAGAGCCGGCAGGGAGGATACAGCATGCATCAGCTCCAGGGGAACAAGGAATATGGCAGTGAGAAGAAGGGGTACCTGCTGAAGAAAAGTGACGGGTATGTGGAGGGCACCCCCATGTCGCTCTGTGTGCTCAGCACACTTACTGGGTGCCAGACATCCAGGATGTTTCTCAGCCTCTGGCGTAGGAAATGCTGAGGTTTCTAAGGCACTTGCTTCAGACCTTAGCACACTCACTGGTTTTCTGGGGGTAAGTCTTGAGATTTAACTTGCTTTTCAGGAGAAGCAGTGATAGTTCTGTGGTCCTCGAGGCTCCTGTGCCTGTCAGGACCAGATGAGGATGGTCCTGAGATGCATGCGAAGTGAGCCAGTGGCCTGCTGACTTCCTGCTGGCCCACCTCTCAGCCTTTCTCTGCTGGGGATACCCACCTGGCCACCCACACCCCAACCCTGGGCGTCAGTCTTGACCCTCTCTCTCCTCTGACATCACAGACAACCTAACTAGTTCTTCCATTTCTAACATGACATACTGTCTTCCCTGCCCCTGTGAGGTGAGCCACCACCATCTCTTCTGACTGCCTGCAGTGGAGGGCGAATCTTGCTGTCATCCAAGATCATCAAGGAAGACTTTAGTGAGGAGACATTTGAACAAAGGCCTGACAGAAGGGAAGGAGTGCTCTCTCCAGACACCTGAGGGAAGAGAGTTCTGGGAAGAGCGTGCTTCCCTCATGATAACACACGGGAGTGCAGCCTCGCTGGAGTGGAGTGAAAGGGCGAGGCATCAGCTGGGGCCCACCCTGGGGGCTTTGGGAACCTTTGTGTCAGTGGTGTCTTGGGAGCATTAAGATGCTTAAGAGCAGAGGCATGCCATGAGCTGACATGTTTTGGAAGGTCTCTCTAGCTCCCAGGCTGAGAATAACTGTGGACGGTAGAGCTAAGGCAGGAAGGCCAGGCAGCAGGCTGCTTCAGAAACCGGGGTGTGAGGTGATGGGGCTCACGAGAATAGCAGTGGGGTTGAGTGGCCAAATTCTGGATGATGAAGGGAGGGCCTCCGGGGAGTAAAGGACAAAAAGCTTCCCCAGCACAGAGAACAGCACCCGGCTCTTTGTAGAGTCAGTAATGTTTGCAGACTGTTAAGTCCTGCAAAAAGTGAAAGAAGACAAGTAATACCAGTTACCAACATCACAGCTTTCAACTGGGCCCTTTTTAACTAACTCAGTGACCAGAGGGCAACCCGGCCAGGCGGTGCCATGTCTGCCCACGGCTGATCCTGCAGTTGATACCAGCAGCTTGGCTCAGTGCCCGCTCTCTCCTCCCCTCCTGTGGCACCAGCATCTAGAAGTGTGGGGGCCAGTTACTCTTCATCACGAGGGAAGTTAATGTTGTGCTGTATGGAGGGCCACAGTGTGTTGTCATATTTTGAAGCAGAAGTCTAGAACAACGATATGTTTAACTCTGCTCACCTAAAGTCATGGTTTTCTTGAAATTAGGGTTGCCTGTTTCTAAGTGAACTGGTTAATAATCTCCATGCCCAAGAAAAGTTACCAGTCTTTTCACTGTTTTTGTTTGGTTTTAACTCACTTTAGTGCTGTGTGCCTGTCAGACACTGCCAGGGGCCTTCCCTTCACCTCTCGTGACACCTTTTACTTATCAGGCAACTCATCCAGAGAAACTCGGGCGTTTGACTAAGATCTTGTCAGGAAGGTTTAGAGTCAGGATTTTAGCTCCTGACTTAATGCCAGGTATCTCCCCTTCATATTTTAATGGGGGGGCACTGCTGCTGTGTACAGCCCTTAGGTTCCAAAGGCATTTTCTGGCAAAACCCCACATGCCCACTCTTCGATTCCTCTGTCTGTCCTTCCTCCTTCCAGTCACTCGCCACACACCTGTGAGGAGCTCTGGGGTACATACAGGGCGATCACTACATGCTGGATGGTCAAAAGTCAGTGAGCTGGGGCCTTCAGCCTCGCCTCAGCCTGCAGCCTGTTGAGAAGAGATAGGAAAGAACTATCTTGAAGTTGGAAAGGAGGTTGGAAGTTGGGGTCTAAGCCCCTGATAACGCACAGGCAGCAGAGGTAAATACCGGTCACCCCAAGCTGCTGTGACTGTTTCCTCTGAGACGCCACAGGTGAGGAGAGACACACCTGTCACCACTGCCGGCACCTTGTATGATTTTCTCCTAAGGATCCCTTGAGTTCATTGTCCTGACCCTAATTTAAAAGATTGTTATATAGTTTGAAAAACAATTAAAAATTTCCAATGCTAATTTTAAAACCTGATAACCAGGGGCACGTGTGGAGAGACCAAGGAGCTATGGCTCCTTTCATGAGAGAAAGGAGGGAGGGTCGCGACCGCCACGACAGCCACGTTGCAGGTGGATGGCGCTGCTGACAGGAGCGTCAGAGTCCACGCGCACTTGTCATCCGAAGGTCCTTTTTGGGCTTCTGAGGTTCACACGTGGTGTAGCCGGGGGTGCTGTCTGCGCAGATGTGAAGTCCCTGTCTGAGCGTTCAGGAGCTTGCAGCCCTGAGCATTCAGAAGTTTCCAGTACAGACTGGCAAGTACAGCAGTTGATTATGTAGCAGTCATGGCCTCAAGAACTGTCAGGGTGCTCATGGGAGAGGGCGTTGTGCTCTCAGCTGTGCAGGGGGCGCCCCGCTGCAGTGTGGCTCCCCTTGCCCTGAGGCCCCACGTGAGCCGCCTCCCCTCACAGACATGAACACTTCTGGGCTTCACTACTAAGGAGGGAGATGGGTTTTGGTTTTGTGTTTCCTTGATAGGCACGTGTGAGAAAAACTAATGACTTAAGACATAACTAACCAAAGTGAGGAAGCTGAGCCGACAGCGGCCTGAAGCTTCTACAGTTAGGTCAGTCATTCGTATTTTAAAATGTGTTGCTGGGAAGGATGATCATGGTCTGGGTTTATGTGGCCAGGGAGTCCCTCACCTGTCTAGACAGGCTTTTTTGAGTGACACGGGATGCAGAACTACCTGCAGAGAATGGGTAACATGCCCCAGAAGCAGGTGTGGTTACTGGACAGATGCTCCCTCAGATCAGACACTCCCTCATCAGTGACTTAGCTGTCCCTTGAGGATAGTTGATCAGTTAGTGGTTCTGCGTCGCCTCCTGAGGACACCGGCATTCTGGCCGCAGTGTAGTCAGGTTCTCGTTTCCCTCTGCAGGCTGCTTACAGACAGCCTACACCGCTAGTAGTTACTTAGGTGAGAAGACAGTATTGTCTGCCTTTAGGGTTGGTTTTAGATTCCTGCTGTGACAGGTTTCTTACAGGATTAATATAGGAAGAAGGAAAAGAAAACACAAAAAAAGCTGCAATGGTCTTCTCTAATGTCATTTGTTCACACGGCAACAGAGAGCCTGCAAAGGCTTCTGCTAGCCCGGAGAATTGCTTTTCCCTGACTGTTTCTCTTTACCTGAAGGAAGTGGCCTCAGCTAGCACATTTGTCCCTGCCTGCACATGAGTGAGTCTGCCACAGGGGCATTACCAGAAAGCTCTTCCAATTGAAATTAGCTCCGTATTTTTCTGTCCGCCAGCTTCATCCGATTAGAAGTTCAAAGTGTAGCGTGTACGTACTTGTGAATGGGTTGGCCCGTTTTCTTTCCCAAGTGAATCACAGACATTCTCTTGCAGGAGCTCAGAAGCCTCATTTGGCTCTGAGAGATCCCTGAGGAGTGGTGTGTAACTTACCAAAAATGATGATACAGCCTTGAGCCCTGGACCCTGGGCTGCTTTCTCTATATCCTGAGGCCCCCGCTCCACGCTCCTTGCATGGCAGACAGCTGGAATTATCTTCTTAACTTATTTAAATCAACTTTCAATTGCAGAAGTAGTAGATTATGACAGCCAGCTTGTAAACGGTTCACAGATGTGATTAAAAACTCCTGGCACTGCCCCTAATACAGGTCCAGTCCCGTCCTAGAAAGAAATCCTTCTGTCCATGCGGCCTGCCTCCTCCCTGAGCCTTTCTTGTGTGTTTACATGTGTACCCGTGGGAGCTGGGGTGCTGTTGTACACACCTTCAGCGGTTTTCAACATTACTTGCTCATACTGAACTGCCTTAAAACAGCTTGCTCTTTTTTTTTATTATTAGTAATATACTTTAGAGATATGGAGTAATCAGCTCATCCATACTTCTTTTTTTTTTTTTTTTTTTTTTTTTTGTGGGACCCTCACTGGTGGCCGGGGATCGAACTGGTGCTGCAGAAGCTGCGGGCAGCTTCGCAACCCAGCGCTCAACCGCTGCGCCACCAGGGGAGGCCCCATACTTAATTTTTTTAAACTTGTACATAATACTCGGTGTAACTAGAGTTTATTCTTTCTCCCGCTATTGGAATTCTCTTGTTGCCATTTTCTCTATCACACAGTTCTGGAATGAACTCCCTTGCATTTGAATTTCCTTCCACCTAGGACGATAACGGGCAACCAGATTTTCTGGTTGGGAGGGGGCTATCTTTTGTTTGTTTGTTTTGGGGTCTCTGTGTGTGTTTGTGGTAGTGATTATTACCCTGCATGACTGTCAGCTGCATGTGCACCAGGTGCTCCAGTGGCTTATTTTTGACTCTTCCTTTAGGCTCCGGAAGGTGTGGCAGAGAAGGAAGTGTGCTGTCAAGAATGGCATCCTCACCATCTCACACGCCACGGTAAGTGCATCTGCTCACGTGCACCTCCCTGGTGTGCTTCCTGGCCTGAAGCCTGGGGGGCAAACCCCTGTTATAACCAGCCCTGAAATTCTCTACAGATGTGTTTAATGTATGCAGTTGGGTCTGCCAGTTTAGGGTATTCTTTTCCAAAGGAACCCGGTTATAGCTTTTCCTGGGGTGCCCTGCATCGTTCTGTCGGCCCACTAGAACTTTTTGTCTTTTTGCTCCTCAAACCCAGTTGGGTATTTTTTCATAATCTTACCTTTTGGCAAATATTATTGGTTTTTCTGAAGAACCCAGAGTATTCCAAATTGTGAAAATGTTCTTTACGTGAAAAAATCACATAGGAAGTGCAATAATCTGTGTAAAAATGTGTGCAAGTAATGACTACTTAGCCCTTTTTGAACTAGCAAAACGTTATATTTTTCCTAAAGAGGCAGAGATTATAATGGAAAGCATGAAGAGGGACTGGAAAGGACATAGTCTTTACAAGGTTATCCCCAAAATCTCAGCCTGGAGAAGAGGTGTGGCTAGCTTCCGTATCCTGTGCTACACGGTGTCTGGCAGCTCTGAGGAGTAGCTCTTTGCCGGCAGGAGGGTACAGATGAGGGGTGAACACTTACCACATGCACAGCTCCCCCACCACTCACAGCCGTCTCGATTTCCCTCTGTTGAGGGAAAAGGGAAGCGCCTCTTATGAAGCATTCTGTGGGCCTTCATGGACTCCGCGTCACTAAGCACTCCCTCCAACACGTGTGCTGTCATGGCTTTCATTTTACGCATGAAGAAACCGAGGCACAAAGACCATTTGAATTTATAAGGAGGTGCTCTTTGTGCCCCAGCTCTCTCTACCTTCTACTGGAGAGTTCACTCAGATGAGCCCCTCGCAGTCCTGAAGCGTCTGGCAAAATGCATGACAGTGTTACCGTGTTCATATCCTTGCCTAGGACTCCTTGTGGAAGGCCGTGCTTGTCTTCACGCCCCCCTGTGAGGCAGGCACTGGAGTTAATAACCCCATGATTTTTTAGATCCCTTGCTAGGGGCTCAGTGTCATTTTCAGAGCCAGGCAATCTGCTCCAGGGCCCTGGGTGCTGCCCCCCACCTCTGCTCAGCAGACCATCATAGTAACGACTGTGACGATGATGCTAATTGCTACATTTACGGGATGCTGGGTGTGGCCCAGCCTTTACAAGGCTTTAACTTCATCGTCCCATTTAATTCTCACAACCCTGAAAGATAATTATGTCATCCTATTTTGTAGAGGAAAAGTGACGTTTAAGCATCTTAACAAAAGCCGTACAGGGTAAGCAGCTGCGTGGGCGTTTAACTGCAGGTGAACACGGACGGCTGTGCTCTCAGTCCCCCTTTACAAGGAGCAGCCCAGCAAGCATCACCTACAGAGTCTTGCCTGGCCCAGCCTGGCTGGATCCCCAACCTTTTAGCATAAGGAGATCACAGAATCAATGGGGTGAATCAGCAACACTGATTACTGGTTATATGCCCTTGGACAATGTGCTAAAATTAAACCATTAAGTTCTCTTCCACCCTCCCTTTTGCTTTCCCATCAATCACATCGTCATAGTCATGCCAACTGTGTCTGTGCTTCCTTAAGGCTCTAATCAACAACAAATAGCACTTCAGCTGCGCTGTTTAGTGCCTGGAAGGATGGCCTGTGGCATCTGTCAGATTCGAGTCTGGATCCCTTTTTACCATCTACTTTATGACCTTGGGAAGATTATAGTGCTGCATGGGGGTGCTCAGTCAGTCGGCTGCTGTTCATGGGGCCTCATTGAATGCCACAGGCAGTGATGAGCTCTTTGATAGGCAGCCCCTCCTGCAAAAACATTAGGAATTGTGGGGCCCCCTCTCTTGCCTCTAGAGCAGCCCAGAGGGACTGGGTTCCTCCAGCTGCCTTCTGATTCCATCTCACCATTTGTGTTATTCTGTCCCCAATTTGTCAAGCTCTTTTTTCTTTTAGTACCCCATCAGGTATTACCACCATAGGACACCCACCACCAACTCACCCATATTCCACCAACACAGACCACTGTGCTTCCTTCACACTTTGTTCTTAACCCTCCCCCCATGGTGTCTCAGTTCTGTAGTCAGCTATCAAGGGTTAATTTTTCAGCTTGTCTTTATCTATTCAGTTATTTTATATTCCACGTATTAGTGACACTATTTGGTATTTACTTTCTCCTTCTGATAACTTCATTTAGCATCATCCTTCCACTCCATCCAGGTTGCTGCAAATGGCATGAGTTTCTGTTTTCTGATCACTGAGTAGTTTTCCGTTGTGTACCTGTAGCACATCTTCTTGATCCACTCGTTGCTCTGGGGCACTTACGTTGTTTCCATAATTCAGCTGTAGTAAATCCTGCTGCAGGAAACGTGGGAGTGCAAGTTTCCTTTGAAATTAGTGTTTTTGAGTATTTTGGATAGATGCCTTGGAGTAGAATTACTGGGTCAAATAGAAATCCATTTTTAATGTTTTGAGACACCGTCAGTAGGTCAGACTTTTTTGCTGACAGTTATATCTCTTGTAATCAAATTACTGCTCCTAAAGAAAAGTCTCTCGCCAGCTTTCGTTGACATCTTCTGACTTTGCAGATACCTTTGGTTACTTAGAATCAGGTTGAAAATCAAGGCCAGCAGTTTCCTGGGAGAATATATGGAATTCATTGATCCTTGGAAAAGTGGGTAAGAGGGACTTTGTTGCCAGAAAATTTAGGGCCTTGTTTGAGACCCGTTAGCACAAGGTAGTTTCTCCTGTTTGTTTTATTTTCTATTTTTTATTTTTTTACATCGTTGTTCATTTTTAAACAATATTTGCTTCCCCTCACCCCCTCAGGTGTAGTCCCCATGAAATTTCCTTCCCCAATGCACGCATGCACCATCACCTCAGTCCCCTGTGCTCCTCCCTCCCTCCCTCTGATTCCTCTCCCTTCTGTATCCCTTTTGTTCTTTTCAGAGTGACCAGGAGAGGGTGGAGTCTACATCTAGATTAATAAGATCTGGTCTGTTGGCTTGACCACTCCCTCCAGTTCTGTTCTAGGGCGTCCTTGCAACATGCTCATCTAGGGAGAAACTCACTGCTGTGAACACCTGTAGGATGGCATCTGCATTGCATGTTGGCTGCTTTTCACACAGCTCTTAGAGACATGCACTGTTAAGACTTCTTATAGAAAGTGATGCAGCATCGTGGAAATCAGATTCAGGGACACTCTCAGAATCTGCTGTTGCGATAGTACCATTGATGACAGCTGCCGTTCGTGAACCAGCCCGGCGTTCCAAGCGCAGTATAAGATGCTTTCGCTTCAAAATGCCAATTCTAACATGTCTGTGGCAGACATTTTAGTCAGCCTCACAACTTAAGGAAAAGAAGTGGATGTGAAATCTCTAAACTATTAATGTATAGGGCCTCCCCGGTGGCGCAGTGGTTGAGCGCTGGGTTGCGAAGCTACCCGCGGCCTCTGCGGCGCCGGTTCGATCCCCGGCTGCTCCCCGGCCACCGGCGGAGGGTCCCGCATGGCGCGCAGACCTCTCCTGCCGCCCGCTGCTCCCCTCAGCAGTGTCCTTCGGTCCTTCTGCCTGCTCTGCTCCCCACTCTGGCTCTGGTGAATTCTCTCACCCTCCCATGCTTCTGACTGTACCCAGTGCTTGTATAAACAAAACAAACAAACAAATAAAATAAACAAATAAAACATGCCTCTATAAAAAAAAAGAAAAAAAAATAAAAAGCTTAACTATTAATGTATAATGATACCTATTTCTAAATATAGTAGTAATAATAATTTTACATATGAATGTTTGATACATTAATAATATATAACATAATGTAATTTATAAATATGGTAACTGGAAAATATTATCAAAGAAAGTTTAAGAATTACAGTTGAAATATTTCTTTATTGTAATCATCCTGAAAAGAATTTCAAAATTTCAAATTATACTTTTAATTTCAAAACTATAAGTTTTGCTCTTTAGAAACCCTTACCTCCTAAATTTACTGACCTCAATATTATGTACAGTGCAAATAGCGGGCTGAAAAAATAACTGCTACAGTTTGTGGAGCACGTAGAACATAAAACATCCCCAGCACTCGGTCTCAAGCTCGCCCCATAAAATAAAGGTGCCATCTTCATTTCTCACCGGAAGTGATGAGATGGAAGCTGTCTTACTCGCCTTTCAATTTCCTGTCCATGCACACTGTCTGCCATATACATTAGCGCTCACGAATACTTTTCAAATGAAACAGATTTTATAGATGCAGGCACTAAGGCTCAAGAGAGATTACACCCCTGCCCAAGACCTTGCATTTTGTGAGTAGCAGAACCTATTTCAGACCCTTAAGCCTGTGCCCTTTGCATGATACCATAAGCCTTTCCCTGGGTCCAAGTTGTTAGGTCTTTGAAATTGTCATGAGTAATACTTCTCTGGAATGAAACAAACTCCTTGCCTTGCCATTGAATCAACCATAGGGCCTTAAGGAGGAGCAGGTTGTCAGGGTCTCTGCAATGGAAAGAGAGGGGGCATCCCGGACATGAAGACAGGATAGCAGGGGTCAGTGAATTTATCTTTGAATCTGAAGACTGGCTTATTAACATCTTAAATTTTTCAAACACCTGTGATTTTTCTTATGTTTGCCATCATAAATAATTAAGTTCGTGGTTACTTAATCAGCCAACACTTAAAAATTTAAATATCACACAAGCCCACTAAAGATTTGGCATTTTATTCTAAAAGGTTGGGGATCCAGCCAGACTGGGCCAGGTGAGGCTCTGTAGGTGATGCTTGCTGGGCTGCACTTTATAAAAGGGGGAGGTTAGCAGCACTATCACGTGAATGCCAGATGACACCGAATCCCTAGTGAGGGTTCTAAATAAATAAAATGGAGCCATTACTAGTGTTTAACTCATAGGTGGGTGTAAAGGTTAAGCAAGTCTATTGATTATGTCTATTGATTATAGGTAATTATATAATAGCACGTGGGACAGAATTGGCGCCTAGTAGATGTCAGCTATTATTATATTGTTACCTTCTTCCTTAATGTCACTCCCGCCACTTGAAATTATCATTTATTGAATTCTTTTGTGTGCAATTTCTTTACTCCTCAAGGTACTTTATGAAACTCGATTGGGTACCTGTCCTCTCACAGGCGTTCCTTTCATACTTTGGCACCCCTGGGGCATTTTATCCTTAAGTCCAGAGTTGGACATCTTTTCCTGTCCCTGGGCTCTTTGGACCTGCAGGCATTTCCCAAGAACAATTTTTTTCAGCCGCATCTGAGCACTGAAGATAATGAACGTTCATTTGCCCAAAAGTCCAGTCCTTCCCTGGCAGGGTTTGATAACCGGCTTCTGTAATTGGCCTTGAGGAAGTTCTGCGGCTGCTGTGGACTCCCTGCATTCCCCATTCCAGTCTTCATCCCATCGTCACTGCCAGAAGACAATGTTGTCCTTTCACCCCAGAGATTAGAAGCGGCACTGTGACTTGTAAAAGAACCGGCTTTGGAGCCGGTTCACTTGGACGCATACCCATGAGCAAGCTGTAGGATAAGTTTCTTACATTTCTGGAACCTCAATTTTCTCCTATGTAAAGTGGGTATAATTTGTTTATTAAAGTGTATGTTGCTGTCTTTCTAAGCAGGCACTGTACTGGGTACTAGAGAAGCAGGAATAAGAGAGTGACCCCCGCCCTCCTGGAACTTGGAGTAAGCACAGGCTAAATCCACACCAGAAGTGAGCGGGGCTCTGTGATAGGAATCAGCTGGACAGCCACAGGGATGGGCCCCAGAAGGCCCACCAGAGCAGGTGACATTGCGGCACAGTCCCAGTAGAGCGAGGAGCACAGGAGGAGCCGGTGGGGGTAGAAATGATAACACTTTGCTTGCCCTCTTTGACAAGCCACCTGGGGGTTTAAATGAAACATTCTTCAAAGGTTTTACTATTTATATATTCTGAATAACCCAAGAAAAAAGATAAGGTTTATGGACTAACTTAAAAAGTACTCTGTGGTTGGTCGGACCGAAGCTCCAATTAAGCAAGAGCCATTAAAAGATTTGTAACATCCTGAACCAGTGTTAGTTGAATTGCTCCCTCCCATTTTTGAATAATTCCCTGTATCAGGTCTCTTCCAGCTTCAAGTGGTTCATTTTCCTTTGCCTCCTCATCTTGCTGTCCCTGTGACTTCGGACCTCTCTCCCACTCTTAAACAAGGGACCAGAGCTGACTTACGTGTTAAGTCCAGAATATAGTCACAGGCCTAGTGGCGCTGGGGTGGAATCTTCTTGCTCGTCATGGACACCAGCAGGAGGAGCGCTTTGTTCTAGCACAGATGATGTTCCTTGGACTCGTAATCCAAGCAGCCTGGGGATGCTTCTGCCACGTTGCAAATGCAGAACTGAAGAGGTGGCCTTTCTTAAAAGGCTTCCCAAATACAGTTCCCTGAAATAGAATTTAAAGACATAATCTGATTACGTTTTACAGGTTGTTTATTCTTGTAAATAACACATTCAACAGGGATTTATGCACTGTTTGAATCCTTGGAAAGTCTTTATTTACACTGTTTGAATTCCAAGGTAACGTTAACAGCATCAGAATAGTTTATTTCAAATGCAAACCCTAATCACTGAGTGAACCATTACCAATGATTGGAAAACACTGCACTTGGCTAAAGCACTGAGGATCCAGATATTCTCAGCCCCAGCTACATGTAGAATCCTCTGATTTCACCCTCCTCCTCCTGCCCCCCAAGGTTCTGAGTTCATTAGTCTGCAGGTGAAACCCTGGGATTGCTTCCCCGGGTAAATTCTGAGGTACAGCCTGGGTGGAGAACCACTGAGTCCCTCCCTCTTTGTTTGCCAATGTTGTCACTTGTAGGGGTGACTGGGGCAGGTTGCAACAGGGAAATCTCAGCCAAATGCGAAGACTTCTATAGTGTTTGTGACCTGGCTCATGGGTCTCATTCAGAACTTGGCTGGTTTGAAACCTTTGCTTGTCACTTTTATTCCATTTGCAGATCCTTTTCATAAATGAAGCCGTAAAAACAGAGCAGTGGTGTTTGGGGTGGAAAGTCCCTAGAGAGTGGAAAGGCCAGGAAACTGCTCTGGAAAGCCTGCTTAGAGGGATGAGCAGGGGGCCTTAGGAGGGGGCAGGCCTGTGTATGAGCCCCAGGATGGAGGCAGTGCCCCGCACTGCCCAGCAGAGGGAGCAGCGGAGAAAGTGGCAGAAACTGAAGTGGAGGCCTAGAGCCAGGGGGCAGTCCTTGGAGGTTACAGCTCTGGGGTTTTTATTCTGAGCCTGGTGGGTATCATAAGCAGTAAGGACTCAGTAAATACATGGTTCCTTATTTTCCTTTTTTCCCCTCTTTCCTGTACTTAAACAATATGAAAGCACAGCGTTGTAGCCCAAGGCAAGCCATTTAGTTGTCTTTGATTTTAGTCTGCTGAAATGCCAGAAAAGATTATACTTTCTTTCATCAATATGCCTATAAATTAGTCCTAAATGTGAAGAAAACCCTTTGAAATTTTGGAAAGTTCTACAAATCTAGAATTCCTCTCACGGGCTGGTGATTCCTGTGCCTGCCGGTGCTTCGATCCTTGCACTTTGGGTGAACATACCCCTCTGCTCTCGGGGGTTCCTGGCGCAGTCATGGGTATGTCACGGCTCCCACACACAAGTGTGCTTTCCTCACAGATAGGTCATTTGTCAGCTGTCTCACTGGCGTTTGGGGGAGGGACACCATAGAGGAAATTGTCACTGTCAGATAAAGTGCACGTGAATGCGGACACAGTTAATGCTCAGTGGAGTATTTTTTCCTTGTTTTCACATCTTATATCTGTTACTTGGTTATATCTGTTAGTACATTGTTGAGAAAAACAAGCGAAACATAGACGTGGAAGAAAATGAAATCATCAGCTGAACGCTGCACCCCATTCAAATGTGAATAGTCTAAAAAAAATGTGTAAATTTGTCAAAGCAGTTTTTCTCCTTAGGAACTGGAAACCCCTCATTAGACATAATCAACTTAAGCTTGGGAAGTTCTTCCTTATGTCTGGCCCAGATCTCCTACAATTTGAGTGCCTTTCTTCTGCACAAATGAAAAGCAGCTGCCGGCCCCCCGTGGCACCCCTTCCTGCACTAGAAGATGGTCATTAAGCCTCGCCCCACCCCTTCTCCCCTGGACTAAATAGTGCCTTTAACCAATCTTCAAAGTGCGTGCCCACTGCTTTAATCATCTCTTGATCTGCATCCTTCTTTAAACGTGGATGCCAGATTGGAGACATCTTCTCTGGAGAGTCTTGCCCTTGACAGCGGTGCTGGCTGTCAGGTGTCATTGTCATTCATATGGGAAATCCAGAGATGTCATCAATATCCATCCAGGAAGATGAGCTCTAAGACTCACGGTTCCTTTTCCAGGGATGGAGCCTGTGTTTGTGACTGTAACCACTGGTTTTCGAGTCTGAAGCCTTTAGCAACCCCAATTCCTGGTCCTTTCTAAGGAAAATGTGCAGGCCCACGACTTCCTGCCTCTCATTTGGGATCTGTGACCAGTTCTGTGGCAGTGGAATCCTTTCCAAACACTGTTTCCTCTAGTAAACTCTCCTGTGCGAAACTTGACTTGTGGTTTCCATGTCTGTCAAATGCACGTGCAGTGACCATGAAATCCCTTGGGGACCCTTGCTTCCTTCTCCCCGGACAGCTTGCTCTGGAAAAGAAGGAGCATTGTTTTCTGAGTCTAATGTCATTGAAATCACAGAGAGAAAAAGATCTCAAAGGTTGTCCAGTGGGCACAGGAAGATAAACAAATTGTTGATGCTGTGAGATACAGTGTGTCTGAAACCATCCTGACCATGTCTGTTACGCTGGGCATTGACTTGAGTCACTCAGCGCCCTCTTTCTACTCGCTCTCCTCTGTTTATCCTAAGAGCAGAAATTCCCTGGGAGGGAATGCCCCTGGGTGTGAGGATTTTCAGAACCTTGTCTGTGCATTGAGGCAGACATGCAGGCCTGGTCCCATCAGCAAAGCCCAGCCCAGCCACTCAGACATGTCATCACAGTCTTCTGTCTTCCCTCCCTACAGATATTGGTCCTCATTAAGCAAAGTCTTGAAGGTGGTAATTATCCTTGGACCTTTTAGAGAAGTAAACTTTGCATTGCAGCCAAAATTTGGGTACTTGGGACAGCAGGTTTGGAATGAGCAAGGAAATGCACTGAATATTTCTAGATAAGATACAGTGTTAGGGCCTCCCCGGTGGCGCAGCAGTTGAGCGCTGGGTTGAAAGGCTGCCCGCAGCCTCTGCAGCGCCGGTTCGATCCCCGGCCGCCGGGCAAGGGTCCCACATGGCGCACAGACCTCTCCTGCCGCCCGCTGCTCCCCTCAGCAGTGTACTTTGTCACTCTGCCTGTTCTGCTCCCCGCTCTGGCTCTGGTGAATTCTCTCACCCTCCCGCGCTTCTGACTATACCCAGTGCTTGTATAAATAAATAAATAAATAAATAAATAAATAAATAAATAAATAGATAAATAAATCTTTAAAAAAAAAAGATACAGTATTAAAAGTTCTATCAGTTTTTACTCGGTGGAGGTTCCCAAAAGATGCATTTTCAGGGCCTTGCCCACTCATTGACAGTGAGGTGGACTAGCTCAGAACTATTCTGATTAACCACCAGGATATTTATGCACAGTTGAAAGACTTACTAAATGTTTTCCATCCTTAAATGAGATTCAAAATTCTAATGGGGTGAATTAGACTCTACCCAATTTGCCAGCTTGTATGTGAGGACAGAAGCTTGCAGATCTGTATCACCTGGCAGGAAACATGGACTAGTGCCCAGATAACTGTTTTCTTCATTGCTGCCAACGTCCTTGTGTCTCTGAGCACTAACCACGTGCCCACCCTCCGGGGCTCTCGTGTGGGGAGAGGGTCCTGCTGCACCTAACCTCTCCTTTCTCTCCTTGCAGTCCAACAGGCAACCCGCTAAGCTGAACCTTCTCACCTGCCAGGTGAAACCAAATGCTGAGGACAAGAAGTCTTTCGACCTGATCTCACGTGAGTCCATTTTCTTTCCAAGTCAGTGACTGTGGATTCTGACACCTGCCTGTGTCCTGGCTGGTCCTGCATGTGCAGCTTAGGGAGCGCCTCAGTCTCTTCATTTACCTGTGGGTGGGAAAGTAGGACAGTGTCAGGCCTGAACCTGATTTGTACATTCAGCTAAGCCGCCCTTGACCATGAATGTGTAGCTTTGTCCCCAAGAGAGCGTTCTCCCCATTTGTCTCCTAATGAGGCCCAGACACAGGTATTTTGTAGGAAGTCCCCAGGTGATTCTAATGTGCACCAGCGGTTAAGAAGCACTGGCACAGGAACGCGGCTGCACCACTCTGCAGTTGATTACAGCGGGGTTACCCAGAGTTTGGGGCTCTTAAAGGAAAAGTCATCTCCCTGCTTCCAAGTAGAAATGCCTTCAGACTTCATGAATTGGTGCCACGAATCCTGTGACTCTCTTACTCCAAGATCACCCTGGGCCTTTGTCTTGTGAGGATGGTTATAATGACCCTTTCACCCCAGCTCTACCCTGTATTCTCAACCTTCAGGACGGGAAAGATGGTTCCCTCCAGGCTGGCTCCCGTGCTTGGAGGGAGGGTGCTGGGGGAACAGACGCCTCTTTGTAAAGACCACTCTAGTAAAGGGACTCTCAGATATTCTGAAGTCCTGCAACTAAGTCAAGCATCATTCCTGCTTGAGAGAAGCCCACCTGGTAGGCCTGTGGCCTGAGGTCATGATTGGCATGGAGAGCCCTTGAGCTCCTGCTGCTGAACTTGTGTGAATGAAAGCCCCACAGGCTACCTCTTGGGAGAGTGAAATTTATATTTCCCATCCTCTCTGTGACTAAGAGATTTCTCTGGTGATTGATGAGAAAGAAATATGAAAAATTGGAATTACAATATGACTTCAGAGCATATTATCACACGAGAGCCTGTAGGTTTTCAGTAGCAGTCTCCAGTAATTGAGCATCTAACATATGCCTGTACTTTCTATATGTTATTCTAAAGGGCACAAAGGCCCTGTCCGTTGCCTGTGCTACAGGAGAGAAAACAGGCTCAGAGCAGCTTGGTGACTCCCACCAGGTCATACAGCAGTAAAGCAGGAATTCAGCAGCAGCTCTTGGGCTCTGCTACCCATGTCATATTTTCACATCCATGATGTATGTCTCAGGGAGATGAGGCGTGTGAGTGCCTAGCGCAGAGCAGCCATGTAGTAAGTGCTCAGTTAAAGCCGGTTTGGCCTGAAGGTGACACGTTATGGCAGTTACTGAATTTTTTTTTTTTTTTTTTTTTTTGTGGGACCCTCGCTGGTGGCCGGGGATCGAACTGGCACTGCAGAGGCTGCAGGCAGCCTCGCAACCCAGCGCTCAACCGCTGCGCCACCAGGGGAGGCCCCAGTTCCTGAATTTTAAGGAAGAGATCCTCTCACATACACTTGCCCTAACTCCCCAAGCTTGGGCTGGCTCTCCTTCCTGGGCAGCTGCTTGGCCACGGCCCAACCTGAGGTAGAGCCCTTCTTCATGGGAGCTTGAGTCAACCAGCCAGGTGCCCAGATGCCTCCAGGGCAGAGTTTGGAGCTTGTCAGAGCTGCCCTGCAGGCTAAGAATCATCTCTGAAAAGGAAATTCTTTTTTGAAGTTCACACAGTAAAAGGCAAATTGAAAATGAACTCAAGTATGGGTTAGCCGCTGGCTGTCCACACCCGCCACTGGCCACGGAAACTCACTTTGAGTAACCTCCTGGCCACTTTTTTTTTTCTTTTTTCATGAGAGTGCCGCAAATTTGTATGGCATGTGCAGCTATTTTATTGTATTCTTATTGCCCATTAGAAAGAAAAAAAAATTAACAAAGTGAATTGTATAACCACTAAACAGAAATGGTGTCAAAATTAATATTAAAATACTGCCTTTGCGGTGTTTTGTTTTCCAGGAACTTTGAAAGTCTGCATTGTACCTGAAGGTATTTCTGAGGTTTAACTTTTATTCTTTTCCTTCTTTTTTTAGATAATAGGACGTATCACTTTCAGGCAGAAGATGAGCAGGATTATGTAGCGTAAGTAGTTTTGAAGTCATGGCTCGTGCCTTGTGCTGGAGAAGCCCCTCTGCTGTTCGGAATGCCTTGAAGTTGTCTTTCAGTACTGACAGCCGCTCCTCGCGGTCCCTCATGCTCTTTCCCTCCTCCGGGTGTGCCTCCTTCCGGATTCTGCTCAGGCCTCACCCCCCGAGGGCTTTCCTCCTCCTCCTCACTACCCGTGTGCATCTGCTGCATCTGAGGCCTCCAGAGACCGAGAGCTTCCTGAGGGCATAGAATGTGCCTCTCTCGGTGTTAATGACACTGTCTGCACCAGATGGGCCCACTCAGTGTCTGAGGCTCTGGAGACGGGGCTGTGGCCACTAAAAGAGCAGGAGCACCTGGCCCTGCTCCGGGACGAAGCCTGGGTGTGGGAGCACTGGATTAGGTGTCACATGCACCGCTGGGATGGAATCCTACATTCCCCTGACCAGGGGTGCCCACTCTGAATGACATCTCATTGTGTGAGCTGCCTCGTCCCCTCTTCCTTCTGGTCACCTGCTGGAGCTGAAGAAAGCAGTGTGGGACCCTTACATTCTCCGTGCTTGGGACAGTGTTCAGATTTAAGCTCCTCTCCCAGCAGTGCCCTCAATAAATGTTAGTTTTCTTCTTATCATTTCTAGGAAGCCACAGATTTCTGTCCATGCCCTTTTCATCTTACACTTGCCCCTTTTCCAGCACTCCTTCTCTTTATTCTTAGGGAATTCTACTCTCCCTATCTCAGGGAGCACTGATGAGAGATTAGAAAGAGAAGAGGAAACCGGTAGAAAGGTTGTAGACTTAGGACAAATGACAAAAAGTTGGGGGGTAGGAATTGAAAGAGAAAGTTGGAGAGAAGGAAAAGGAGCCGAATTACCATAATACCCAATGACCATAATACCCATAATTACCCAAGGAAAGCAAGGTAGTTGCTTTTCTCAGTGAAAACTCCAGTCACAGCTGGGCTGCTGATAAAATGCAGCCATCCGTTCTGTTCAACCTCGTTTCTTGTATTGTTCTTAACAAAGCAACTTCTGCTTTGGAACTTGAAACTAAATGACAAAAAAGATACTATTTCATTGAAAAGATATTAAATGCTTCCCCCGCCCTTTGCTCCACGGTTGGTTGTGAGGTATTTCTGCATCACAGAGCCGCTAAGCCCTGGGAGCACACGTCTCACAACCTGCTGAGGGCCAGCGCCACCTAGCGTCGGAGCGCGACCACAGCCCGCGCGCCGCAGGGCCTGCTCTGGCTTCCCTGGCTCTCTGCTGCCACCCTTACCCATTCAGGGCCTGCGTGGACACCGCTGGGCTCCTGTGCAATCATGCGACAAGATACTTAGAACTAGACTCACCTCTGTGCTCTGTGTTCACTGTTAAAAGTTGATAGGAGCAGTCTGTGCTGTGGATGAAACAAGGGATAGTTTGGAAATGTTTCTCATTTTCTTTAAAAATTAAATTGGACTTTTCCCCTCTTGTTCATGAGTGTTATACAAGTTTCTTAGAGTTGTGGAAAATGACAGAAAGGCACAGAGTCAAGCAGTCTACCCATTTTCTTACAGAAAATCAGCGGCCAATGTAACATTTCCTTCTCACTTATTTTGCCCCAAACAGAAATACATAATCTACATACATTTAAAATTGGGGTTATATCACATAAAAGAGCTTTTTCCTGTTTATTTCACAAAAACATTATATCATAAACATTTCCTTGATGTCATCTATAAATTAAGTCAAACTTAAATTTCAATACCTGGTTATTGGTTTTATTGGTTATCCATTTTATTGTTGTTTCAAACTTTAATAATCAGCCCCCGCTTATTGAGTATTTGGGTTGTTTCTGTGTAGATTGATAGCTAAGAGCTTTATTTGATACATATTGTGATCAGACTGTTTATGTAATTTAATAACCTGCGCTTTTTATTTCATATTGTAATAATTTTATTTCACATTCATTTCATATTGCTTATAACACTTTAATAAGGGCCATGGTGGTGATTTTGCTTATTTTTATCAGAAGCTCTATAAACGAGATACTAATATTATCCCCATTTTGTGGAGGTGAAAACTAGGGGATTCAGAGAAGTAAAGTGCCTTGCCCAAGGTCACACAGCTATACAGGGGCAGAACACAGTGTGTATTGTAAACAGTGTACACGTTAGTGTACCTTTTTCAGAAGCAAGCATTTTCATGGCTGCTGATGAAATAGCCCTGAGTTTTCACTTTCAAGTTCCCTACTTATGAATTTCCCGAGAACAGGATGCCTCTGCTAACCTCGTGCCTGCCTCCTCTCCTTCTCGCTGGTTCTTTGTCATCTTGCATTAAGTTGGCCCCTGGCTGAGTCCTCGCCACGCCAGCATCCCCTTGTCGGTTTATGCAAGTCCTCTGTCACACTGTTTTTTACCTCCTTCATCTGTTTTCTCATCTCTTTCATTTTCTTCCTCAGTATTGCTTTTCCTTCTTTAGCACTTCCCTTCAGATATGATTGTTTTATTTCTCCTCACTGTAATGCTATTTAGAGGATAGGGAGGTATCTCTTGGAAATTGTTGATGAAAATAGATTATTTCCAGTATAGAGCGAGAACGGCCATGTTCTGACGTCTCTTCTATTTGACACCAGGTGGATATCCGTACTGACGAATAGCAAAGAAGAGGCCTTAACCATGGCCTTCCGCGGAGAGCAGAGCACGGGGGAGAACAGTTTGGAAGATCTGACAAAAGCCATTATTGAGGATGTCCAGCGGCTCCCTGGGAATGACGTCTGCTGTGATTGTGGCTCATCAGGTATTATTTGTCCCCAAACCTAAGCTGGCTTGTTAAGCCTGCTTTCTCTTCCTGTGGAATATAATATGAGCTCATTCTTGAAAAGCCTCCTCTCTTGGACACACACCCAACTTGAATGTTCCTTCCTCAAAGCTGCTTTTATCCAGGCTTATTTGGTCTCCCTGGAAAGTTCCTACCTGCTCTCCCTAATTGGTCACCTGCCAAAATGCTGCCTTCCTGTAAGCTCCAGTTAAATAAGCACCGTGGGCATTATGGAGAAAGTTCTGGATATGGAGACCATCGTCTTGAATCACAAGTCTGCCAGTTGGCCCAGATGGCCTCATGCCAAGCCCCTTAACTCTTGTGAGCTTCAGTTTTCCAACCTTTGAAATAGGATATTAAACCTTGTTCTTACGAGGACATAAAGAAGTGATATCTGTGAAATTGCCTAATAAGTGATGTTACTTTCCTTCCTTTTTGGTCAGTTAAATGTCCCCAACCTCTATATCATGTTTGTGTCACCTTCCCCCGAAATTCTTTTCCAGAAAGCCTCTATATTACTGAGTCATTGGCACTAGTTAACATTTATTCATTGCTTACAACACTTTAATAAGGATGATGGTGGTGGTTTTGCTTTATATTATGAGAAGCTCTATAAACGAGATACTAATATTATCCCCATTTTATGGAGGTGAAAACTGGAGGACTCAGAGAAGTAAAGTGCCTTGCCCAAGGTCACCCAGCTATAAGGGGGCAGAACACAGATGCAGACCTGTTGTTCTTAAGCATGTGATATTGTTTTACATAAGAAAATGAACTTCTCTATACAACATGCCATATGCATCTCAGAGGCATTCTCCACATTTTGTGCTATTTTCTTGTACGTGTATGATAATTCCCATAGCGAGGATATGGCAGAGAAGTAGTCAAAAAGAAGTTTACCAAAGAGAGAGGACCCTGTATGTCATCGTATTAGAATGTTAATTCTATTAATATTTGCTCCATTCTTCTGGGGTCCCGGATGGCTATAGAAAAGCCTTCGGTCTCTGAAGTACTTGGTGCTCAATATTTATTATTATCTTATTACCTAGAAGTGCTGGTGGAAAAGCTGTACCGAGATGAAGGGTTAATGCGAGTTGTAGCAGAGGCCTGCAGTCCATCTTTGTCCTTGCTGATATTGGCATGGAGGGGGTAGCTCTCGCAAGGCGTCAGAATACTTTATAGTACCTCCTTGCAGAAGTCTTTCTCACATTTGCACAAGAACAAAGAGCTTAATTTTGCTTTGAGTTCTGTATTGAAAGGAAATTTTTCATTTGGCTTACCACAATTTTTGCTAACAAGCTGTTAATTTTCATAATAGCCTCTCAGCTAAACCACAAACACCATTTCTTCCATTTACATCTTTACCTTATAATCCTTAAGGTTTTACTACATTGTTTTAGCTTCCTCTGTAGTTGGCAAACTAAAATTAGATGTCTGTTGTTTGATTGTCTTCAAAATCCTTTCTACAGAACCCACCTGGCTTTCAACCAACTTGGGTATTTTGACCTGTATAGAATGTTCCGGCATCCATAGAGAAATGGGGGTTCATGTTTCTCGCATTCAGTCTTTGGAACTAGACAAATTAGGAACTTCTGAACTCTTGGTAAGTAATGACCTAACTGGGAGAAAACTTTGTTTATTGTCATGAATACATTTAATATATTGCCTTGGGTTATTTTTTGTTACTGCTGAGTACAAAGAATTCTAATTCCTGCATTTAGTGAATTTGCATAGATATTTAAAATATAATTTTTGTGGCATATGTTGACTTACTGCTTCCTATTTAAAGACTTGCTGAATCATACATTTCTGTAATTTAGTTCAACTAAACTGGTTCTTTTCTTTGAGATGGGATTCTTCAAAGCTACTTTTTTTTTTCTTTAGAAATACTCTTTTATGTGATTTGATATAATGTAGAGTAAGTTAGGTGTTGGAGGCACCTGCTCATCATCGTGGTCTTACTGTTAAAAATGATGACTGAAAGGGTTTTTTCGATTTTTTTTTTTTTTTACTATTTGTTAAGTCTGTAAAAGTACACATGAATTGTTAGCTATTGTTGTTATAGGACAGGGAGAGGGGCAGCCCAAACCCCGCAAACCTGCCTATTCTAAATGGGTTCTGCCATCCGCCGCATCAACACAAAACATAGGAGACTTTAATGGGAAGGAACTTTAATAAAACTAGGAAACAATACAGGTAAGGCAAAGAGTCTAGTTTCTAAGTGAAGCACCCAAAGTTACCCGTCCCCTCGTGGGTAAAAGTCCATCCAAATGGGATTGGCCCAGAGCAAGGCACCAAAGCCTGCCATGAGTCTAAAGCACCTTCCAGTGGGGACCCACAGCAAAGGGTCAGAAACAATCGGACAAGCCCAGAAGGAAAAGAGCAAAATCAACATCAAGATAAAAGCTGCCATTGTCACCTCCCCACGGGTCTCACCCACATCTGTGTCACCCAGTCCACGACCAAAAGACAAGCGCAGTTTCTTCACGTGTCTCTAGGCTCCATGCGCCTCCTCCAGGTCTCCTGGCTCCATCCTGCTTCTTTCCTCAGTCTCTTCTGCAGCTTCTCCTCTTCCTGCTCAGCTCCACCCTCCCTTGGGAGGGGCAGGGAACCGCCCCCTTTCCTGGGGACCACCCTGTTACATTGTCATAAAACCATCACTTCTTACCCCACAACTTTTTAGGTAATGAGGAAAAAAGTATGTAAAGTTGTGGTGCTCAGCTTTGTAATAGGGAAAAGGGTTATAAACACTTAAATGTGTATTTTCTTTAGCCCCTGTCCTTCCCTTCACCCAAATTTGGAGCCCTCATCAAGTCCACGTTACACTGGTCCCCAGGGCACCAAAAAAGGAAGAGAAGGCCTACTCACATCTCCTGTGATGCCTTGTGGCCTAAGTCCAGTCCTGGTAGCATGTACCCTGGTGCAGTGTGAGAGGACCTTTATGCCAAGGGACTACAGATGGCTTTTTTTTTTTAGTAAAATCAGACCCCTCAGAAAGAAGGCTCTTGAACTGACCCTGACAGACCCTGACTGGGCTCAAAAAAATTGAAAGTCTTGTCCATCATTAGCCTTGCCTAGGGATAAGTCCCCCAAAGCAGGGCCATCAGTCATCCAGCCAGCAACTGTGTTGTCTGAGCACCAGTTAGCAATGGTGATCTCTCTTGACTTAGGAAATAGAGAATTACCGTGTGAGACTTGGCTCTCTGCTTCATTCACTCAAGGATTGCAGAGAAAAGGCTCCGACCCAATACCTGAAACACGCTTCTGTGGTGTGGAAATGGTATCACTCTTTCTCCTTGACTTGTTTGACTGAAACCCAGTTTGACAACTTGGCCTATGATAAACCAAGATTTTTCCCACAGAATCTTGGTTGCATGAGTGTTTCCTAAACTTTCCTCCATCCCAAAATTACCTGATTAACTTGATTAACCTTCATGACAAATTTTCATGGGAGGATCTTAAACTCAAAAGCAAATTGCTGCCTGGGCCTCTTTGTCAACTGCCTGGAGCAGCTTAATTTGTCCCCAATTATAAAAGAATCAATCCATATTCTTTTCTGTCCAGTGAGAGTGAATCCACATTAAAGTGAGACCTGATGGTGGTTGAAAAGCCACTGCTGCTCATTAACTAGAAGCTGCCCTGCCTGACTTCAAAGGGTGCGTGACTCCATGCAGGGCCGTGGCCCATTGTCCCAGTGTCTGTCACACGTACCTGTACACACTATTGCTTGTCTTTTCTATGACGTTGATACCTACAGCCTCCTACAAGAGGGAACATGGGTTGCTCTGTTATTTTTTCAGCAATCTCAGGTTCGGTGCTTGACACATACTAGGTGCTCAGCAAATATTTGTTGATATGATGGATGAATTGTTAGTATGAAGGAAAATTCATAGAATTTTCAAAAGCAAATAATAGGAAACTTTTAAACTAGTAGTAAAGAGTTTGCTGTATTGTTTTGTTTCTGTTACAGCTGGCCAAGAATGTAGGAAACAATAGTTTTAATGATATTATGGAAGCAAATTTACCCAGCCCCTCACCAAAACCCACCCCTTCAAGTGATATGTAAGTACTTTCAGTATATTGAATTCTTTACCATTCTCTCATTGTTTTTCTACTCTCCCAACAAACTTTGTGTTCATACTATTTTTCCCCCCAGAGGAAACCCCCATTATGAGAAAAAAGCAAAGGAAAACATTTTGTAATGTATTTCTGGGATGCACAGATTATTTTCACATCACCCTGCTCTAAGTGGTTGCAACCTGCTCTGGGAGGATAAATCCTCCCGAGGACAGTTATCTTTAATCACGCCACACTGTGAGAGATAAGATGGGAGATGCTCGTCAACTTGGCAAAAACCCAGAAACCTACCAGCCCACTCAGCAGGACCGAGGGGACCAGCCCTTCTCTCTCATGTGTTGCGGGTGGGCGTGCAAATAGTGCACTCTCCACGAGGAGCTGTTTCTCAACAATCATAAGTTTATTTGCCCTTTGACTCAGCAGTCCTTCTGAGAATTTATTCTTAGTCTGTATTAGAAAAAGATTGAGAACAAAGCGAGTGTCCACCTGAGGGAGCTAATGAAATATCTCACGGCATAGCCACGCACAGGAACTATGTAGATATAAAAAAGAATAACGCCCTGGTTTGGGGAGACCACCAGGATTACTGTTAAGTTAAAAAAGCAAGATACAGAGCGCCGCACAAAATACCTTGCATCTGTGGCAAAGCTAGGGGCTAGAGAGTGGGAACGTATCCCTGCTAACCAGTCCCTGCTCAGACTGAGGAAATGAATTCTGGCTGAATTTGCAATGAATCTCTCACTTTTGAACTCTTGATACTCATTTTCTGGACTCAGCAAAGAGATTAGACAGTGAAGATACATGAACGTATACATTTCTCTGAACTCACATTTGCATGTAGAAACACTGAAAAATCCAAAGGAAACTAATGTGTTTACTCTAGGTGGGGGTGAAGCATCTAAGTAAACACCTGTTATTTCTGTTTTTGATTCTTGTGAATCTTTACACCTATTCCAAGATGTTTACATTGAATTTAATCAATAGGAGGAAAGAAATTTAATTCCAACTTAAAACTCATGCTTTGCCAGCCCCTCCTGCGTGGTTATTCAGGCACCAAATTGCAAAAGCACTAGAACTATTAGGGGACACATTCAGTGCACGTTTTTTGTACTTCAAAATCAGGAATTAGGGTCTTCCAGAAGGCCATCTGGCAGGGTTTTTTTCTTGAATTCAGCAAATACATACTGTATTCGACTCACTGCCTCCTACTTTGCAAGATGCCAAGGAAACAGTAAGACACAAAGTAGATCTAGACCCTGTCTTCAGGTCCCCTGGGATTTAGAGGGAGACAAGATACTAAGCCATGGAAGGTGACCCAGAAGAAAGGTTGGCCTGTTGGGGATGGACAGAAGACCCTCGCCTAATCCACTGTCTTGCTTAACAACGGTCCAAGTATCCTCCTAACACAGAAACTACCTGGACATCTTTTTCAAACTAATGATCACTCCTTCCTGCCAGACATGGGACTTTTCAGCAGTTGGTTTGCTCATAAAGCAGTCAGGAACACACAGTCTCCCCACGCCAGCATCTGTATGTAGGTGTGTGACCCACACCTCAAAGACTTGACTGTAGGATAAATTTCATACTAGTGTGGATTTTATTTCCTGTTTCTTATGTGGGGGCAGCATCAGTATGCTGGCCTCTCAGCTCCGTGGCCTCTGTGAGACCTCCCCTTTCAAAGTGCTTATGATTCTCCAGTGTCCCTAATGTGGTGGGTGAAGGAAATAGACGCTGGAGCCAGACCACCCAGTTTCAGATCCTGGCTCTGCCACTTCCTAAGTGGTGTTCTTGGGCAGGTAACTTTCAACTGCCCGTGCCTCAGTTTCCTCATCTAAAAAATGTCCTGGCCTCCTAGAATGATGGGCAGGCGGCTTAGACCACCGTGCTTAGAGCAGTGCCGGATGTGTTGTCAGCAACCCCAGGATGAAGGGCGGCTCCTGTTGCCCGAATGTTCACGCGTTCACCTACTTCACTCAGCAGCATCTGTGTTCCCGGTGCTGTTAGTGCTGAAGAATCAGCAGCACACAAGACGAGTTCCTGTCCTGTTGACATTCTGATTAGGGAGAGGAAAACAGAGAACAAAAAGGCAGATAATTTTACAGAGTAGAGGGTATTAAGAAGAAAAACAGCTCCTCGAGGGGTACAGCATTTTAGTTTTAGTCAGAGAATGTCTGTGAGGATTTGACATTGGCCGGGAGATCTAGAAGACAAAGGACAACGTGGGAGCACATCCCGGTGGCCGGAAGCGCCGCAGGAACATCATCTCCTTTGTGCCCGGGAGCCCAGGGTTGGCCTGAGGAGGGGCTTTAGTGGCGGTCCTTCAGAGCCCGTTTCTCTACCTACTCAAGTGAGTTAGATGACAGAAAGTTCTCCCAGGAAGCCCTGAAAACTCTTTATTATAGGTCTCTTTGCATTGTTTCAACTTTTTAAATTTCTTAATATCTCTAAGTTCAAAGTAGTGGTAAATAGCCAGTCTCATGCAGTTGCTCAAGGCAGAGAAGAAATCCGCTATGATCTGGGTGTCCGTTAGTCTCGTCACCATAGAGAGCCTGTGCAGGCCAATCAATGCCCCTTTCTTCATCCTGTCCCTATAGGAATGGTCTAAAACTGGATTTCTTTGAATGTCAGAGAGAAATGTGTCTTAGTTAAAATAACTCTTCTCAAAGAGAACTGCTTGTCAGAAAAATGTAAATCTTCTCTCTTGGAAGTAAAAATTCTTTGTTCATTTGTGTTGCTCTATTTTAGGACCATACGGAAAGAATATATCACCGCAAAGTATGTAGACCATAGGTTTTCAAGAAAGACCTGTTCGTCTTCATCCGCTAAACTAAATGAATTGCTTGAGGCGATCAAATCCAGGGATTTACTTGCACTAATTCAAGTCTATGCAGAGGGGGTAGAGCTAATGGAACCCCTGCTGGACCCCGGACAGGTGAGGCTCCTAAAATCATAGGAAAAAGCAAAGTAGAAAAACAGTTTAAAAGTTGACTCATTTTATGAAAACACCACACAGTAAGACTTTAAGATGTTAAATACCTGGTCCAAATCAGGACCAGCTGAGAGTGAAAGAAGTGCCTCAGTCACTACTTTGGGGTAACTGATGTAAACGAAGCTGCACTAGGCAAACTCGTGCATACAAACACCCTCTTAATCCCTTCCGTTTCCTTTGCAGGAGCTCGGGGAGACAGCCCTTCATCTTGCAGTCCGAACTGCAGACCACACATCTCTCCATTTGGTTGACTTCCTTGTACAAAACTGGTACGGGTTTTGTCTTCTTGGAATATGTCTAATAAGTTAACAAAAAACAGTCCTTACTCAGTGGCCTAGGTCAGGAATCGACCAGCTTTTTCTGTGAAGGGCCGGATGCTGTTTTAAACTTCCCAGGCTCATGAGTCTCTGTCACAGCTCTTGAGCTCTGCCTTTGTAGTCTGAAAGCAGTCCTGGAGAATATGTAAATGAGTGAAAGCAACCATGTCCCAATAAAGTGCTACAGAGACAAGCAGAGGGCCAGACAGGGCCTGTAGGCTGTCATTTACCAGCCTCTGTCGTAGATAAAGGGGTTGTTTCTTTGTCTAAAACCTGCTGCGTTAGAAGTTGAAAGAGAAGCTTTAATGGTCAACAGGATCTGTGCATTTTCATTGTTCATAAGTTCAGCATAACACAGCATGTGTGTGGCTAGCGCAGAAGCTAATTCAAATTTAGTACATACCAAGAGGAGTATAGAACTGAACACAGGGAGGTTTAGCCTTGCTCCTTTCTTTATTGGGTGGTTCTATAAGCCATAAATTAAGGGGAGGAACTGGAGCTGATCCAAAGGGAAGAGATCAAAATAGGGAGGCAATTTGAACCCATACTTGAGGAGTGATGGCTGGCCACGTGCCAAATTGCGTAGCTGGCCTGGGCTCTTCCTCTGAGGGAAAACTGTGGTAGGTAAGAGCTAGGCTTTGGAGACAGGATGCCTGTGTCAGATCCCTACTCCAGGGTCTTGAAAGCAAGATCTTCCTCTCTATGCCTCAGCGTTTTTATCTCCTAATAAAGGTTGTAATAGTACCTTCCCCACAGGGTGGTTGTGAAGATTAATGAGCTTATACACGTGTAAAGACTCAGAGACAGCGCCTCCCCCACAGTCGACACAATACATGCCGCTGTTGTTGTCATTGTGTTGCTTATAAATTTATGTGTAACGTTAGAAACATCATAATTTTCCCTGTCTATAATAAGTAGGTCTTGATGGTTGTTACCATAGAAATAAGTGACTAATCTGTAGTTTAAGTTATAGAGTAAGTCATTTTTTCTAATAACATTTTACCTTTTCAGTGGAAACCTGGATAAGCAGACAGCCCTGGGGAATACAGTTTTGCACTACTGTAGTATGTTTGGGAAGCCTGAGTGTCTGAAGCTGCTTCTCAGGAGCAAGCCCACTGTGGATGTGGGTAAGTGAGTGAGTTCTGCTGGTGTCAGAAGGGCGCTTGACTAAAACTGAGACTTTCGTGTTATACTGTAATTTGATTGATGTCCCTTGCTTTTCAAGAGACAGCCTAGCTAAAAGGCAAATTTATTTTCTCCTGTTTTAGTTAACCAGGCTGGAGAGACTGCCCTGGACATAGCCAAGAGACTCAAAGCTACCCAGTGTGAAGACCTGGTAAGCAGAAATGGAAGCAGGAGATTGATTAGACATCCTCTGCCTGAAAATGTCATTCTTAGACACTGGAAATGGAGATAAAAGCAGCAGATCCATTTTTTGAAATTTGACTATAGAAATTCAGATTAAGTACTAAGGCTGTATTTAAAAAAAGTACAGACTATAAATGTGTCCTCCACGTGTCTTTTGAGTACAGTTATGATGCTGAGGCCAGACGGCATTTCAGAAGCTCTATTCTAGGGTGGACTTCTAGAATAAGGTTCTGCCTTTTACTTGCCAGACCACTAGGCCCTCTTTGTAACTTAGCAGCAGAGAAGTATTTTTGAAGCCAGTTCTAGAAACTGGGCAAGTTCAGCATGTAATGGTTTTCAGCATATTACATCCACTGCTTTCACACCTCTCCCCATCCTCATACAGACTCACCTTTTCTGATCCCACTATTCTTGCTATACCATTGGGCCTTAGCATAGCATGACGCCCTTCACCATCAGAAAGGATGAGATGGGAAAGAGAAGTTACGTTCCCTTGAGTTTCTGCCAAATGCCAACATCCAGGCCCAGCAGTTACACTTTTTTTGTTCTTAAAGAATCCTTTGAGGGCCTCCCTGGGGGTACAAGGGGTTAAGCACTACACTAGGAAGCAATCCGCAGCCTCGGCAGAAGCACGAGTTCAACCCCCAGCTGGCCAGGGAGCAACCCACATGGCACAGCAGATCTCTCCTGACTCACCTGCTGCTGTCCTCAGTAGTGTACTTCAGTCAGTCTGCCTGTTGTGTTCCCCACTGTCTCTGGTGAATCCTCTCACCCCCCCACATCTGTGGCCTGTACCCCAGCTCTTTGTATGCATAAATAAATCAATCTCTTAAAAAAAAAAAAAAAAAGAATCCTTTGAGAAAGTTAGAGTTCCTTGCCCTCATTTCATGAAAAAGAAGTGGCCACGATTGCACTGCCTGGTGTTGAAGGCCTCCCTCCCCTTCACGTGCCACTAATTCTGATTTCGCCTTCCAGCCAGGAAAGGAGTTTACAGTTTTAAGGCTCAGGAGAGAAATCAAAATTAAAAAGGCTGTAACTCTGCAATTCCTTCAATGCCTATCTTGTAGTAACGTAATTTATATTGTCAATTTTGCCCACAGCACAGCCACTAGTGATTAATTTGAAATCAAGAATAAGATGGGATTTGCTCAGTGTTTATATGATATTGGGTGTTTAGCATTTAAATTAAATTTCTGCTTTCAGGAACTTTAAAGTGAACTTTAGCATTGTTCCATTGTTGTTTTCAGCTTTCCCAGGCTAAATCTGGAAAGTTCAATCCACATGTTCATGTAGAATACGAGTGGAATCTTCGACAGGAGGAAATGGATGAAAGCGATGATGATCTGGATGACAAAGTGAGTTTAAACAATGCCCATGAATTCCTAGCATTTTTCCCTTTATCTAGACAAGATCATTCTTTGGCCTTATAACCCTAATATGCCAGTGCTGTTTTACCTGCTGAGTCTTTGTTCCTCGTTGGGTACCATTTAACAGCTGTATTAAGATTCTTCAGAGAAACATAATCAAAAGCATATGTGTATGGAGAGGGGGATTTGAAGGAACTGGCCCATGATTCTGGGTGCTGGTAAACCCAGAATCTACAGTGCAGTCTGGCTGGACATTTTACAACTTGTTTGAAGTCCCAGCTGAGGACACCCTCAGGAATTAAACCCAGTTCTGCCTGACTCTCACAGAGAGTTCTCCATTGCCTCTGAAGTTCCATTCACTTATTTTCCATATCTCCCAGTGGCAGGTAAGGAATGGTCAAAGATGGTCATGCAAAGGTGTTCTAAAGGCATTCCCACTTTAGGAGGAGAGATTATAATACAGTGAAGCTCCATCATGGAAAGAGCCTGGGGAAATTGCTGAGTAGTGCTGAAGGACAGAGCAGCTGCCTCATGTTTGGCCAGCAGAAAAGACCTTACTAGGAGGCCCCAGAACTAGCTTCTAAGGATGGGAAGGAACACATCCCTGCAGGAAGAACCATAGGCACAAAGACATGGGCTCCTGATGAGCCTGGACTCGGGAATGGTGAGGGGGCTGCCCTGTAGGCAGCAGACCAGGCCAGGAAGGGCGGATGGGCCAGGTCTAGCCTCTGGGCTTTTATCCAAGCAGTCAGAAGCTGAGAGAGGCTTATTGTCTGAAAAACCAGGTGTCCTGCCAGCTCTAGTCTCATGTAGAAAGGGCTGGAACTGAAGAAATTGGGATGTGGGGGCCTCCCCGGAGGCCAGTGCTTTGTGGGAGCTGGACGACTGCCCTGCCAGGGGGCTGAGCAAACCTGGCAGCTCTGGATGACACTGAGGTCTCTATGCTGAGAATTTTGTGAGTGCTGGTGCTGCAGCAGGAATGTGAGCCCAGGGCCGGTTGGGGCAATTAAAAAAGGTTTTAAACCTAAGGGGTTGGTGTTGGGTCTTCAGGTCTGCAAGCCAGCTGCATTATGTGGAGTTAAAGCCAGGCTGTGGCTGAGGTTACTTTCTAGGAGGGTGTCAAATGAGGAGAGGTGAAGGTTGAGGACTTTGACATCAAAGGGTTGAGCAAGAGGTTACAAATAGGTTGGAGAACTCTTTGACTGTTGAGGATCCCTGAAGGGGGGAGGTACTTGTTAATTAGTGCTTAACGCGTACTGCTGATTCCTAGACAGTATCCCCCTAAGGTGACCCCACCTGCGGTGACGGGAGAATCAGAAGTGGTGTATCTGATCTTTCCCTTACCCCGTGTCGCGGCTCTGGGGGTCTGGTCATAACTGACCTCATAAAGCAGAGTCACCAGAACCCGGGCCCCCCAGTCTGCCTGCTGAGATCCTCTGAGCACCAGAAGAGGAGTCCTTGGTTACCCGCTCACTCCCTTCACTGTCCTTTCCTCTGCCAGCCAAGCCCGATCAAGAAAGAGCGCTCACCAAGACCACAGAGCTTCTGCCACTCCTCCAGCATCTCCCCCCAGGACAAGCTGTCACTGCCGGGGTTCGGCTCTTCACGGGACAAGCAGCGGCTCTCCTACAGCGCCTTCACCAACCAGATCTTTGCCTCCACAAGCACAGACTCGCCCACATCACCAACCTCAGAGGCCCCTCCTCTGCCTCCCAGAAACGCCGGGAAAGGTACGGGCTTTTGGGGTGGGCAGAATGACTTGTCCTCAAAGCTGTGGTTCCACCCAGTTTGAGGTGAAAAGTGTCAGGTGCATTTTAATCACCTAGTAGTCAGGGGCAGCTGGAAGTAGGCACTTGCCATTTATTTGCCAGGCGCCAGCAGTGAGAGCGACGTGAGCGTGCCTCATGTATGAGCTGTGCTGACCTCAGAGAAGTCTGTGGGGTGTGTGCTTTTGTCACCATTTTACAGATGAGGAAACTGAGGCTTAAGGAGGTAGAGTGATGTGCCCAAGGTCACATAGCTGGTAAGTGGTAGCATTGAGACTCAGCCCGAGGGCTGCTCGGCTCCAGTGCCTGTGCTCTCTCCTCCGTAACATGGGGTGGAATTCTAATTCCTTGAAAAGTGACTTTCCTCTACACTAAAATGCCTCTCTTCTGGAGATGTTGGCAGCACTAGTGGTAGTTACCAGCAGCGAAGCTCTTGCTTTAGGAAGGGCCCTCAGCCAGTGCCTCATGTTCCACGCTCACGAGCCGAGGCAGGTACCAAGGGACTGAGATGGGGAGTGATGCTCAGGTTCCCAGCAGTGTGGGAGTCCAACCCGGCCCTGTGGGGCCTGAGCCCACACTGCTGTGCTCTTTGATGAGGACTGTTTTTCCACGGGCCTTTAGCTGCATGGGTCTTACCCAGAAGCGGGTTCTCAGGCAGCGCATTGTCAAGTGGCGAAGGCCCAGCAGCGTAGTGCCTGTTCTACCCCCCAAATCACAGCGCATTCCCTGCTCAGAAAGTCACTGTGTTCCCACCTGCGCAAGGACAAAGTGAGGCCCAGAAATGCCAACATTAAACATCTTCCCAGCCAGGGGGGAACAGAGAAGTCTCAGCCAACAACTCCAAAAGCAGGATCCTCCCTGCGAGCCCCGCTACTCTGACACAGGCTTCGGGGGCCTCTCCTACACAATGCCGCGCCTATTTGAATCACATAGGGGCTATTTTCTGGGAAATGTGAGCTTTATTCAAAACACTGTTTTTTCAGAGCTTATTCTCCATTGAAATAGTCTTATAAATGGGAGCTGTGTTCTTAGAGCGACCCCAAATGGCCTGTGGATCATAAAATAATGGGGAATGTTAAAATAAGGCTTTGACTGAACAGAACTCATCAAAGATGACAAGTTAGCGTAACAGCACACGTCAGCCAGAGGCTTGCCCCACCGCTGCTCATCTCATAGCCCCTCGCGTTACGTGAGAATGGGCGTACGTCAGGCTCCAAATCCTTTTAAAGCCTGTAGCGCTTAGCGCTGCGGAGCTGTCGAGGACGAGTGGCACTGCTGCTCGTCTCCGGGTCGTGCTGTTCCCTGTCAGGGGAACAGTTCTCTTAAGAACAGAGATCCCTCTTCTGCACCCTAAAGCAGGCTGTGAGAAACCTGCAGAACAGATAAAATGGTTAAAAAGTTACTCTGAAAGATTCAGGCCCCCAAAGTGCAGTTACCGACACAGCAGTCATGGCCTGTCTGGACAGGCAAGGCAGTCCCAAGAGCCACAGGTAATTGAGAGTCTTGAAAATGCCCACAGGAGAGAATGACCTCAGAGAGGCCCCTCACCTCCCTCCACCCCTTTCTATAGTTTCATCTCAAGGGGACACAGAATCCCAATAAATACACTGTCTGACTCAATGCGAAGCATCTCTCTCCTGCCTTGAATCAGGTCTAACTAGCTCTTTACCAGAGGTCCAGGAGACAAAGACCAAATTTATTTAGGGATACAGCTGCTGACATAAGGGCTCAGAGACTTGGCCATAGCAACCGTGGTCAGCTAAGGATAGTCTCCTCCCCTGTCTCCCCCTCCCCAAAAAAGATCCCATTATTCAACTAGAAATCCCTCCCTTCTGAAAATCAAAGTGTGTTTCCAGACTGCTCACAGCAGGACTTCAAATTCTGAGTTGACCCTGTGATGCTAGGATACAAGAGCACCTTCTGGTGACTTTTACCAGGGACTGGAAACATAGTGTATCCTGTAGCTCTCACGTTTGGAAAAGTGGCGATGTTTAGAATCGAGTTCTTCGGTGACATGGGTGAAGACCAAGCCGATGGTCTTGGCAGAGAGAACTCTCTGTTCTGTAGCCCTGAACAGTTTTCATTTCATTCCGTTGAGCAGCTGGAATGATGAGCATGTAAACAGGGTGTTGAACCTCATCATTTTCCATGGCAAGTATAGCAGAGGCCTCCATTTGTAGCAGAAATCCTTTCCACATCCCTGGTCTGAAGGATGATGGCCTCGTGTAAAGGCCAAAGCAGACACTCATGATAAAGAGCCCCACTGAGAAGAGGAATACAGACAAGAAAACCAGAATTATTCTGGAGACAACTCGGAAGTATTTACAAGAAACTCCCTTTGCCTCAGCAAAAAGCAAGGAGGTTTCGCTTGAATTCTTGAAGTGCCCTCAAGCACAGCTGCTTGAACAGGGCTAAAGGGGGTCAGAAGACTTGGCAACTCGGAACCCAACTCACCACCCTTAAACCTGAGACATACTTTTCGCTACCTAACCCCTCTTCAGATGTGCAGTCCAGCAAGGTTAAATCAAAGCTGTAAATTGAAGTGCAGAACTGTCTCACTGGTGATGAAAACTCCCCCGTAGACACACACTTACTGTTTATTTCTTAAGACAAAAGTTCTTCAACTTGTCAAGTTTGGTTTGTTCTTCATCTTAAAGCTAAAATCATGTTTTAGAATCAGGATTTTTTTAAAGCTGGCAGGATGTGAAAAGACTAACCCATAAGCTACAACCCATCGTGGAGCTGCAGTAGCTAATGCCCTGTTCTGTGTGTGCGAAGCCACATGTTCTGCGCTCACTGCATGTACAGTCATTCCCTGGTCACAGGGCCAGACTGACCTATTACTCCACTTCCCCAGGCCTTTGCTTCCCCCATGGAGCATGGAGATGATGATAGTTCCTTCCTTCTACACACACATGTGCACATGCAAACACACACACATGCACGCACGCACGCAATCCTTTTCTATGTAAATGTAGTGTCTTTATCTATGTTTTAATGTAATTAAGATAAACTTCTACTCTTTTCATCTCTGTACTATGAAAACCATTAGAAAATGATGATAAAATTTTCATTTGCATTGTCCAGAGTTATGTGGACATGACTTGCCATTGCCACTTATTTATAGCATGTTGGAATGCATAATCATACTTCTACAGGTAGTTTTCAAAAATTGTCAAGATAATTTTTGAAACTGTTCTGGGCCTTGTTTTATCTTTGAAATTTCAAATATGGGTGTGGTGTCCTTCCATGAAGGATGTCTGGGTTTTTCTTAACTAACAATTAAATGTACAAAGTCACTGAAAAAGACTCCTTCTGACATGCCCCATGAAATATTTTTACTGACCTGTGTTTAGTGCCCAGAATATGCCAGGCCCTGGGAAACGTAGACGGTGTGGCTCTTGCCCTCAGGAAGCCGACAGCCTGGGAAAGAAGAGAAGTGTAGCTCCCGTGCCAGGTATAGAATGTTTAGTGCTGTGGAGCCTCCTGGAAGTTCAGAGATGAAGCTGTTGCTGCAGGCCAAGGGGGTGGAGTAGAGAGGCTTCTGGATGACCCTCCCCAGAGGTGAGGAGGGTCTACTGTAGTGCCTCCCAATGTTCCAGCCCGTGACGATGGGGTGCCATCCACCAGAAGAGGAGCAGGGTGCTGGTGAGGCTGAGTTGGTACGCCTAGTGACGGACCACCTCTTAAACTCTGAGCCTCAGGTCTCTGAACCCTGAAATAGATCATGAGAACCATGAATGCTGCTTTCAAGGTGAGTTCCAGGTAATGTGTGCAGGGAGTTCCAGGTAATCTATGCGGGACTCTGCAGATAAGGCGCATGATACTCAGTAAACAGAGCTTGAGAGAATTTAAGAAACCAACCGGAGATTTGAAAAGAATGCCACTTGTGATTCAGGAGTGGATGTTCTTAAATGCCTGTATTCAGGTGTCGGTGAATGACGTTTAGAAGGACATTTCTGGACCCAGTGCAGACATTTCTCCTGTTGTTGAGAGCGTCCTATCTGGGAAGGTTTAATTCAGACCACTCCTGTGGCCTAGGAGTGTGATGTTTTCCCTTAGAGGGGGCTTTAGTGAACAGAGGAAGTACCAGCTCCTGGGAGGGACTTGGGATAAAACTGCAGGCTTTTGAGAGTGTGAAGTTTGCCCAAGATTGAAGAGCAAGGGTTCGGTCTGCAAATAGCCCAGAGTGAGCACAGTGCTTCGAGGTGCATAGCGATGTCACTTCCTGTGCTTCCTGCACTCCAGGCATGCTTCTGTGGTGGAGATCTCCCCAGGCTCATGATATCGAGGTGCTCGTGGCAACACAGCTCAGGGAAACGGGGGACCACCAGAGAGGAAGGTACAGCAGAATGTCCGCATGGCAGAAGAACCTGACGTCACCACCATACTGTTAGTGGGGCATTACCTCCTTATCTTCACAGGCCCCAGCAGACTTAAAATACAAAAATTATCTGAGTTCCCCCACCACCTATTATCTTCTGTCCCACTCCTATTTGAGTTTGTTTGATGTTGTGTTTATTCTTTTTCTATTTTTCTCTTTTATCTTTCTTTTTCGTACCAGAACTGCTTCTTTCCTCAGTCAGCCCTCAAATGTATTTTGCATCTAACAGCCACTTTATTATAGTTTAGAGATCAGTTATACATCTCTTAAGACTCTTCTGAACTCTTTAAATCTTATAGAAGTGTAAGTCTAGGGCCTCCCCGGTGGCGCAGTGGTTGAGCGCTGGGTTGTGAAGCCCAGCAGCCCCTGCAACACCGGGTTCGATCCCCGGCTGCTCCCCGGCCACCGGAGGAGGGTCCCACATGGCCGCAGACCTCTCCTGCCGCCCGCTGCTCCCCTCAGCAGTGTACTTCGGTCCTTCTGCCTGCTCTGCTCCCCACTCTGGCTCTGGTGAATTCTCTCACCCTCCCGCGCTTCTGACTGTACCCAGTGCTTGTATGTATAAATCAATCAATCAATCCAAAAAAAAAAAAAGTGTAAGTCTACTCTTCCTGGGGTTGAACAGAGTGTTTTCCACATTATGTTAACTCGTAACCTACTGGCCAGGATTTTGTGACATCACTCTATATCTCGTAATACAAAACGAGAGGTGGGTCTGTATTTCTGACTATGAAATTATAGTACGGAACATTCCTTTTCAAACCTAACACTGTCCTCCCTGCTATTTCTTCTCCTCCCTTCATTATCACCCTAAGTGAGATGTACAGTCTTGCTTAAGAATCATTGGCTTTAGAAAGAGGGAAGTAATGCCTCATCCATTCATTGATTCAACACTCCATTACTAAGTTCAAATTACAGCAGGCCAGAGAAAAGCCTGGCCCTAACAGAACCTGCATTCCAATGGGTGAGACAAGGCAATCAGCAATGTCACAGATCACGATTGGTGCAGTGAAAACAGAAGACTGAAGTATGTAATGACGGGGAACACTTAATGCCTTCATTGTTGAAATGATTCAGGAGGCTGAAGTTTGCTTGGTTTGTGGCTTCAGGATGACCCTTTGGTCTGATCACTCCTGAAATCACATACAGAAGCATCTCTGCTAGAGACATCGCTGCATTTGTGTTCTCCTTGGCAAAAGTATTTGTTTCCAGACAGGACTTGGAGCTGGTTGAATGACCTTTCAGATGCGCTATTTCAGGAAGTCCCTAGATGGCGATAAATAGGAAATTGCAGAGAATCTCATCATTGTCTATTATCTATTCTCCATTTATTTCCCAGAGGAAAGTTACACTTCCTAATACTGAGCGTTTGTTGTTGTTTTCCTGTTTTGTGCCAAGTGCACGAGGTGCTGGCTGCCTGGCTCTCAGGAACGCCCACCATCACGCTGTGAGGCAGGGTGAAGACTGGGCATTGCCTCCCAGGTCTGTCCCTCCTGTGGGGCCATGTGAAAATCAAGAGGCATGGCATATGTGAGCGCTTGCCTTTTGAAGCTACAAAGTATTACACAAATGCATGGCTGTAACAACAACCACTTTTTGTTACTTAAAATGGTTTCTGAAACTGCAGTGACTCGTGCCACAGTTAGGTGTCAGCTTGGGTTAACAGTGAGGCTTCCATCACTTCAGTAGGACAGAGAGAAGTATGAAAGTCTAGCTGGGGCCATTTTTATCCTAAAACAGATTATCGGCTTATTGAGATTGACAATATTTATTTCCAAGATGAGACTGTCTTTGAAAAACAGTGCTTTAAGTCAATGTGGGTACTGACCAGTCCTTGGTAATGGGAAATATCAAGGCTCGTGTGACCAAAGAAGGAAGCTAGCAGTAATCCAGATTTTCTTTTAATACACAGAATGTAGAAAGCTCTATTGGAGCCTTTCTGGATCCTCAGGTACCTGCTCTCCTGTGTTAAACATCTGGCGTGGCAGTGTTCTTAGCTTTTTTTTTTTTTTTTTCTTTTATTTCTTCCTTGTTTTTTTTTTCTTGTACTGCTCGTAGAAGCCACTGTTAAACTGTGTCCTGGATAGATTGGGCAGAGGCCCAGCACAGAGATGGTGGCTGACCAGCAACTTCTGTGTCACTTTGACAAACAAAACCAACGCCATATATACTATTCCCCGAATAGTTCTTCAGAACAAACTCCATTCTTTTCTGAAAACATTAGTGCAAAACAGTCAATTTTTGCAGTAATGGGGTGTGCGTGTGTGTGCGTGTGTGTGTGTGTGTGTGTGTGTGTGTAATAATGCCATTACTGCTATCCTATCTTGACCTCTGGATAGTTAGTCCTTTTTCAGATACATACAAATCAGTGTCTAAATCTTATAACTTGCCCAGTCGGCCAATCTAATTGGTCGTTTTTTATTTTTAAAACAATTCAGAATTAGAGGGAAAGAGTGTTTGGATTCTTCTTTTTTCCAAGTAACTCTTTACATAAGATCTTTCATTACTTCTAAAAGTCATTTTCAGAAGACATTCAGGCAACATTTGCTCGCTGAAGAAAAAGTTGTCATGTAGAGCATTCCACACTGAATACTTTGCAGGTGCAGCCTGCCCTCCTCCACTCCGTCTCCGCAGATGGTGCTGTGTGCCCGCTCCCTCCGCAGATTTCCTGTGATTCTTGCCAGTTATTCATTTGAAGTGTGTCCTTTTCCCGGCTGCACCTAAACCGTGATCTTCACCCATTGGCGTTCCGTGTTGACTGACACACTCTCCTGTGTTATCTTTTTTTTCACCAGCCATTTTCAAAGACCCTATTTGTGAGTAATGGATGGATGGACTTGGCCATATCCAGCCTTTTGCTCTTGTCTCTGTGTATTGTACCACATGTCGCTGTGTGGCAGTAATTTCGTACTGGCTTTTCTGTCATGAGACTGGGATTAACCTTCCTGCCCCCATTCGATTCCTTTCTAGGTCCAACTGGCCCACCTTCAACACTCCCTCTAAGCACCCAGACCTCTAGTGGCAGCTCCACCCTGTCCAAGAAGAGGCCTCCTCCCCCACCACCCGGACACAAGAGAACCCTGTCCGACCCTCCCAGCCCACTACCTCACGGGCCCCCAAACAAAGGCGCAGTTCCTTGGGGTAAGTCATGCTGAAGTCAGGGCCAGCGCTGCTAGGGCCAGGCAGCGCGTGGGTTCCGTGGGCAGTGGCCTCAGCGAGCAGACAGGCAGCACATACTGGAGGAGGGCTGGGTCACCCGCGAGTGAGAGTGTGCTGCCTCTCCAGGCCAAGAAACATTTTGGAAAAGAATTAGGATCATTTAAAAATGATGAGTAGTAAGGATCCGAGAGTTTCCTGTGCACCAGACACTGCTACGCCTTCCGCAGCATCACATCCGATCCCAGTGGCAGCTCTGTGAGAGGGATTGTCTGCCCCCTTCACAGATGAGGCCCAGAGGCTCGGCGACGCAGAGCAGCCCGCCCCCTCACACAGGCAGGGCGGTTTGCTTAAAGTCTAACTCCTTCCTCTGCGCTTCAATAATGGCAGCTCCCTCAGCCCAGCACTCGGGCACCCTGGTGTCAGCTCTTCTCTTCCAGCCCCTGTCCCAACGCTCGGCTCCCCCCACACTGGCCACCTTTCACCTCGGGGTGCACCAGGCTCTGTCTCTGCTGGGGAAAGAGCTCTGCTCCCCACACCTCTGCTGTGCCCCCACCTCTCGTCCTTGTCACCTTGAATGTTTGCCTTGGCCCTCGCCCCACTCAGAGGCTTCAGACACTTGGCACGGGTGGTGTTTCGTTTCTCTTTGGGTTTTGAGTCCCTCTAGAATGTAAGCTCCATGAGGGCAGGCACCTGGCCTTCTTGTTCTCTTCTGTGTTTGCAGGGCCTAGAAAGGAATCATCACTTAGAATAAATAGGCCTCCCCTGAGTCAGTAGTTTAACCATTTCAGTGACGTTGGCTGGAAATAACAGATTTCCATCTTTATCTACCTTTTTGGTTCTCCAAGAACCCCTCACTCACCTGCTAGCTAAATGAAGGACCAGGTGTCTCCCAGTGCCCAGCGGGTACCTGGCCTCGGCACCAGAGGCAGAGCAGCCTGCTGTGACTATGCCGCCGAGCCTGTGCTGCCTCCTCCTTTAGGCAAGTTTCACCCTGGCTTTTGTCCTCTGGTTTTTTAAGGGTACCTGATAGGCGGTTTAACTGAGTACTTTTAAACACCTCCTAAGAAATCTCTAGTGGGTGTTCTGGGGGTTTTGCGGGAAAATACCACTTCACCCATTAGCAGACTGACACACATGTGTGTCACCTCGCCCTCGGGCCATGGGCGTGTGGCTTCATCTGTTTACTTTTTCATTCAGCAGATCGTGTGCCTCTTGTTCAGGCTTTCTCACGTCAAGGAGCTCGTGGTCTAGTGGAGGGGACAGACAGGCGAACCATCAAAGCAAAGGTTCTTTACTGTTAGGTGACAGGTTAACTAAATAGTGTGGAAATGCTGAATAATAAGTATCACCTATGCGTGAGTGTTGGTGCCCAGGCGAGGCGAACGGAAGAACGAGGAGGCTGGCGCCCACGCCTCGGAGCCCAGCACCTTTGGCTCATCCTGGAGGTTTCCAGAGGTTGTGTCACAGGGCATCTGAGTCCCCAGATTTCATCCAAAAGGACTTCCCCCCGAATAACATCCCACTGAGAGTCGCTCGTGTCTTGTGCAAATTTTTATCCCATAAGTCACAAACTAATCTTTCTAGATAACACTCAGCTTTGATCCTGTTTGGTCAGGTTTTATTTCTGTGCTGATTATAGAGTGCTCATGTGCAGCTCACAGACTCAGTCGACAATTAAATCTACCAAGCATCTGTTTTCTGGCTTACGAAACACCAGTTTTCTTAGATTTCTTTCATATCACTCAATAGGAATACTAGCTGGGGGCGGGGAGTGGTCTTATGTTTCTCGCTAAGAGACAAAGCACCACCTCCTGCGTTAGTCATGCCCACTTTATGAGTTAGCGTCGAACCTATGGGAGATGCTGGCACTCAGCAGTCTGTTGGCTCTCTCGCCAGCCAGGGCTCCCTGACAGCCAGCCTTCCAGCACAAAAATCCAACCTGCCCACAGCAAAAGTGACTGTTCTTCACATCACAGACGGTGGTGGTCACCCCCAAACAGCCCCCAGTGGTGACAGGATGTCATCTTTCTGTGCTGGTGTGTGTGTCAATACTCAGAGGTGTCTGTAGACAAGGGTCAGGGACAGTCGTCTCAACAGGCCATGGGAGTCGCTCTGGTCCTAGTGTTGAGGCTTCATGTTGGGCACTCGGTGGCTGCTTGGTTTTATCCCAAAACCAGAGGGAGGCCCAGACTCGTACACAGGAGATGAGTCTCTCAGGCGACATTTCTCAGTGCTGCCTGAGATGAAGCTCTTTGCACTGCCCAGGAGCTGCATCCGGCTTGGCGGGGGAGACTCTAATCTTGAAAAGAGGGAAATACGCAGGTCTTTTAGCTCTGCACCGCGGGCATGGGCCGTGCTGCCATACTGAGGTCCAGTAGGTTCCAACTGCATTCTTTTTTCTAAAATTTAATCCTTTGTGCATAGTATGCCTGCTACCTACCCCAGGGCTTTGTTCCCTGCAGCCCAGGGCTCATTGCAGTGCTTCTGTTTGCTTCTCAGTCTTTCGCTGTGCATTGAGAGCTCTGTACAAGGGCATGTACTCCAGTGGGGACCTAGTGTCTTACTGCCTGGATTCCAGTCCATCTCTACCATTTGGTGGCTCGCAGCCACATCTTGGAATTGTTCCATACCATACCTCAGTTTCTCCTGCTGCAAAATAGAGCTGGTTATTAGTTCCTCTGTTGTTATAGTTAATTGTGAAGTGGCCACAGGAAAACCACATGCTGCTCTGGCCCAGAACACGCAAAGCACTCAGTAGATGTCAACTCCTGTGACTCGGGGGTAGATGTCACTGAAACCTGCATTCACTTTCTAGCACTGCCGTAAAGCGTTGCTGTGGAACTATTGTCCTGGACTGCAGAAACTTCTTCACTCCCTTCTGGAGGCTGTTGGCGCACGCTCCGGCAGGCCTGTTCTCCCACCAGTGGGGCTGGGAGAATCTGCTCCTCGCCGCTCAGCTCTGGTGGCTCCGGGCAGTCTAGGAGATCCCTCTTCTCCTCTCTGTCTCTGAAGCCCCCTTCACTTTCAGGACGCATGTGTTGTCTGCAGCTTATCCAGGGTCATCGCCTAAGACCCTTGGTCCAAATAAGGTCACATTTACAAGTTCCACGGGTTAGGTCTTGATATCTTCAAGATCTACCAGTCTACCCACTGGCCCCCAAAATTCACGTCCATCCCATGTGAAAATCCATTCACCTTACCCCAGTACCCCTCAAGTCTCAGCCCCCCATCTTTGCCCTCATTCTTTCTAAGCTCAAGCAGATGCCAGCTGTCACAGATCTGCTGGACTGCTCCCCCCCGACTCTATCTTGGGGTGCCTTTTCCAGACTGAGAAGGGAGAGTTGGGGATGTGGTTATTATCAGCAACTCACCCTGTTTGGATGTTTGAAAAGCAATATGGGTGCACCTTTGACCTAAAGAATCAAATTTACGGTTTTCTGCCAATGCCAATGCATTTCTGCCAATGCCAATGCCACCCCCATTTGTAGGCCACCTATTCACATGGCTCCTCTGTCCCTGGCCGACTCACTGGCATCATTGGCCAGCACTGTCACCCTGCATGACCTACCCTAGGCCCGCAGGCTCACTCGTTGGCCAGGAGGAGTGTCCGCCTGCACCCCAGGTGTTTCTGCCTCCCCTTCCTGCCTCTGGCCTGAGGGGGTGAAGGGTGCACCTCAGCCATGTGTGCACAGCAGCAGTGAGCCTCAGTGTCAGGCTCCACTGGTGGTGCCACTTTTCTAGGTGCTGATAATCAGAGCCACCCAGTCCCCCAAGCTGGCCTTGGGGACTCTCATTAATGAAGAGAGACCTTCCAGAAGGTTCTAGTTAAAAACAAAACTTTCAAACTATGCGAACAATTCAGTCTCCCCCAAAGCAAAAAGAGTGGGTATCAGAATCTCCAGTACAAACCAAGGCCTAGTGTTGCTTCGTTGACCTGTTTGAGCCCCACGGCTTCTGGGTGGCAGAACCAAGCGTGTTTAAGCCACGGAGGAAGGGCTCGGTTCAGCCGCAGATGGGTGGAATGGGCAGGAAGGTGAGCGGAGGTAACAGAGCTGAGACTGGTGGGGCAGAGATCCAAATCTTCAATGCTTCTGCCTCACAGTGGCTGGGCTGCTTCACTACCGAGCCTTTGTCTTTACATCTCCCAGACCGTATTTTGCAGCCTCTTAAATTCTGGACATAGGTTTATGACTGGGAAGAAAAAAGAAAGTGATGATCCATCATGGTTCAAAATCTTTAAGTAGAAAACTACCTTCTACCTGCCGAGAAGGTCAGTGCTGGCAAGTCCCACACACCCGTGCCCGGCACTGCGTCAGCACATCACCTTCTTCCCTTCCCTAAGTCTTAACTGAAGTTCCTCAGAGTGGGGGGTGCTAGCGCCCGGACTGAAAGGACACACGCTCCGAAAGTCTGGGTCCCCTGCTCAGGTTCTTGCAGCTGGTAAGTGGGGAGCCAGATTCACGTCCAGCCTGTGTAGCGGGGAGGGCCTATGCTCTTCACCCTCTGTGCTCTGTTCGGCGACTCCATCACCGCACCCCCAGCCCCCACTGTAGTTGTTTCTCTGCCCATAACCCAGCAGGTAGGCTGTGCCTCCGTCCATCTGCAGCTCGGAGCCCTGGTGTGCGGGGAGGGCCGCTCTGGGCTTTTTCCTGACAGAGTCACAGTGTGCACAGCCCCCAAAATAGCCCAGGCCTCCCATCCCCAATGCGGGCGCTGCCATCTGTCTCGGGAGACCGGAGGCGGGCTTGCCATCAGCAAGCAAATGGGCTTCTGGGCAGATTCGGGGCTTGTGGAGACCTTTGATTTTCGAAGTGGCACGTCATTAAACCTCACTTTGGAAATACAGTGATTTCTTTTTAACCTGCATTATAACAGACCAACACCTATTTTAAATCAATTTAAAATGAGGATGTAAACATAACAAAGTAAGATGAAATTAGGTGTGATCGTTTCACAGAATTCCTAACAAAAGGTCACATAGAGTGACTGAGTTGACCACAGATTTGACAATGGGGTTCTTAGAAGCAGGAGCAAAGAGAGAAAAAAATACAACTAATTACTTAGTTCACAGTGGCTACAAGATTAACCTTCACTCTTCAGATTTTTGAAATTAATACCTGAGAGCAATTTCCGCCAGGACCTCCATCCTTTGACAAGGATTCAGTTTTCCACAGCCAGTGTCATGGAATATGCTGGAAACTCAAGTTCTGATCCAGGTTTTACCCATTCCTACTTAGTGGTATCTAGAAATCACTTACATTCCTCATCTTTGGCCACCGGGACTCAGTCGTATAAGCATCTTTAACATAGAATAGATAATGGGTGAAAAACTGTTCTGCAAATTGATTCAGTTCTCACATTTCAAGGCCAGAACTTCCAGGTAAAAAGGCTTATTGTTTGAAATGTCTGTGGTGTGTACATCTACATTCTGGAAATAGTATTGGCCTTTGGGGAATCATTTCCTGGGCTTTCTTAGGTTTCCCAATAAATGTCCATATCAACTCCCCTGAACCTGTACTTCATTTTGCATTCAGTTCTCCCAGGTTGCTTCATGTGCAGGCTCTGAGCATTTATTGATACGTTACTATGTCGCGCATCTTATAAGCCACCGCAAGCATCCTATGAGATAGGGCCCAATTTCCTGATCAGGAAATTGAAGCACAAAGATGTCAAATGATTTGCATCAGATCACAAATCCCAAGACTTCAGAGCTGGGCTTGAAGCCTGTTTCTGACTCCAAGGTTCACCCGCTGTGCCAGAAGATTGGCGCCTCTGTGCCATTTGCTGCCGGGTCAGCACCCTCCTCACTGCTTGTAACTGCTGTTTGCAGCTCCTGAGCTGTGCTACATGGCCTCGAGTCTTGGCCACGACTTCTTCAGTTGCTTGCCCGGCATCTATCCCCAGCTCTCTCCCACAGGTCCGTAAGCTACCCCAGAGTCCCTTGCCAGATTACATGGAGAGAAAAAGGCTTGAGCTGTTTCCGGGTTTTTGCTCTTGCTCTCCACCCTTTTTTCAGAAGTCCCGTTTTCAGAAGTTTCTAAGCCACACTTCCCGGCACAGCTGGCCCCCTTTGCCCGCTGTGAGAATGACAGGCTCCCTGTCTGCCTGGGTGCAGGAGCCTGCCCACCCAGGTGTGAGGCGTGAGCTGTGGGTGGGGAAGTGGACAAGTCCGTGCTGTGGACCCCGTCTTTATTCAGCAGGCAGCCAGCAGCCGCTCCGGGCCTGAGGCTGGGCTAAAAAGTGGGGTTTCAAAGCCGAGCATGGCAGAGTCCTGTCGTTGAGATGCTCACTCACTGAGTAATGAGCTCTGAGTAATAATTGAATCATGTCCATTTGTGTCCTGTTCCCTGGGGTCCAGTGCTGTGCCCTGCACTCCACAGAGGCCTCTCACCCATTAGTGGGACCAGCACTGTTGTCCCCATTCCCTGGATGAGGTTGCTGAGGCAGAGCAGAAAGAGCAGTCTGAGCCACACCCACGGCTCTGCTGCTCCAGGCTTGCCTGGCCCCGAGCTCTGTACACCCGGCCACTCCTCTGTGGTTAATGGTTGTGGACAAACAGGGCCAAGGGAGTGGTCAAGTCCAGCTTGGGAAGATGCACAGGAATTGGCTTTGACGTGTTCTTTGAGGACTGTGTAGGAATGCGCCGTGAGCGGAAGAGGACAGGCGTCGCAGGGAGAAGGGACTGGGAGGCAGTGTTGCGCAGGCATGAAAACACAGTGTCTGGAGAGTGGAAGCAGCCTCGAGTGGCCAGAGAGCAGGGTGCAGTGGGCACTCTGGCCCTTGGGGCAGTGGCATCCAGCAGCGACCCCAGGCCTCAGGTCCGACTGCGTGAGGGCAGTCAGGGGCCTTTGCAGCCCTGATGTTCGAAGGCTTTCACCCTGGCAGCACCAGTTTAGCTGGTTTCTTCTTGTATCGCTGTCACAGTTCCCGAACCTTGTTGGGGGGACCCATCTTAGCCCTCTGCTAGCCCCCTCTCTGCCAATAGGCTATGTAACCCAGCTCTGACCCTTACCAGCTGCTTGACCCTGGGCAGTCACTTTACTTCTGTGTTTCTTCACATAGGAAGCCGAGGGTGATTGTGCCCTGCATCTCATAGACATAGTTCCTTCCTCAGCCTTGGCCTCTCCATCTACCTTCCAGTTTATGACCTCAGCTTAGCTGCTGTGGGCTCCTAGGCGGGGTACATGGGGGTCTGCTGAAGCAGGAGAACTCTGGAGTCTCCAGAGCCATGACTGGGAGAGCCCCAGTGACAGCTGCAGGTTCCCAGGGCTTCCTCAGGTGCCAGCAGCCTGAGGCTCGGCCTGTGCTACGCTGCTGCAGGTGGTTTGGCTCACAGAAGCTCCCATCCTATCCTGCCCAGTCCTCTGCCTTCTGGACAGAGCACACACAGCTGCTATTGCTGCTCCCCTGTTAGAAAGGGCTTTGCTGCTCAGAGGCCATGTCCCCCAGAGGGGACGTTCCCCACCCCTCTTAGCATTTCGACTGTAGACACTGTTTCCTCGTTTCCACCACAGCAGCCTACACGCACCTCCTCAACCCCCCCACACCCCTTCAGCCCGCATTAGTAGTGCCATTGCATGCAGCACACGTCTCCCAGGCCACCTCCTAAAGAGAGCAGTTTTATTTGCTTTATTTGTTTCTGCATCTCCTGCTCCACACTCATGCCTTGCACATAGCAGATGCTTAATAAATGTGGTGAACTTCAATGGACCATGAGTGGCAACAGTGGCCAAAGGCTTTGTCCAGCAGATGGCCAGGCACTGCCACCCCACTGAACCCTGACCACAACCACCGGTGGGTCGTGTGTTTCTTTTGTGATTCCCAGGGGACAGCCTCCTGGCTTGGGAACCTCTGGGTGAATTTGAGTTTCCTCCTCTTTCCCTGCCCCCAAGAACAGAACCAGCTGCTGGGCCAGCGGGACATCGCCATGGGCCTGTGATCAGAGCAGGCTCGCCGGAGAGCAGGCTGCTTGTCTTTTTGACATACTGCTTTCATCGCAAGGAAAGCATCATTAGCACCCAAAATAGTACTTAATTTTATTTTGCTTTGTTTTGTTTTACTGTCAAGAAAGCATATTGCTCTGGCCTGAGTCTTTAATGCTTTTCTAGAACCTGAGGGATCCCTTTCTGCCAGAGCCTGTGTCTCCATATCCCACTTGCCTTTCTGAAGATGTCATTTCTCGCCTTTCGCTTTCCCTGTAGGTAACGATGTGGGTCCATCATCTGCAAGTAAGACAGCAAACAAGTTTGAGGGACTGTCTCAGCAATCAAGGTAAGCCCTCCTAGGGCCTTCTCTCCCCCTGGCTTTTAGTTGCAATGGACAGAATTCTAGAAATAAAGTTTAGCAACGATTTACTCCACGTGTGTCCTGCCCACTGGCACTGATGAACATTTAGAAGCTAAATGTTTGCTCTTGATCTGCTTGTTCACTTTGTTGCTGAGCCATGAGAAACAGGTCTCACCTGGCCTGGCTCTGCAAACCGTCATCCGGGTTACAGGTAGGAACGGCCGAGGCTTCCCTGGTGATCACAGAGTATATCTGAATGAGCTTTTTATTTTTAAGTTTTGTTATTGTCCCTCATGATTCTTTTTTGCAGACTTAGGAATTAAAAAGGCTCCTCGGGGAAAACCAATAGCCCAGAAATTGTCAAACACAAAAATACAACTTTCCCAATTCCCAGTTTGTAAGGTTTTTTTTAGGCTAAACTAAACGCAGTGTTCCTTTCTTTCTTCCTCCCGCTGAAATGGGATCTTTGGACAGTCTCCCGTGGGCAGCGTTTATCCGATGCAGAGGGTTTTCTCTGGAGGCGTGATCCTAGATAAGGACACAAAGAGCCGCTTCCAGACCCAAAGCCTCAGGGGAATGGAGTCAGCTGGTGTGTGGGGGCCGCTTTCCAGAGGTCCGGACATCAAAACAGAATCCCCATTTCTTTGAATGCCACTATCTAATTTAATCTCTAACTCTGAGAAAGACCCAGGCACTGTTACCCTCACTCTTAGAGAAGAATCTGAGCCCCCAGAGAGATGGTGTGGGCAGGGCCCATGGCTGGTGCTCAAGCCGGATCTTCTCTAGACTCCATGTTCCCTCGTCCTCCTGCCTGATTCCATCTGCTCTGGGGACTCTTGAAAACAGAAGTTCTGATATGGAGAATGTGCCTGCCCAGTGCTTTTAAGTAGAATCCAGGGTCCGTGTGCACACGCACACGTTCGTGCTCGCAGCACGGCCAGCGCAGCGGCCTTGTGCTCACTTGCTTAGGAGGAGGCCTAGGTCCCCTCAGGCCCAGCGTAGATCCAGGCCTGCCTCAGTGACTTAGACCGAAGTTGAGGCTTTATCATCGAGATGTTGTTGCTGATTTTTTTCTCCCTCTCTTCATTCCTCCCAGCCAGACAAACTTTGAATTATGGAAAGTAGACTGTAATTGTTGTTAAAGAAATTTTAAAAAGGCTTTTCGATAATTGTGTCATACTGCTGTGGCTTCCTTCTGTAATATATGGCTATTGACATTCTAGCACTTTTAAATCCTAAGTGACTCCTGTTTATTAATTAGCACCAGTTCTGCAAAGACTGCCCTTGGCCCGAGAGTCCTTCCTAAACTACCTCAGAAAGGTAAGACTTCTCCTCTCCCGTGTAGGTGTGTTAGCAGGTCACTTTATCCTCTGGGGGGCCGGCGGGTGGTCTCTGTCTCTTCTGGTCATTGATTTGCCTGATGCCTGGAGGAGCCCCACGCATGTAGCAGATGCCCAAGTAGTATTTGTTCAGTGAGGAAAAATATTGGTAAAATAAGATTTTGTGGTTAGCAAAGCACCATACTTTCCCTAAAAAACACAATATTCTTCCAAAAGCTACATGATTAGGATCCCCAGGTGCGAATCCTTCTCGTCTTTCAAACGTCAACAGAGAAGCCGTCCCCTTGCTGGCTCTGTGGCCTTCACTCAGCCTGGGGTCCTCACCTGTGAGGGGGCACGAGTCCCTACTACAAGGTCTGGGAAGGGCGAGGGGGTGTGCCCATGCTTCAGAAAGCCCCTGGCAAGAGGGTGGCAAAGGAACCCTGCCCCGGGATGGCATCTGCGGGCGGAGCAGAGCCCCTCCTGGAAGTACAAGAATGCAGGGACTGAGCTGCTGCCGCGGCTGGCAGACACTTGGTTCTTTGACACATCTCTCGTTCTGACCAAGCTTTTCATGGGTCAGACCCAAACTCTAGTCTTCTCACTACAACAGAAATGACAGCGCTCCCTTTCTTTTGTTGCAATGCTCTAGCCTTAGCATTGGGGTCACCCCATCCTCACTTAGACTTGGGTGGCAGGGCCCAAGTTGGGCAGAGGCTGAGGCTCAGAGGAACTGAGGCCTCTAAGTGGGTTTTCAGCAACACCTTGGACCCTAGCCCAGTGTGCTTTTACCTGCCCCGAGTGAAAACCAAAGTAGAAATTCACAGTGGGAAGCAGCAGTCACTCTCCAAAGTCCTTCAGAGACAGTGGGGAGTTGCGGTGACTGGCAGGCCAGGCCCCTGTGTGGGAAGAGGAGGGGCTTCCCATTGGCTGCTGCTCCATTCTCCATGGGCCTCAGACTGATTGGGGCTGGAAAAGCCTGTTTGGCCAGAGGACCCTCAATTCTACCCCTTTTCCTGGGTGCCCAGGCAGCAGAGAAAGGCCTCTCAGTCTAGTGAGGACCACCTCTGGAGGGTAGACAGGCTTAGGGGGAGTCCAGGGGATATTTGAGGGGAGAGGCTGTGGCCCAGCGTGAGAGCCAGGCTCACCCACCAGATACTAAAACCCTCTATGGGCTGTGACTGTCATCAGCTACTTCTTCCCTTGGGTGTCCACGGTCCATTTTTGAGCCTCCCCTCCCCTCCGCTCCAGCACCCACTGCCAGCTGGCACCTCCCTGTGGCCTGGCCACATTAACCTCTTTTCCCCTCCCAAAGAGCACCCATTTCTTAAGTCCGTTGGGCACCTTTTTAAAGACCTAATGAAAGCCTTCTCAGCTGGAGAGATGGCTACAGTGGAGCCACTTTCTGAATGAATTTTTTGGTGAAGGCAATATCACATGAACTCGAGAGGTTTTTTTAATGTGAACAAAGGCACCCATAATTCTGCCACTGTGAGACGCCGCTCTGATCCCTTCCAGGAACACACATTCTCCTTCCTGATTCCTTCCAAGAACACACTTTCACCTTCCTGATTCCTTCAGCATGATCTGTAGCCCATTTCATTCCTCTTAGCCTTTCGACATAAGACTATTTCCTCCTGGGGGCTGCAGAGTGCCTCCCTGTGCTCAACAGCCCCTTCATTTTGTGAGACCCATGGCCTGGACATTCACAGGGTCTTCCCTCCTCTGCCTCGTTCTCCCCAGTTCCATGGAATCAGTTCTCAGGAAGAAGAGACCACAGGAGGGCGAGGGGCCAGTATTGGACCCTGCGCCATGTCCTCAGAGGGCTGACCCATTTACCTCATGCCCAAGCCAGCCTCTGAGCTGCTCTGCCACGCAACAAACCCAAGTAGACGGGCTTTGCAGGGTCGGGAGCTTGGAGGGCACCATCCTTTCGTTCTGGACACGCTAGCAGTGCACTCTGCTCTCCAGTCTGAGGGGAATTTTGTGTGTCTGCCGTATGGGGCTCCAGAGTGCATCTCAGAAGGCACTTTTAGTTAGAGAGGGGAAAAACAAAACCAGCTTGGAAATAAAATAGCCAAGGGCTGGACAGATACCCCTGAAAGAGAGACTGTCTCTCTTATTTTTTCTGTTCTTACTAAAGTACTGTCTGTTCAACCTGGCAGGTTTGAAAATTATACATAAGCAAAAAATAGAAAATATAAGTTTCCTGGTCTTACCACCCAAGAAAAGCAATTTATTATATCCCTTCAGTCCTATTTCTGTGCCTTCTTTTGGTTTTAAGTTTTTATTTAAATTTAAGCCTATTTTTTTCACATAATAAATCAAGACCATTTTTCATGGCATGAATTGCACCAAGTCTGATTTTTGCTGACTGCATACTACTCTGTTGCTGGTCCACATGGCTGAGGAGTGGCTCATTTCCACATTCACTTGAGTGGCAGTTTTTCACTGTAAGTAGTGCCATTCCAAACATTCTAACACAGACAGCTCAGTGCCTGGCTTTGATCCTTTGTATAGGAGCTGTTTTAGGGGTTGGGACATGCAGCATGCAGTTTCTGTCCCCCCACATGTGTCACCGAAGGCAAGGCCTTCCACCACCACCCCACTACCACCTAAGGGAATACCCCAGCTGTTCCCCAACACTGACTGCCTCAGATTTTTGCTTATCCAGTTTCTAACTTCCAGGAGAGGAATCTGATTGGCCAACTTTAACTTGTTGAGCCACACCACTCAACTGAAGCTCAAGGACCAACCTGTGAACAGAGTGCTCTTGAACTTGATTTCTTTAGGGAGGGATATGGCTGGGCAGGCCATGGTGCAGTACAGCTCGTGACAGTTTACAACACTTTAAAAAAATTTTTTTTAAGGATCTCTTTCTGATTATGTTGTTGTAGGATAGTATCCTTCATTTGACTCAGTGCCTTATTCCTCATTGTCTCCTCCTGTTTTATTCCTCACTGTTTCCTCACCAAGCACCTGCAAGAACTTAGCCCCTGCACTAGGAGCCAGAGTAAAAAAATTAATCCTGGCCTCCAGGAACCCTGTCTAAAAGTTATAAATAGTAACACTCTCATATTATCCTTATAGCCTGACAGTCCTGTGAGCAATTTCTTTATACCTGTTAACTCATGTTTTGGAGATGAGGAAAGTGAAGCACAGAGAGGTTGTATCATTTGTTCGAGATCACATAGCTAGTAAGTGGGACAGCTGAACTTGGAGACTTGACCTTAGTGTCCTCTAAGTTCTACTGCCAGAGCTGTGGGAATGGCTGAACAAATTGTAGCATCCTGTGCCTCGGAGGTTTCCACTGCAATGAACGAGAAGGAGGCATTGACTCAGAAACCCTTCCAAACAGGTTAAGTAGAAAGAAACAAAAACTGCAGAGTGTCCGTATTGTAATCCCACTTACAGCTTTAAAGGACACGGTCACAAGCACATGTGTGTGTCACCTCAAATCCTTGCCTCTTACAGAGCGTGTGAATCATAGCAGTGGAGGAAGTTAATGAATTATGCAGCTGTACAATGGGATGGAAATCTTCATTAAAAGTGATGTACCACTAATAAAGGACTTTTACTAACATGGCAAATACTCTTGCTAAAACAACATATATAAAAGCAGATGAGAGTCTTATCTATAGAAAATATTTAGAAAAGCCAAAAAGGACATCTATCACAATGTTAAAAATGGCTACAGATGGGTGGCAGGCTGATGGAAAGTTTTAACTTTCTACTTCCCAATTTTCTGTAGTTCGTATTATGTTTATAATCGTGTGTGTTATTTCTTTGTAAATCCCAGACTAGTTTGGGCAGCCCGTTCTTATGTAACTAGGGCATAAATCATGGATTGTGATGTGTGTGCCTTCCAGGCTTCCACCTCTATCTGTTAGACACAGGCTGCCCTCCGTGGTGTGGCCCCCGAGCTGCTCCACCACACTTAGACTGGGTCCTCTTCACGGTGACTGAGGGGCTGGGGGTTCTTCCCTGCCTCGTGCTCTGTCTGGTGACCCTCTCTTTGTGATTGCTTCCACAGTGGCACTAAGGAAAACAGAAACCAGCCATCATCTCTCCATAGACAAAGCCAATGTCCCACCTGAAATCTTTCAGAAATCGTCACAGTTGGCCGAGTTACCACAAAAGCCACCCCCTGGAGACCTGCCCCCGAAGCCCACAGAACTGGCTCCCAAACCCCAAATTGGAGATTTGCCACCTAAGCCGGGAGAACTGCCCCCCAAACCACAGCTGGGCGACCTGCCACCCAAACCCCAGCTCTCAGACTTACCTCCCAAGCCACAGATGAAGGACCTGCCTCCCAAACCGCAGCTGGGAGACCTGCTGGCGAAGGCCCAGCCAGGTGACGTCTCGCCCAAGGCTCAGCTGCCCTCAGACGTCCCTCAGAAGTCACACCTGGCGGACCTGTCCCCAGGCATGCAGTCCCGAGATGCCGTCCAGAAGCAAGCCTCAGAGGATGCCAACGACCTCACACCCACTCTGCCGGAGACGCCCGTGCCACTGCCCAGGAAAATCAACACGGTGGGTGGCAGCGCGCTCGGCCCCTCCACTGCCCGACACCTGGCGGAGGGGTGATCCCGTGCACACAGAGGCAGGAGCGGGGCCTACTCAGGCACGCAGACGTTGGATGCCAGCGTATGGGCTTTAGGCCTACGTGACCTCGGCCGCTTACTTATCCTCAGCTTCCTCCCAGACACAGAGTAGCTGATAGGATAGCTGCACAGTGAGGATGGAACTGAGCTGTGGTAGAAAACACCCAGCAAGTGGGCACCCTTGCCCAGGACCCTGGAGGGAGGACCTGCCCTCCCCATCTCACGGCTCAGGGTTCTGAGGAGCTAGGCCAGTGCTTCCCACGGCATCTTCCTGGAGGAATTGCAGACAAAGCCCAAAGAAAGTGGCACAGCCTAAATTTGGTTGAGGGCTCATGTTCCATCATTTTCATAAAATGCTTTCTATTCTCTATTGATTTCATTGAAACATAAAAATGCCTTTCTCATAAAAGTCTTTCTTTGGAAAAGCAGTGCTCTAGGAAGATGCGTGGTTGCTCTTTGTCCTGCCTCAGCTGGAGCATACAGGGGTGCTGCACCCAGGCTGAGGGCACAGTGAATGGGGGCCCAGAGGCCTCCCGCTGCCCTGACACCTGTGCCCCCTCACATTTTATCAGAAACACACAGAAATACATGTGTGTCGCTTCAGCACACAAGGTGAGGAGCATGAAGCCCTTGCTGCCAGGGGTTGGTGACCACCGGTCGGAAGGTGGCTGCTTTTGCTCTTGGTGAGGACAGTCTCCCTCCCCCCCGAGACCCCAGCCCTACCGCTGCCTTGGCATTGACATGTGCGGCGTTCCAGTTCCTCTAGTGCTTTACGGTGTTTGTGACCCATTGTCCCTCCGTCATCCTCACACCTGGGCCTCTGCGCCCCAGTCAGAGCTGAGAGCCACGTTCACCCACCACCACCTCCTGCTGCTTCTCACCCCGCTCCCAGCCCGGGGGTGCCGCAGAAGGGAGCAGGGCCGTCCCGGTGGTGACTGAGGAAGCAGCCAGGACACATGAGGAAGGGCTCGTCCCCCAAAACCCTTTTTTATTACTCAGTATCTCATGAGCTGGGGCCAGAAACAGCCATGAAAAGGGATTTCTCTATTTGCATCTTCTCGTTTGCAAAGAACTAGAAATCCAACCAAAGAAAGCCCAAGTCCAACTCATCAGAAATGAAAACATCCTGGGAACTGCCTAGAAGGGCCCGACCTGACTGCTCCTGCCCCTTTACCCGCATGTGCTGACTCCGTGCTTTGCCGAGGGCCCTGGGAGAGTGTGTGCTGCGTGCCCAGCTCGCACAGCCTGCACATTGGCTTGACGTCATGTCTCCAGCACCATTTTTAGACTCTGCTGTCATCCCTGCCAGCTGCTGGCGTGGGGGGCGGGGGCAGAGCGCTTCTCGGGTTTGGGTGAAGCCGGATCTCAGTCCTACCCACACTGCTTGCTCCCCACGAAGGGGGAGGGGTCCCGAGAGCAGAGCACAGGGGCACCTGGTGGCCACGCCTTGTCCCCACAGCTGAGGAAATCGAGGCCCAGCCGGCCACTGCCCCAGATCAGCATGTCCTGTCAGCTAAAACCCAGTTTCTTTCTTTAAGGGGAAAAATAAAGTGAGGCGAGTGAAGACCATCTATGACTGCCAGGCCGACAACGATGACGAGCTGACCTTCATCGAGGGGGAAGTGATCGTGGTCACGGGGGAGGAGGACCAGGAGTGGTGGGTAGGTACCTGGATGGGGCGGCCCCAGCGGCCTGCAGACCCCGCAGCCGCCCAGCCCCAGGTCCCTGCCCGGCACATCATTGCCCAGCGTGTGGGGCACTGCTGTCCCTGCTGTTAGGTGCTGGCACAGCACGTGGGGCTGCAAAACTGGGTCAGGAGAATTAGCGTTTGCATGTGCTGCAGCCTTGTCAGCACACAGCAGCCTGCGAGCTGTCGGCACTTTCTGATTTCTCAGATGCTGAACTAAAGCTCGAGGCAGCTGAGCGTGCGGCCTGGGGCCTGAGGCGCTCCTCAGGCAGAGGGAGAGTCTGAAGCCCCTCTGGCCCTGGCTTTGCTCACCGTTCCTTGCCATCCTCAGGCTCACCCCCTAATCCAACTGGCAGTTCTCGTCCTCACGAGATTTCTACATGAGCACCCGCTGCCCATGAGTCTGGAAGGGAGGCCATCCCTGTTCTCCCAGCAGCCCTGAGAAATGCCCCAGTTCCCTGCCTGTAAGACAGCCCAGCACATCTGCGGCTACCCAGGCTGCCTCGGGAGTGAGCCTCCAGTGGGCACTGCCAGGCCAGAGGGGCAGCAGATGACGTAAGGCCCTCCTGCCCAAAGGGACCCTGTTCTGCTCTGTCTGCTGGGAAAGGAGCTATGGTCATAGATGCGCCAGGAGAACCTCTAATACCCAGAAACACACTCATGTCCACTCGCGTGTGCAGGTGCATGTGACGTGTGCGTGTGACGTCTTCCTTTGGTTGTAGACAGTCACTGCCGATTCTTATCAAAGCTGTGGGGATTTGCTTGGACTGCAGAAGCAGTTCTCAACTTGGGCAGTTTTACCCGGCAGGGACACTTGGCAATATCCAAGCATCTGGGAGGGGTGGGTGCAGGGGTGCTGCTGACCCTCCTGTGACACACCAGACGCCCCACAACAAAGGACTATCTGGCCCAGAATGTCAGGAGTATGTACCATCCGCACGTGTCCAGATCAGACACAGAGGTTACCCCACACACTCCGCTGTGCTTTAGGATTCAGAGCCCTCGCACATGCGTGATGCCAGCTAAGACGCGCTTGAGGTGGAGAGGTCAGGTCAGCATTAACCCCACTCTCCAGATGGGAACCGGTGCACGCGGCCAGGCAACCACCCTAGATCCTGGACGTGGTAAATGAGGAACCAGCCTGGGCTGGACGCCTCTCACCCCGCCCGCCTCTGTACTGCCTGGAGGTGGTGAGCCCTGGCCCCACCACCCAGGAGAGTCCACGCTCTCCTGTGCATGTCACTGGAAGGCTGATGGTAGGATTCTCTTCAATGCAATGGATGCTGATCTAGTAGAGATAATTAAAAATTCCTTGGGTTACCTGAGGTACAGGCTGAGGCAGCAGCCAATGCAGTTGCCACAGGCCGTGGTCACACTCAGACTTCCCCAGTGTCCTGTCCTCCGTAGCAACCAGACAGCAGGTACTTGGCACACTGTGATCGTTGACGTAATCGCACAACCTGCCTGAGAAGAAGGTGGGTTCGGGCCCCTCTTTACATACAAGTTCTGAGGGCACCCTGCAGCAAGGCGGTGAGGCACCCTGGTGAGGGGCGAGGACTCCGGGGCCTGCAGCCTGAGGGAAACCGAGGGGTGTCCAGCTCTGGGCCTCTGGCCCTTCGCGAGCAACATGAAGCTACCTGCCTCGTGGGGCTGCCTTGCGGAGAGTGCTGAGCGCCTCGTGTGTTCAGGCGTCATCACCGTCTTGTTGCTCTCTGTCAGGTCGTGTCTTCGCGACGCTGTCTGCAGTCCACACGAGGACAGTGGGGGCCGAGCCTGGGTTCACCCCAGGGCTGAAGGCCGGCTCCCTCCAGCCTGTCCTCTCTCCTTTCTCCCTGCAGATCGGGCACATCGAAGGACACCCTGAAAGGAAAGGGGTCTTCCCGGTGTCCTTCGTCCACATCCTGTCCGACTAGCAAGCTCGGGCCTGACGATCGTCCACACACACCCTTCGTGCGAGACTGCTGCCTCCGCGTGACCCGTGCACACCGTGTATATAGCTGCTGTTATGGAGGGAGAAACTCCCGGAAGGGCACCTCAGGAGGGGACGTAGTATTGCTGTAAATATCCTGTGGTCTTCTGCCTTCGCCAGTATTAGGGCCGCCCGGGGGCCCGGCGCACCTGGCTGGTTTGCCAAAGCCATCCCTGGCGGCTAGCACTCCCATCTCTAGCCACGCTGTTTTCCAAGCAAACAAACAAACAGGAATATAGGAACTGCTGGCTTTGCAAGTAGAAATGGTCTCCAGCATCCTTGAAAGGCATAACATCGACTCTCTGTTCCTAACAATACAGTATTCTCAATTGTGTTACTGAAACGCACCATTAGCAAAGAGGCGGGTTCTGTGTGGCAGGTGAAACTTTAGCTCCACGACAGACCAGCCTGTAGTGACCTGTGCACACGGTTTACAGCTACAAAAACCTACCCTCGTATATTTATTACAGAAAAGTGCTCAGTTAAATGTGTTATTCCTTCAGCAAAATAGTCTTTGACCCAGAACCTTTGGGGGCATCTTTCATGCCCACAGCCTCGGCAAGTTAGACAAGTGGGTTTAGACTGATGATGACTAGTGCCCGCCCCTGAGATATTATTACCTCATTCTGCAGAAGTAACATATCCTTCATGACTATTTTGACAAACGTTTAAAACACATCTGATGAAGTTCAACTTTCAGGAACCAAGGACTGCCAGAAAATAGTAGCCGCTCCATTATGCATGCATTTAGAAGCTTACCTGAAATCTGCCTTTTATAAAGGAATAGTATGGATAAGGGGAACTGTACGTTTTTTAAACTCGATCGCCATTAAAGCAGAAATTATAAGGTTGCAACAATATTGGTTTCTAGTCAGTCATTTGGCTTTCTCCAGAGTATGAACTTACATATATTATGAATTGCATCCTTCACAAGTTTTAAAGCATCGAATGCGTCCATTTAAAATTGTCCTCAGAGTTGTGTTGTTGGATAAATTTACGCTTTCGAAAGATGATTCAAGAAGATGACGAATGTACACATCATTTCCCCACTGTAGAATCCAGGTGCTGAAACCCACCTTTCATTTTCCCCACGCTCTTCATTAACCCCAGTGGTAGAGAAGCGGGCCGGCCGGAAGCACCATTCAGCAGAGACGTGACCTTCGAGCCGGTTCACGAGCGCGTGTTAGAGCGCGTCTGGGGGCCGCGCTGGGGAGAGCCCTGCCGGCAGTGAGCCTCTCCCCCGGGCTTTGCTTCCACCCGGCGCGGGTCAGACCCCTGAGAGCATCCTGGGTGCTTCGGCCTCTGACATCGGTCTGCATGTCACTCCACAGCCGGGGGGGCTGTTCTCTGACTTGAGGCTCATCCTCGTGCTGGCATTTACATTCGCTTCAACTGCTCTGTTGGCAGCAGCACAGAAACTCATATTTTTAAGCAGATCATCTTGGCAATGAGGGAGAAATGTTCATTTCACAGAAGCACAACTCCCCACCAAACCCTTAGGAAAAGCCCTCCACCAGTCGCAGCGCTCGGTGAAAACCCGTTCAGTTCTGCTTAAGCGGTGATGATGAAAACGTGGACTAGCCACCTGAGAAGTACACCTTGCATGACAAACCCACACCATATCTTACCAGCTGTTATTGGAAAGTGATTTGAAGCAATTGTTTCCTCGGTGTGACGGCCCACGTGAGTCCCCCCAGCTCCAGCCGCCTCTGTGGGCTCACTGTGCCCGCGGCCGCAGTGCCGGAGACACACAGGTGACAGGACAGGACGTGTCCCCGGGGCCCATGCACACACTTTGCGTTGCATTGAAGAACTATTCATTTGTGTGGCCTACAGTATTTTCAACTAGTCTCAAAATAAACTGGCTTTGAAAAACAAAATGACAAATTAGATGTCTAAAATTACATGGCGTCGATGTCTATTCTTTTTCCCCTTTAGCAGCCACTTACACAAACGCATTTTTAATTTTTTTTTTTTTTTCCTGCTTTGGTTTTGTTTCCCATCAGGAACTTGAGTTCGTTCTGGTCCAGCTTGCTATGGGACTTAGGAAAACTAGGTATAAATACCTTTGGTGATCTTGGTTGAGTTTAAATCTGATATTGTTCTTAACCTCAGTGAGCCACTATCTGCAATTTTGTACATGATATAGTATTTTGAAGGTATGGAATCTTATAAAAAAAAAAATAGCTAATTCTTTTTTCCCCAGAGGGAAAAGTTATGTTCTGCAAATAGCGTATGTCTTATTTTCCTGTTGAACAGCAATTGCTATTTATTTTTTTATCGCCTAGAACTTGAGCGTGCTGTGTAGGAAGCCCGTAGTGCCACTAGTTCACTGCAAATTCTCATCTGGATGTTACTCAAACACCGATACGCTTGTCCTTTCACATGTGTTTAATGTGACAGTCTTTCAGTACTGTGTGTGTTCATTTCTACTTTTTTTAATATTTAAAATTGCTTTTAAATAAACATATTCTCAGTTGATCCCAAACATCTGAAATCAGGCCATTTTGTGAGTTGTGCATGACTCTTCTCAGTGGAGAAAATCAAGACTTCACTCGGCTGTGCTTTTGGGGGGCGGGGGGCAGTGTGTAGGTGACACATCAGCCCAGCTGCATGGAAAGGTGCATCACTTTTCTCAGCTTAGAAAACCTGGCGGGGGTGCTTCCCTGGTGGCACAGATGTTAAGTCTCAGACTATGAAGGTATCTGCAACTACTGCAGCACAAGTTCAATCCTCAGCCTGGGAGCTGACCCACATGGCACAGCAGATGCCTCCTGTCTCCCCCGCTGCTCCCTTCAGCAGTGTATTTCGGTCAACCTGCCTGTTCTGTTCCCCACTCTGTCTCTGGTGAATCCTCTCTCACATACACCCCGCCGCACCTCTGGCCAGCACCCCAGCTCTTGTATGCATAAATAAATAAATCTTTAAAAAAGCAAACTTGGGCCTCAGCATCTGGGGAGCCTCCCCCTGCCCCCTCCATGCACCCATACCTCCTATTTATGGTAATAGGGCAGGAGAGGGAGGGGAGGCTCTCAGCAGCACCCAGCGCAGAGCAAGGACAGAGCTGCCCGCCCTGCAGTGAGCAGGCCCAGTCCAGGCTCGTAGACCTCCAGCCCGGGGGGTGGGAGGGGGGGCGAGCGCATACCTCTCCCCTTTACAGAGCTTGAAAAGGAAGCTCCAAAAGCAGCTGCATGTCCAGGGGGATGATGTTTTGGAGCAAACGAGCTAATCAGGAGTCCAGATGAGCGGTTCCGACTCTGCGGCCAGCCTCGGGCTCTGCACCACCCGCAGGACACAAAGTTCCAGCCAGAGCATCCCAGCGACAGCTGGCCAAGCTGGTGGCACTGGAGACGGCAAGTTGGGTCTGCGCCCCTAATTTCCTTTCACGCGGGTTGGTGGATCTTCGTGCCTGTTTGCACACCTAAAGAGACGGGTCCTGGCAAGGTGCTGCCCGCAGAATGGGCTCTGGCTTGGAGGCCAGCGACTGTCCCCAGGGATTTGTGTGAGACAGGTAACTGGATCTGGCCACCAGAGGGGCAGCCAGCTATCCTTCAAGTCCCAGAATGTTAGCGAGGGTTATGTGTCTGGAATGGATGGAGTTGCCCGGGTGCAAGGGGCCCTTCTAATGCGCGGGGCGCCCCTGGCTGCCCAGTGGCCCCAGATACGCTGGTCTCTCCACCTCCTTGGAGCACAGAGCTGGGTCAGCATCTTGGTTCTGAGGCAGAAGCCCTCCGTGGGCCCATCTTGAGATGAGGAAGGCCTCTCACAGCTGCAGTGACTTGCTCAAGGTCACGTAGTCAGTGACAACAACAGTGTGAGCACATGGTTGTGGCCTGTGCACGGCCTTCCCCTCCTGCCACTGCTTGATTCACTTCCCTAGACTCCTGTCCACCGTTTTAGGGGACCTCCCACTCCAGGGATGTGTGTAGATGTGTGCGTTGGGGCGGGGCGCGGGGTGATGATCATTGTAGGAGATTTCCACCTGACCCTGCCCTCCTCCCTCACGTGTCTCATCCTCCCCAGAGGAAATCTCATTTCCCCAGATTTGCAGTGTGTAGGTAACTTGGAGCTTGGGGCTCCCTGTATGACCAGAATGCTGGGCTGAGGATGTCCCCCGACGGGGGAGAACAGCCACAGGCCAACTGGCCCCCGCCAGCAGTGCAGTTGAAGGTGAATCAGCTCAGCCCCTTCCCCTCACCCTGAATGTCCAACACTGGCGATTCCACATTTGTGTTGAGGTGACACTGGGCCTGGGGTTGCCAAGATGGTCCCACACTTTCCCTGAAGAGCTGGCAGGCTAGGGAGGAAGGTCCAGGGTAAATCTTGATGCTGGGAACCCCCTCCCCAAGAGCTGCCCCAGGAAGGGATGGAGCGGCCTGTACAAAGTTTGCTGGGACCATGTCTGGCCCCCCTAAAACATCTGAGGCCGGTGGGGAGAAGGGACGCAGGCTGAAGACACAGGTGGGGCCAGGGATAACGGTGCCCCAGCCTCAAGGAGGCCACTTCCCGCACTACTAACAGCCAACGCGCAGGGAGGGCCTCAAGGGGGCCAAGCACCCGGCCCAGTGCCTTATCTGCCCTGTCGTGTTCATCTCAGCAGCTCTACAAAGCAGAATTATTTTCCCCGTGATATAGATTCGGAGGCTGGTGCTCGGGGAACTTAAGTTGAAACTTGACAAGTTACTCAAGGGCAGCAGCCAGACGGCCCCAGAGTTCAGGGCCCGAGGCAGGACCTGGTGCTGCCTCTGTGTGGCTACTGTGCTCCCCGGCTAAAGAGAAAACTGGTCCAAGTGGGCCTGCCCCACCTTCCAGAGAGGTCAGCCAACCAGGGAGGTGTGGCCCAGGGCATGCATTGCAGTTTCCATTCAGAGCTGTGGCGGCGTGGGCCACAGCGAGTATCTTGGACAGCTGCTCTGTGGTTGGGAGGCAGAGGTTGTGCTGGCACGCAGTGTCCACGCATGCAAATGTACCTGACAAGAAAGCAGTGAGTGCCTGAGTGTATCTGCGCTTAGCAGGCCCTGTGCAAACAGTGAAACCCTTAAGCTCCTGAAAACAGGAATTAAAACTCAGATAAACACAGCTGTTTTGCAAAACTCTTACCACATAGCCAACCCTAGTCAGAGGCTCAGGGCATAAACAGGGCCTCTGCAAAGCCATGGGGGAGGCTTTGTCCATCTTCACACATCTGCCAACAAAAGTAATAGGTCACTCTTGAAGATCCAAGAAGATCTAAGAGATGCAAAGGTGTCATCTGCGCACTGGCCGGAAGATCTACCTGCCCAGGTGATTGGATTTTGGCCAACATCACCTGGGGCCTTCAGTATTCAAATCAGATATCTGGGCCCTGATCTTGGGAACTTGTGGTCACGATGAGTCTCAGGAGGGGCCCGGTCATCTGCATTTAGTCAGCAGGCCCAGCAGATTCCCATGTACCAAGGGACCGGGGGAGGGGACTGGTCCTTCCCCACTCTCAGAAGTGACAAGAACTTTCTAAATCTCACCTCTCCCAATGCCAAGTGAGAAACTAGACCAGAGTACTGAACGCTTGACATGCCCTTGGGGGTCAGCTGCTATTTCTTTAATGGGTGAGCACATGAAACCCTCTGGCTAAAGTAACTAGAAGGGCATCCACTACTGAAAAGGGGTTCACACTAATAGGGGGAGCATCGTGCTTTCTAAGGCCTTGGGGAACCCCTACCCCAACAAGGGTCCCAGCCGGGGCGCCTCTGCTCCGTACTTGTTCTGCCCACTTGCATTTTGTATTGCTGACTGCGGCCCAGTAAACAGGCCGCTGGACAATGGGGCTCTTCATGGGGCCCCAAGCTGCAGGACAAAGATTCACAGACACACATTGTCTGAATGTGCACGCTGAGTTCCTGCTCAGCTGGAACCACTTAGAAAACTCAGACACCAGGACTCCCCTGGCCTGCTGGATTCCAGTCAACTGCTTCTCTCTCTGAAGCTCAGTCTATGGCTCTGCCACTGTAAGAAAGTTCTAGAGCTGATGAGCAATAAGTACAGCCAGTTTTTCCTGCCGTCCCTTCCAATAATGCCGGTGGCTTTGGGTTCACTTCCTACCTAAAGCCAAGGCCTTGTCTGGCCTGTGCCAAAGTGGAAAGGAGCAGGTTGGGATGGGCTTGCAGAGAAAGGACAGTGAAGGGAGCTGGGGGTAGGGGCAAAGGTGGGGGTGGAGTGTAGCAGAGGAAGGGAAAGAGGCAGCTTCTGTCTGCAGAAGCTGAACACACAGGCCCCAGGTAGATGTGGCAGAGCTGACCGAAGACATCGACAGTCCATGGCAGGGCTGTGCGGAGAAAAGACCCATAAACTTCCCAGACGGAGGCAGCAGGCGAGGGGCTTCATCCATCAGGTGCGGCACGCAAGGCACACAGACGCCAGAAGGCACAAGCACACGCAGCAGGGATGAACATCTCCAGCCTGAGCGCAAGAAGCCAGGCTCAATGAATTCACCTTTCAAGTCTCCTTCATGTACAGAAAAGGCAACCCATGGGGGTTAGTTAGAAGGCAGAATTGTGGTTTCCCAAAGGGAAACCAGAAGGGGCCTCTGCATTGGGGGAGGGGTCCAGGGTGCAGATGCTGTGTGACCTCTCCCTGGGTGCTGGTCACGCAGGTCTTCTCTGTCTGTGAAACTTCATTCAGCTGTTCCCTTTGGGAATGTGCAGTTCTGTGCATGTGTTCTCAGAGGTTTGCTGATAATTATGTAACCAGCTGTCAAAAGCCCTTATTTGTAACATTGATAACATTCTGTTACACCAATTATGTTTACACCAATTCCTGTGGTGTAAATATTTCCATCAAGGCTGATTACAGGCACCAGTGTGTTGCTGAGGTCGGGACAGAGTCCGTTTTTGCAAGTTGGACGGAGCCTACTCCAGCGGACTCTTTAACTCTGGTCCCACATCAACGAAAATCTGTTAACAATGTAAACTGGTGTAGCCACCATAAAAACTGGTATGGAGGGTCCTCAAAAGATAAGATTAAAAATAGAACTATGCTATGACCCAGTAGTCCCACTTTCGGGTATTTTCCCGAAGAACGTGAAAACTCTAAAAAGGAATTCACTCCCTTTGTTCACTGCTCACCGTCACTGTCGCCAACCTGTAGGAACAACCCAAGTGCACGTCAGTGGATAGAGAAGCTGTACGTAAACACAGTGGAATACTATTCAGCCATAAACATGAAATCTTGCCACTTGTGACAGTATAGATGGGCCTTGAGGGGATTCTGCTAAGTGAAATAAGTCAGAATGAGAAAAACAAGTACTTCACTGTGTAGATTATAAACAAACAAGCAAAGTCTTAGACCATGAAGGAAGGGTGGTTACTAGAGGGGACGGAGGGAGTGGAATGGGCTCAGGGGCTTATTAGTGGTAGTGGGTGGTGATTAGACATTGGGTAGTGGGTGTGGGGTGATATATAAAGTCACTGAGGTGAGAGCCTCTCCACCTGAAATCTACAATGTTGTAAACTAATGTTACCCTAATTAAAAACAAAGA